GCAACATCCCAACACGCCACAAGACATGGTCCGTGAGATGGCAAGGCAGCTGCTAAATACCCGCCATAATAACCACAACCTTGCGCAGTCTGCGATGAACGCCGCTGCGGGAGGTACAGGACATGCTGCTGCTGCTAATGGGCCACACCAATATGCTCAGCTGCTTAGAGCTCAGCAACAGCAACAAGCTGCCGCTGCAGCGCAGGCCCAACAAGCACAAGCGCAGGCTCAGGCTCAGGCTCAGGCTCAAGCTCAAGCTCAACATGGAGCACAGCAACAGCATCAGCGGAACTCGAGCGGAAGTGCGACACCAACACCATCAATACCGAAGTAGGTCAACGGTACACCGTGTCATTTGTCCAATGTAGTGCCTATTGATCTGTTCGAGAGTACAGAGGCATGATGTTGCTAAACAACGTTCGCCTCATTTTCTCTGAGATACAAGATGGCGATACTGTCCCGAGATCTTCGGCTTTTGCAGTTTTAGACTCGTCATACCTGTCTCGACAGATATTCATCTTGAAAGATTTCGAGATTACCTAGGTACCTACTGATCGAATCCTCCCCAGAAGAAGCTCTAGGCCTGCCAATTTACGACTGATGGCAAATTTCAATGGAATCGTATCCTACTGTCGCCTCACTACGAGATATCAGAACCTTACTTATGCCCGTTTCTTGAGAGGTCGTCGTGCCGATATTTACATATGTCCACGTCTTATCCCGAATCCTAAGATTAGGGTCCCTAAGATTAGGGCCCGGGGGTATACTTCCAAGAGGTTCCAAGCTTATAGCCCCGTTGTGCACGTATTGTCGTCCGGAGGGTACAGCGCCAAATAGCCATGCGGTAAAACAGGTAGCCAAATTTTGGAACTTGGCCGCTCTCGATTATTTTCTGTGCCTAGGTCCTGTAAACACCTGCTGTCTTGGCCAGTAGAGGCATCTTAAGCAGATAGTATTCACGTATGAAAAAAAGAACCTCAATTAAAGATAAACTATACAGTAATATAATGGCATGTGCATACATGTCGTCTAAGTGATATAAATTTCGTGATAATTTGTTATAAATCCCTTTATTTTATGTTGATGTGAAAATACCTAGGTACATAAGGAGATATATACATGTACATGTATGTACGGATTACATGAGCAGCATCTATCGATTCAGCTATCTAGATACGTCCCATTTTTATCTATCGTTCTCCACTTTATTTTTTCCCTTATCCTGCATCGATTTGCTTCAGAGTCCAAATTTTTCTTGCGAAACTCAACCGCCGAAGCCAGCTCAAATCGAAAAACATAACAGAATGGGCAAGCGAAAACGGACAGACGCCCCTATCAACGGGGCCAAAACCCATGGACTGACTATTCTAAAGAAACCCAAAACTACCGAGTCGTTACCAGCAAAGATAAAGAGCTCTTCCCCATTAACGATACAGGTCGTTACGGGATCTTATGATCGAATTCTTCACGGATTGACTGCTACTATTTCGGGCGACGACCAGGTCGAGTTTGCTGATACCTTTCTCTTCAATGCGCACAGCTCCGCGATACGATGTATAGCACTCTCGCCCCCCTCGGCACCCGAACCGGGTAAGCTGCAGAAGGTCATGCTGGCCTCGGGTAGCAGCGACGAGCGTATCAACGTCTATAACATCTCGGCGCATCCGCCTAGTTTCAAGAACCAGGATGCCTTATCCTCCGCCATGCCTCGAAAGACTTTGGAGAACCCCAAAAATCGGGAGCTAGGAACACTATTACACCATTCATCTACGATCACCAAGTTATCTTTTCCTACGAAGTCCAAGCTCATCTCCGCCTCCGAAGACTCTACCATAGCTGTCACAAGGACGAGGGATTGGTCTCTACTATCAACTATCAAAGTCCCCGTACCAAAGCCTCTGGGTCGGCCAAGCGGCGATACGGCGGCGCTAGGTGCGACGCCAGCCGGTGTTAACGATTTCGCCGTACACCCGAGCATGAAACTCATGATCAGCGTGAGCAGGGGCGAGAGATCTATGCGATTATGGAATTTAATGACAGCCAAGAAGGCCGGCGTACTTAATTTTAACCGAGATATGCTGCAAGAAGTAGGGGAAGGGAAGCATTCGTTAGGAGAGGGGAGGAAAGTAGTCTGGGGTAGCACCGAGGACGGTGATGAATTCTGTGTAGGGTTCGACAGGGACGCACTAGTGCTAGGCATGGACAGCACGCCAAAATGCAGGGTTATGCCGGACCCGAGGAAGAAGATACACGAGCTCTGTTACGTCACAATAGACGGCGCGAGCGATTCGTCGCTGCTTGCTGTGTCGACCGAGGACGGGAAAATCATGTTCTTCTCTACGAAGAGCCAGGATCTCACACCGGGCAAATCGTCTACGGAAGGGAAGGAAAAGACGGCGCTGCCAGTAGCCAAGTTGATTGCGGAGCTTGGTGGGAAGGAAGCCGGGGTTTCGGGACGTATTAAAGACTTCAGCATAGTAAAAGCTCCAGGGAAAGACGAGGCAGGCTGTTTGTTCATAGCTGCGGGTAGTAGCGACGGGAAGCTTCGCGTCTTCAAGCTCGCTATCGCGGAGCTTAAGGAGGCGAAGGCAACAAAGACAGTGGGCAAACTGCTCGGCACCTACGAGACCCAGAACAGGATAACATGTGTGGAGGCATTTGCGATGATACCCCGGCCGGAGGGCGTGGAGGATAGCGAGGATGAGATGGAGGATACGTCGAAGGATGATGAGAGTGAAGACGAGAAAGACGATGAAGATGATGAAGATGATGATGAGGATTAAGATACAAGTAATGAATTGAAGTTTGTGAATAATGGCTGCCGCCTCGTATCGCGTCAAGTATAATAGCCTGCCCCGGTAGAAAAGCTCGAGCTATCATCAAGACAAGTAATAGTGATATTACAATGTCCATTCCCATCATGAGTTATTTATTATTGCTACCGAGCAGAACAACACCTACCTGAAGATCAGCATATCCATATCCATATCAAAAATCATCTGGTTCCCATCTCTAAATCTATGGTCAAGTCAGACGATATGCGCAAGCCATCCACAATAAATGCATGGTTCGATTATAGGGGTAAACCTTTGTTTTCACATGAACATACGTTTTCTTTCATTTGTTTTCATGAGCCCATCATCAGCACGTGCTGTGCTACCAGAAAATTAGTACCGTGTAAGCTCTACATACAGCACGGGACAGGACGTTTCCGGGTTGATGCTGGCCAAACCCTCGATCATTTGCAGCGACGATGCGAGGTAGGTTGTATTGCATAAAACGGCTAGTCGAGGTGACCATTGCAGCGGTCAGGATTCATTCATCATTCATCCAGGGCAAAGAACTTGCTTCGATGCTGTGGTACAATACGATTATTTCGACCGCGCTGCCGTGCTGCCGTGCTGCCGTGTTACCTCGATGCTAACTCTGGCATCTTAAGGGATTTGTTGCAGATGAAAGATGCACGATGGTGTCACAAAATGCTGGATGCATGCATGTTGCGGGGTAGCGACGGATCTACGAGCCAACCAGCGAAATCTAGCTCATCTTTGCGGATTTCGCATTGTAACAAAATAGACGAGAGGCGAGTCACGATGGATGGAGCATGTGATTCCAGGTCTAACCAGGGGGGGGGTTTAATACATATTTAAATATTGTACCTAGATACATCTTCTTCCGTACCTAGGTACCTACCTAGGTTAGGTATGTACGGGCATGTTTCCACTCAACTGATAATAGATGTCCCTTAGCTAATATGTACTACCTACCTTATAATATAAAAATATGGAAATCACTAGCCGACAAAGTCAAACAGCTACTTCCATCGAGGAGCAAAAGAAGACCCGGAGAAACTAGTAGCAAAGCCACCTTTCCCTCAAGAAGACTAGTATATATAATACCTACATAGGTACGGAATGTAACTAAAAGTTAGAACCTGCATCACTAGGGGGCTCCTTAACGAAGCTTCAACTACCTACTTCAATAGGTCGGAAGCTTTTAAGTGCTGATCGGAGGTCAGCACCAAACCCGTGTTAAGGCAGGGGTTATATTATTAGACAAACCAGCCTCTAGGTTAGGTTCTTGCACATCATGAGGGGACAGCTAGCGGATTCTTCAAATGGCTAATAAGATGAACCGGATTACCTACCATCGCATCCGACACTTACCTGCTTACTTCCATAGTTAGTATAGTTACATGCAAACAAACTTCTAGGCACCAGTCTTAATTTCAGACTAGAAACTTGGACCAATAGTACAATTAAATGTTTCAATATTTTACCCCTAAGTGTGCAAAATTACATTTCGTGTAAAGACGTTCAAGTTTTCTACCAGGTAGTTACATGTAGCATGAAAACTAAGACATGTAAAACATCTGGTGCATACATACATATGCAAGTACATAGTACCTAAGCATCATTGGAACATAGGCAGTTTTATAAGCGCCGGATCCCATTTGCATGTGTCGCTTCTCCATCTTACTTACCTCATACCTAACCTAATATACTTGCCTCAATAGCACCTGCATCTTGCTGTTTTTATAGGGCCGTTGGCATATACAAAAACTGGCAAGGAAGGTACGGCTGGACCGGCATGAGTTATACATACATACATGTACCTACGGTTTGTTTTTGTGCGCGTGGGTAATAAGGTACATCCATGAATGGAACAATTCCTAAACAATACCACATACTCCAATCTCTTCTCGTCCTCTCAATATCAAAAAGCTTCCTCTCTCCACCAACCATAACGCATAATATCGTCACCATTGCTACTCGTCCTACCTATATATAATCCCATATAATCTGGCTACTTCTACATTTAATCTATCACCAGATTATTTGTTGCGGTCTTGGAGTATTGGAGTATTTTCCGACGTAGCACCCACACCAAGCTGCAGAACATAGCCAACCATCGGTTCACCACCAGATCTGAACCGTTCAAGAGTTTCGTGGAACTCCCAATCCTTTTTCTTTCCCGCCCCTCTCCTTCTGCAGGGTTCCAATACTCCTCGATTGTGTAGCCAGTCGATTCGTATTATAGGAACCTTAAATATTGGCCACGCGGCAGAGTCAGGTGGCATTTTGACTTGCTTCCTCCATTGGCGCTGCCGACTTGATATAACGCCCAATTCTCACTTTACTCGCGTATCTACACTCTCTCGTTTCCAAATATTTAGTCGACTTTGGATACTAGATAATAAAGTGCCTGGTTTCGTTACTACCTAGCTGCTACCATGTCTAACCCTCAAGGAGACGACGGTCCACCGTTATTACGGCCCATTCCTCGCCGACCTTTCAACCTAATTCCCAGAGAGCCGACACCCCCGAACGACGACTTGCCCGCCCCTATACCCTCCGCCGGTTCGGGACACGTCCCATTATTAAACCTTGAGTCGCTTAACTCTCGACTACTCAGCATGAGGAACACAGGCTTCACCTCCGAATCTACCACAATTAGCCGCACGGATTCCGCACTTAACCTAACGGGCTCGACGTTAGCGGGCATCTACTCGCCTTCCATATGGGGGAAGGATAAATTCTATATGGGACCCGACGAGCCGGGTACGCCCTGGGGAACAGGCGCTGAGACGCCCGCGAAAAACCTAAGCATGGACGAGCCGAACTACGAAATACAGAAGGAGAGAGCCCAACCGGCGCGGAGGCAGTCCTCTTTACGCCCAGTAGTACGCCCGCAGCCGCTATCTACCTTACAACGCGTATTCTATCACGGCTCGCGCAGCCTGCTCCTGACCGGTCTAGGTGTTCTCTATGGGATACTGGCTGTTCAGTTGCGAGATAGGCAAATAGCTGCAGGCGCGCTTGAAGCGCATAACCTGCTCCGGAGTAGTGATGGAAGTTACGATTGGAGGTATATGGCATTCTCGGGCGTATGTGGAATCGTAATGGGTAGTTTACTACCCTGGTTTGACGGCGTCTGGGAACGAATCTTCGGAAGTGACGATGTCGTGGTTGAATCCCCAGTAGAGCAAAGTGTAGAAGATGAAGCAATTAAAGAGCCTGCCTCTTTCACGGACTGGGCGCTTGCGATTAGAGGCATTGGTGCTTTTGTCGGCATCGCCTTTGCTATCGTACGTTGTCCCTCCGTAACTTCGAAAGTGGGCATCTTTCGTTGTACGGGCAATTCTCGCTAACGACCTGTATAGAGAAAACTTCCATGGAGCTCAACTCTTCAAGTTTCGCTCGCGTTTGCTCTCGTGAACCCGGTACTCTGGTATATACTGGACCGATCCATGTCCGGTCTAGTGCTGTCGATCTCCGTAGGACTAGCCGGGTCTGCGATGTTACTGGGACTGAGGCCGGAGGTAGTACCGTCGCCGGCAGCTCCGTCGACACCTGCTTACGAGGCGTACGGCCCCGAGTACGGTAATGCGACGAACGGCAATGCTACCGATTTTGATCAGCAGCAACAGCTGGCGACAGTCGGCGGGGTGAGTCAGGAGACTATTGCTATGGGCATTTGGTTGTGGAGCGTCCTATTCTGCTGCAGCATATGTTTTGGCAACATTGGACGTTGGCTCGCGATCAGACGTGGTGCCACAACGAAAGGACGATGGGCTCAGCGGCAATAATGGCTGACGAAAAGATGGTAGATATAGTTGAGAGATATTACTCATATTACCTTATCTAGCAACTGGCAAGCGGTAATAAGGTACAGCTACAAAAAGAAAGAACAGAGAAGAGGAAATTCCTTCCAACAAATAGAAAAATCCCGGCAGTGAAGGTGGCTATTTGTTATCACGCCCCATAAAAGCGAATTAGTTGACGTTGCATTTTTTGTTGGATGGTTGGTCGGAGCATTATCTCTACTACAGCTTGGTATGGAGTATTAAGGCGCAACTCGGAAGCTTTTACGGGCTTGCATCGGGATTGGGGAATTAGGGACAAATGGAACCAAATGAACAAGCAAAATATGCATATCGTTGTTTGGGCTATTGGACTATTCAACTATTGTTCTGGTATATAGCTTTGTATGTTCGGATAGAAAATTTAACTAGTTGGATTTGAGAAGAATATACTCGTACTGGGAATTTGAATATTTGAATGCATATGTGCTGGAGTGTGAAGGTGAGAAGATGCGAGAATGATAAATAAAAGTGATGTTAACTGCCTCTTGTTAATAATATTTACCTTGAGTTAAGAGAACAAAGGTTAACTTACATAGACTATTATGTTGTTACACAGCAGCAAATTTAATACTTGGAGCAAATAATTATTAATTACCTATATTTTAGGTACATTAGGTACCTAAGTTAGGTAGGTACCTAGGTAGATAGCTTTTGTGATTATACGGTTAGATAGAGGTAAATATCGCGGGTACCTTAATTTGCTGAATGTACATGTATGTATGCTTCTTTCCGACTACGAAGAGTGTTCTGAATTAAATGAGTGGCAACTCACACGAATCCAATGCATGCATCCGGGACTTGTTTGGAGTTTGAAGTTCGTTTGCACGTACGGCGGAATATGTACTGTACCTAAGCGAATCACTTACTCCCATGATACCTACATAGCTGGCAAAGAGAGAGGAGGGGTTGCTCAGGTCCCACTGAGGGGACTGGAGGACGAGCATCTATGGATTTGGTTCGAATCGTGGAAGATCCTCGTATGTTAGCGTCATACATTTGGCTTCCAAGCATCGTAGGTACCATTCTAGGTATGTATGTATGAGGCGGCTGCTTGTTCGCTTAGTTACATACTAAAGAGAGGATAGCTTGATTGGTTAGTATAACTAGGTCGAGGCTGAATACATAGAGCCGCTGGACTGCTGGGATTGGGCTGGGTTGGGGGGGGGGGGGGGGGAGGAGGATAGAAAGAAAGATACATAGTGGTGGTTTGGATGGGTAAATCAAGTTCTTCTATTAGCCAAGACAGAAATGTGGTTGGATATACATTTCTAAATATACGTGCGTACATCAGTTAGAAAGTCGAGATGCACTAGATTACGCACAAGTCATACGTTATGTAGCGAGGACGATCTCCCAACACGCTGGATCGTGAAGATTATTAATATACCGCATTGGTGGTATTATATGTTTGAGACAGGCTGAGGAACTACATACGGGACTCCAGTTAGCGTCGATGCCCGGACGAAATTACATCCTTTCGAGATCGATCAGCACTTTCTGTTTAGTTGCCTTGAGGAAGCGGCTTCAGGATTGCTATCGGGGGATGTGGGTATAAATTTAGTATCGTAGTAGTATCGTATGTAGTAGTATCGTAGTATTAACACCGGGATTATTCTGTGCTACATATGTATGTACACCAGGTTTGTTTTTAAGATGATTTATCATATGTTGGCGGGAAGCATGGACTGAGGTCGTACGAACCGACGAATCACGTTATTAGATATTAACAAATCATCTTTAACATATATAGGTACATACGTAAGAGGTACCTATATAACTATTTATATCAATACATCCGTATGTATATAAACTAAATCGATAACAAGTTTGGGTCAACCATTAACACGACCGTATTGTATAAGTCACGGAATAGGGGAATTTAAAGAATATCCCCAATACAATGCATGCTACTTGCCGCTTAATAAAATACCGAACTATCGGCACATTTATACTACTACTGCGTACTAGGTTACGGTATGTAATGGATATCCCCCGGATGCTTTAGTCTTCTCTCAGCCCGACAATATTATTTCGTCCCTTCGCTCGACACGAGGTCATTGTAATATATATGTAAATGGCAAACCTAATATTTTTATAACGTAGCTTTAATATGCTATTTGCCTATGTAAAAATCCATATAGAAATTATTTATTTACACAAAAACAGCTCTATTATTGGAACTGAACTGTGATATCATTCATCTATCGCTATATCGAATATTAAAATATCAGAGAACTTGTTTAGACCCTAGCGACTCAAGGGTCCTACATACAGGTAGATCCACAACGAGCATTAAACTTTGCCTATTATGGCTTAGATACCGTCTTTAGCACTACGACTAATCGTTAGTGGAACGTCGATGGAATGCTGCAAAGTTGTTGGCCCCTTCCCCCTTCTTCCCCTCTAGTGTCACTTTACTATTGGCTCTACTGGTTTTTAGTTGTCTCATCGAGATCATCAGTCCACGTTAACCATCCCACGAACCAATCACATATTCCAATTCTGTCTTTGACGACAGCTGGAAGTACCGCTAACGACGTCAGGACTTTTTTTTTTTCCTTCCCATTTCCTCCCCAGCGCTCTTCCCGACTTCACTCTTCTATTCTGCTTCTGGATCCTAGAAAAAATGTATGATGACTTCTATATCTTTTTAACGTACAACATGCTACAGATCTGCTATATACCACTTCTCCCTTGACGTCGTCTTTCGAGTCGCAACGCTTTTAGGCGTTCCCCTTCCCGGTTTCTATGTCACTACCCCCCCTTTAACTAATACAACTCCCCGCCCCTATGAGATTTATCTGAGGGTTTAATATTATTATTATTATCTTTACCCATGTTGAGTATCTGGATAATTACTTCCTTCTATATGAATCGACATAAAATAATCGCTCATGATTCAACTACCCATGGAACCCCGTAAATATTCTACTACCACGCGACTCTCTGTTCAACTCCTACGGACCAGCACACGTTAGGTCTTTGTCCTTGATTAATCCCACTTGGCCGCTCGTAATTCTTCTGAGCTCGAGTGCCACATATATCTTGTCGTGGTTCTACATATTTCCACTTCTTTTTATACCTTTCGTTATCAGTTATAAGCAGCCTATCCAAGCAACAAGGCTCGAGAGCTGGAAAACCACATTTGTGTAGAATATTACGACGGGACACTATCTTAGATGATCCTCCTAGCGACAACTTATTTATTCACTCCCGGTGTCCAGGTTGAATAACAACACTTTCATGTCCTCGATACAGTCTGACTCGAGTACGTCGAGCTTGCCTTCGTCGAATTATTCCGAGAGTCCGACCTCTGAGTCTCATCTCGAGAAAGATGGCTCTCTAACTCCAAACCCTACTAAGACCGAGCAGCCTTCAGCCGCTTCCGAGCTGCTAATTGACGCCGTCAAGGACGTTAGGCAGATCGTAAGGCTTATTCAATGTCAAATATGCTCTAAAATATTGCAGGAGCCGACAACTTTGCCCTGTGGACACAGCCTCTGCAAGCACTGTGTACCTCGGACACATGTCCGAACTAACATCTCGTGGCCGGCGACGGCTAACCGGCTTCGTGGGTTTGAATGTCCTTTTGACGACTGCGGAAAGGAACACGCGCTCGGAGACTGTGCTGTTGACGTCACCTTGAATAAAGCCTTAGCCACCATCAAAGAGGTTGTCGAGTCAGATCGAGATACGATGGATGTTTCCCATGCTTCTACAAGTATCACGGTGCAAGATCAGTGGGATATTGCGGGGATTCCCTCGCTTGCGCACAAAACGAATGAACCTTTCGTGTTAAAAGGAGCTCGCTTTGTTGCGACATATACACTAGCAGAACTAGGCAAGTTGGATTATGGGAGCGAAGTATCTTATTCCTCTGTAGGTACCGGGGGCGATGAGATGGAGCAGGTTGATGTGGCCATGTTGGCTCGGTTAAAGGAGTCTGCAAGGACGGAAATGGACTGTCAAGTTTGTTACGCCTTGTTCTTGGACCCCTTAACGACCACTTGCGGTCACACTTTCTGTCGGAGTTGCCTCCACCGCATTTTGGACCACTCGAATCTTTGTGCCATATGCAGGCGTCCCTTGTCGATACAGGCTCAGGTCAACCGGCAGTCCTACCCTTCTAACGATCGACTCTGCAATATAATCAACGGGTTCTGGGCCGATCTCGTAGCGCTTCGTGCGCAAGCGTATACACTCGAACAGCAGGCAAATCAGGGTGGGTTCGATATCCCGCTCTTCGTCTGTACGCTTTCGTTCCCGCGTATGCCTACGTTTCTTCATGTTTTCGAACCGCGCTACCGCTTGATGATCCGGCGGGCGATGGAAGGCGACCGAACATTCGGTATGGTGCTTCATAACTCGTCTCATATGCCTGGCGAGCCCGAGTTTCTGGAAATTGGAACGCTACTTCGCATAGTTAATATAGAATCTTTCGCAGATGGGCGGAGCCTCTTGGAGACAGTTGGCGTTTCTCGCTTTCGGGTGACCCGGCACGGGTGGTTAGACGGGTACATGGTCGGTAATATTGAGAAGATCGATGACATTAGCGTAGCGGAGGAAGAAGCTATAGAGGCGGAGGAAACGATGCGCTCTCATGGCGCAAGGGGGTTGGCAACTGCGCCACCTAGTCCGGGACAAACGCATCCAGAAGCCGTACCCATTCGCTCTCTGCCGGTATCTGTGTCGCTAGATGACATAGAAACGATGTCGACTAGAGAGTTGGTCGAGGTGGGTGTGGATTTTGCCAGAAGAGTGAGGGCGCAGAGCGTAGCGTGGTTAAATTCACGAGTTCTAGCCATATACGGCGAATGTCCTACAGACGCGACTCTCTTCCCCTGGTGGCTCGCTAGCATTCTGCCGGTTAAGGACGAGGAAAAGTATAAGCTCCTAGGCACTTCGAGCGTGCGGGAGCGGTGTAAGATGTGCTGTCGGTGGATTATAGAATGGGAGGCGAACAGATGGTTAGTAACACATTTTCTTCTCTCACGCATGGACAAAGCCAAGGGGTGGTAGGTTATACCCGATACCTCAGTGAGAGGATGAGACAACTAGTTCTCATAAAGCTAAGCTCGCTACAGATTAGGCCCTGATTACTGACGCATTGATGGATGCTTCCAGGACCATTTCCGATTGCCTCGTCTTGTGACAGGCTTTTTACATTTACATGATATCGTTACGACGTTGACTTGCGACTTATTCAAGATGTGCCAAGAATAAGCACCCGGTCTTGAACATAGAAAGATGCAAGAGTTGTCGTTGGAAGAATTGGCTTTGAAGCAGTATTCATTCATGCTCATCATATTAGTGATACCATCATAGCGCTAGCATTGCCGTGTAAGTATCTAGAGCTGGCGAGTTGTCTATTGTTATTTATCGCGCTACGCATTATATCACGCATGTATTGTCGTCGTCGTCGTCGAGGATTGCTGAGAAAAGGGGATGGATGATATTGTATATAGCTCCCGCATTGAGAGATGAATGAAGGCCCCCTTTTTCAAATAATCAAGATTTGTATTACTACTGTAGAAGACTTTCATGGACGTGTTGGCTTAGACCTTATTAGTCTTCTCCGTGCCAATACTAAAGCTAACAGTATAACTACATGTACCTAACTACCTACATAACGCTATAGATGTCTTATGTAAGTACCTACCTAATGTACAATAGCTCTATGTAATTTGCGGGGATTTTGCTATTAGTCGAGCTTTATCTTCTGCATCATCCGTTAAACTTGACTACAATATTAACCTCAACCTCAACCTCGACAACTCACTTCCGAGTCTACTACGGAATAAGTCGTCGCGCCTAACTCGACTCGCTGCTCTATCTTCTATCCGTCCAACTACCTACTTCAAGAGCAAGACCTGGATTGGATTGGGGTATTGCTTATCGGCTATGGAGTATACGCACGTCGCGACGCCGGAACGGTGCTATGCCGACTTTTGTCTTATTCCCGTGAGTTGGACTGCTCGTGGATCTATCCTTCTTATAGTCTTCCCATGACTACGACTACACATCATTATCTACTCTGGTTATGCGCGTGCATATTACTTTGATGCCTAAGGTTCTTTACCACTTGGTATCTAGTTCCCAGTGGTTATTTCCCAAGCACTCATGTATAACCTCGTATAAATCAAATAAACTGACATATACGTAATACGCGCGTATAGGTCGGCACAGGCAGCGTCTCAGTCGCGGAGGAAGTAGCCGAGGTGCAGAAGCTGCTTAAGGCTAGTGGACTCACTTACACGATGCATTCTGCTGGCACTACGGTTGGTAAGCTAGCTCATCTCAGCTCTCCAACTACTATACTTTATCACCCTCATACGTTGTTTTTGTTCTATTTTCCCGTTATGTTATATGTCTAATACCAATCGATCCCGTACAGAGGGATCGTGGGACGAAGTCATGAAAGTCATTGGACAGGCGCATAGTGTAGTTCATTCCAAAGGCGTCGTTCGTGTGCAGTCGTCGATGAGGGTTGGGACTAGGTATGTCTTACGTCTCTTTTGCCTGGGCTTGTTATCTAGCCCGAAGTTATCGCTCTACTCGGATATCCATCTGTAACGTTCACGCTTAACTACCACACCTTCCCTCGACCTATAGATCCAATATCGGCTAATATTATACTCTCTCGCTCTCTCCAGGACGGACAAGAAGCAGACGGCGGCAGACAAAGTTAAACGTGTTGAGGATCTTTTGGCAAAGCAAGCTGCCAGCTCTTAAGCATTGTTCGGTTTAAGGTAGGAGGACCTATGTCCTGAAGCTGGGAAGTGAATTCCACTATGGCAGACGTGATGAATATAGTCTTCATAACCCTTACGTACTGGCAAGCAACACGGAGCGATAAGCAACAACTTAAACAAGTTTCATGCATATATTCAAACGGACATTGCTAGCGTACACTTGATGTTCCACACCGGGCATTTTCCTACTACATATACACATCAGATTTCGGGGCCGGCGATGAGAACAGCATCTGACCCTACTACATACGTCTGTTCGTCTCCATGCGGCAGCTGTCCTTTCCTGTTCTTGGGGAACTTGGTCCGGACGACGTTGTAGCGATCTAATCGCCCGTTGCCTGGTTGCGCGTACTATGCGCGGACGGTCTGCTTCTTTGATGACTTGCGTAGTTCCTTCTCCCTCTCCTTCTCGAGGTACTTCTTCTGCGCCTTGGCGTCTAAGGCGTTGAGCTCGGCGTCGCGCTTAGCCTTCCTTGCCTTGTCGCGCTCGGCTTGTCGTTCCTCGGCCTTCTCCTCTTCGGCTGCCTTTTGTATCTGCTTGATGGTCTCGTCTCGGACAACCTTGATCTTGCGTAGGATCTCTGGTCGGAAGTGTGCCGACGACGCTAGGTGATCGGGGATCCGGACGAAGTAGGCTAGGAGAGGGGCAAGATCATCATAGTTGTTTGACGAGGGAAGACTGTACCGCAGGTAAAGGCGCTTGCGAGGTATCGTTTCATCCATCCTATGATATGATTAGCAAGTTTTCTTTCTGTAGGAATTAAGTCTATTACTAAAGGGGGCGCTTACTTAGTAGGCTTGTCAACAGGCTGATCGCTGATGATGAGGTACTCAAACAAATCACCAGCTTGTTTGATAGCCGAGGCAAGCTCGTCTGTCAGAAGCGTCTGGGTAACCTCAGCACTCTCGCTCATGACTGTTGTCCAGATGGGCAGCTTGGCGTTGTCCTTAGTGAAGGTAATAGATAAGTCATAACGATCTTCTCGGAGCTTCTTCATATTGTTCTTGTTGACAATGGCCCAGACGAATCCATCGAACGAGCTCTTGGAATCCTTGCTTCGTAGCTCAGCGGCGCCTGGTATACCGGGCACAATCTGAGCCTCCTTGCCGTCGAATGGGTAGATGACAGCCTCAACCGCATCCTCGGGGGCAGCAAAGCTGTCGAAGAAGAAACTCAAAGCAGTCTCTAAACCAGTCATTACGGGGTTGAAGCGCTTCTTCAGAGTCAACTTGATGTCCATGAAGGCGACGTTTTGTCGGCCAGTCGCATAACTTGCGTACTCAAACAGGCTCTTTGCCTTTAGCAACTTCTCAGGGTCCTGGCTAGATTGCTGCGGTACTCCACGAAAGCCGACAAGGGCAAATTCGCCGGTGAGGATCGGAGCGTGGGCTTTGATCCATGCTCTCGCCTTAGCGCGATTGAGTTTCGTACCAATGAAGTGCAGGGTGAAGATAACAGCGATGATGACCAAGATGATACCCTCAGCTCGGAATTCGCTTAGACTATGGCGCTCGTGAATATTGTACCATTTCGTATACGGGCGAGCAGTGGGCACAGGACCACCGAGGCCAGCACCACTAGGGACGGTCTCGAATGGTATAGGCGCTGGTGAAGGCGCATCGGCGAAGTCGGCAAAGTCTAGGAGGTTAGGTAGGTATTAGTTATATGGCTACCTAGATATGCTGGTAAAGAATTGAGGTGTAAGAGTTGTAAAGAGTTGTATATTTGTCGGGCATTGGCTTCAGGCCAGGTGTTCAAGAAGCAATTCTTGTCGCGTCACTTGTGAATGCGACTTGGGATATAAACTTACCTGAATCGGCGGAGGGAACTGGAGTAGCAGAAGATTTGCTACCTCCAACAATGTTCTTTAAAAAGTCCGCCATGGCTGCGGAACTCGTCGCGGGATTTTGATGTGCGCGGCGAGGTTGAGAAGGTGGAGTCTAAGATCGAGGGTCGAGGGTCGAGGATCGAGAGACGTGGAACAATTATTTGGAGCTTTCTCTATGTACTTCTGGGTACTTCGTAGCAATCTCCAATAAAATCGCTTAATTACCTAACCCGCCAAACTTAAAAACTACTAGTTATGTACAACGTAAACCACAGAATTGGAACGTGCACACCCATAAGTTGGGGTTTTGGAGGGTTCTCCACATTTGGCCCTAAACAAATTGTGGCTTGAACTTCCACTGTGCAGATGGAACTTCCATGTTGCATTAGGTTTAGACCCGTTACCCCCGGCAACCTGCAGTCAAAGAAACTCAAAGTCAATAATTAAATTATCGCTACCAAAGTAAAAAAGTAAGAAACCAAAAACGCATGGTCAACATTTAATAAATAATGAATGCGATTAGAATTCAACCGGAGGAGCAAGCGAAGAGAAAATGTCGAAACAAACTTCTCTACGTAAATATGGAAAACAATCCAAGAAACCCAAAGCCGATCGTTTGTTCGTCGATCTACCACAGACACCAATGCGAAATCAGCCCCAGAAAGTAATACAAGAGCAGGACGATGATAGTTCCGATAAAAAAGTGCTGGAGGAACTGGTTGGAGGGATCTCTGCTATGGCGATACAAGACCAAAACATTGCACCACTACATTCTCTCCGACGCTCTCCTAGACGAAAAGAGCAACAGGCTCTCCTAAAACCATCACCACCACCCCTTACCCCGGCTCAACTCCGAGGACTCCCGGTAATAAGCCCACCTAAGCAAGAAATCCAAGATCAACTTAAGGATGGAGAAGTGAAGGAATTACAAGTGCTTTCCTGGGCCGACATATGCCCACTAGGAGATAAGATCGTTAAGATAGCGGAGGCTTCTTATGCGGAAGTCTATCGCGTAACGAACGAACGCGGGACCAGCATCATCAAAGTTATCCGGATGGAATCACCGATAAAAGCACAAACAAAACCTCAACAAAAATCGGGACTCGTTGACGAAGAACCACACTCCGAGTCAGACTTGATGGGCGAATTAAAGATCTCGGAGTGGCTTGCCGATATACCAGGCTTCGTCGTCTACAAAGAAAGATATATAGTTCAGGGGAAAGCTTGCAAGGAGTTACTCGAGACACACCAGGCATTTCACAAGAAGTTAAAACGGCAGGATCCAGGTAGACTTCAATTCTACCCATCGCCAAGCCGATACTTACCTGGCACCAAGTTCTTGGTGGTTGAGCTAGGTGATGCAGGGACGGCACTTGAGGATTTTGAGCTAGAATCTGCCGACCAGCTATGGGATATATTCTTTCACGTTGCCATCGCGCTCGCTCGTGCCGAGGCTCATATAGGATTTGAGGTTAGTAAATGGCTCTTTTTACTAGATGCTCTAAACTAACAGTACCTAGCATCGGGATCTTCACGAGGGTAATTTATGTATCCGTAGGATAACAGAACCGATTCCCACGGCAGACCGAGGACGTTCTAGCTGCTTTGGATTTTCCGGTCTCGATGTGACCATCCTCGACTACGGGCTCTCTCGAGCTCACGCCGACTACGAGGACGAAGATTCTTTACCTATTGCCTATGATCTAGAAAGAGATTTAAGCATTTTCACCAGCGAACACGCACCCCAGTGCGAGGTGTATAGACGTATGAGGTCCTTTATGTTGCGAGGAGACCGAGTGTGCCTACCCCCCAAAAGTCACAAAACACCTTACGAAGAGGGAATCGATGGCCCAATTTGCTGGGCTCAACACGAGCCTTACACGAATGTCTTATGGCTTGCGTACATCTACCAATGGATGGTGAAGCATTTCAAGGGACCCAAGAAAGAGGTCAATGTTTTCAAGCGCGCCACCAAGGAATTCTGGACATACCTCGACCCTGATGCCGCCGATGATGTACCGGGCTTCGGAAGTGCTAGCGATATTGTGAGGTTCGCGCTAGAGTCGGGATGGATAGAGGAGGACCAGTTGATGGGTATGCGGGATGAAGTCGAGAAATCGATATTATCGGTTCTAACGACTAATGACTTGGGAAGGGAGATAGATGAGGAAACTTTTGCAGAAGCATATCTAAGAAGATAGCCCAAAAGGCGTTAACGTAATGCCGTGTAAGCTGTCGGAAATAGATATGTCGATCAACGGCGTTCGGGTTAAAGGGTTACAGGATCGAGTTTATGGACCGGCATTGGTCTACGGTCGTTAAGGTCAAGGGAAGGAAAGGATAGGATATGGGATACCATTTGATATAAATTATTAATCATGCCGAGATAGCCTATGTGATTATGTCTGAAGCCGATCTCTATCTAATCCATACTGGTGGATGTAAGGGCGACTCGCTATTTCACTTACTGGGGGAGTCACATACTCCATCCTGATATCTTGTTTTTGGAAGGCCTGAAATAGCACAAACCAGTTTTGACTTGGTCGAAGCTCGTATCTCCTTACTGCATGCACTGCTGATCAAGTTGCTGATCAAGTTGATCCTATCTGGTTCTCATCGCCAACACAGACAGAATACAACAGATATTCCCCGAATCGTACCAGGCAGTAGAAACAGATCGTGCTCGGGGACCTACATGATATTATAGTCTATTTAATCTACGTCGTCCGGTATTGTCCCGGTTTCTTTTCATAGAACCAATCATTTGGATACGCGACTTGGTATAGCTCGGTACGACGTCGCGCAGCGGCAGCTATTAATATATTTAGATATATTTATTGCATTTATTGCTTTGGCCTACAGAGAGACCTCGCGTTACCTGAATTCACCTGATGCTGATGCGGTGTGAACTATATTGTAGGCTATTATTGTACAATGCTGTCGGTGAAGCGCTGAATGGGACCTAGATATAATAGGAGTTATAGTTATTAGGTTAGGTAGTTATGGCCCCTATGTACGAATAATGCGCTTTGGCGCCAGGGAAAGATCAGCGTCTACAGAATCGATTGGCACGCAGACCAAGTTTTCCAGCCGCGCGCAACGACAAGGCGGCGACTTGATTTCCTCTTTTTATTATGTATGTACTTTTCAGCTCGCCTACCATGTCTAGCTTGGCGGGCCGGGCTGGGTTTAATACGATGAGTTCCCGTCGGGATGGTAAACAATAGCCGGCGTAACATCGTGTCCCGTCATCTTGGCGGGCCCTACGTCGTACTACGTAACTAAGTGGATGTGTTCGATGCTACTTGAATATATCAAGTTTTTCAACGTCCACGGATATGTGTGTAGGTATGCTCGCTCGTCTTGAAGGTTGGCACGTAACTCGTACATACCTAGGTTAGGTAGTTAAGAAAGAGCAGCAATAACAATAACAAACATTTGCCCCTTTACAGTAAGGGGGATATTAGGCATCTATGTACATACATACTCCTTGCCGAGGCTGATGCATATAGTAAGCAAAGCATTATGTAAATAATACGTGGGTGGATAAGGAGGTTGGCAAGTTCCAAATTGTGGCATCAAATTCCCTAGGTATTTCGAATAACCTTTGGTAAAGGGGTTGTTATGTACTATCTATGTAAATGCTGCCAGGTACCTTCCTTAATACCCTAGGTTAATACCCTATGTAATATTTACCTACCAATAGCGGTAGCATCCGGTCTCTAGGACCAATGGAATAACCATGAACAAGTTTATACTTTACTATGACCCACATTAGTGCGTTTCAGATCCCACTCGATCTTAATGATATATGTAAAAAATATATTAATGATAAAATATACATAAGTACCTAGGTACCAACTCACTTCATACATACCTGGCAGAACTGGTTTTCCTTCTTACATAGTACATATTAAGGGGGAAATGATCAGCGACATCTTGTCGTCATCCCACTAAAAGTAGCCCTGCAATTCTAGCCCGCTTCAATTCTCGACAAGGCGGAAGAACAAGACAATTGCCAGGGAATATGGAAACTAATATAGAAACCAAACGAAACTTGATCCCGGCTAGTCTAGTTAATCGATCCCAGGCCCTATCGATTCCTCCATAATACATACATACATACATAGGTATGTATTCATTCATCAAGAAGAAAAAAAAAGGAGCTGGGCTGAGATAAACGAGATGAGCGAGATGAACAAGATGAACAAGATGGGGACCCTCTGTTTCGAAATACGTACAACTCTTTAATCACGCATTGCAATAGGGGAATATGTAGGTCTTATGTTGTTTCTCACCACCGCCAATTACCTACCTACATATTCCGTACAAACGTACCTACTTACTTACATATGTATGTAGGTTTTTATATTGCAAAAGAGGGGAAGACCCTTACCGGAAGTACATATCTTTGCTTGGATTTAGAGAGAGAGAGAGAGAGAGATACCTCTTCTCCCGGCTCAAATCTCAAATCCTCGAATTTCTGGTTTCTCTCTCGGTCGTTTTGGGGCGGATTTGCCGCTAGTCCTGCCATTCCCCTGCATGACGAATCGACGAATAACTTCGCGCCAACCGTTCTCTGCTTAGCTTTGCAGGCGTGTGGCATGGGGATGACTGACCTATCATGTAATGTCTTCCAACCCAGACCAAGCCCAGCCAGCCCAGCTTGACCTACCAAAATCCACCAAAGCCCACCAACCCCTTTCTAAATCTCCACCTTCACGTTAACCTACCTTGCCTACCATGGCATGTCTGAATTACACCTGCATAAGGTGCCGAAGCTACTATCAGAGCTACTATCAGATGGTTTTTATTTTCTTGCCGAGCCGGCCTGGCTACCCTGCTACCACACCACCATACCCTACCGCCCCATAGGCTGAAAGATCGTGGTCCACTAATTAATATACATACGAGCCTCCTCAGTAGTCTTCTAATTTTTCTTCTCTCCCTCTCTCCGCCTCTTCACCTTCTATCCGTTGTCTTGGGTATTAGCCATTCGCTCATTTGCTTGTCGCGATTCACTCTTTCAGAGCTCCGCCGGCTGAGTCTACCGTTCATTTACCAAACAAATCTTTTGTTTGTTCCTTCTTTCTTGGACTGGTCCGCCCCTATCAGCGCTCAAGTCGAGGCTTCAAATCACTGCCCACAGACTACTCCGTCAGACAATCCTTATTAAGGGCTTGGTCCGGTGTTAGCATTTAAAGAATATCATTCCCTGAAACAAAAAGTTCTAGGCACTACAATCAGTTGCCCATCGCAATAGAACAAATACTTTGAGGCATACGAAAAGGGAAGCAAACATGAAGTACGCAACTGTTGGTGCTTTAGCCTCCGTGGCCGCCACGGCTGCGGCACAGAAGACGGACTCGACCTTTGCCGTCCTCCATTTTACCGGCCAGCACAACTTCTTGACCGAGGGTCCTATAGATCCCGTCGTCAACCCTGGAACGCAAGCAACCCATTATCATAGTATCATGGGAGGTAGCAACTTTGGCATTTCTACCAGGGGTGACGATCTCTTAAGTTCGGAGTGTACTACGACTACTATCAAGAATGACAAGAGCAACTACTGGGTTCCATCTCTCTTCTTCCAAGATCCCAAGGATGGCACCTTCGAAAAGGTCCCCCTGTTTTACATGAATGTGTACTACTTGTATGTTCTCATTATAGCTTTTATAAGCGGGATTGTATTTATCTAACAAATGTTTAGCTTCGAGCCCACCAACAGCAGTATTGAGCCGTTCCCGGTTGGGTTGAAGATGTTGAGTGGTGATACTAAAGCCAGAGATCCTCCCAAATTCGGAGGTGGAAGCAATGTTGACCCTACCAGGGGCCCAATCCAGCCAGTTCAATGGACTTGCCCTAGACAGAGCTACAATCCTCCGTCCTACCCCGTGGATTCTGATGGAACCATGGCCGGTCTTCAGGACCCCCAAAACCAGGGCGCAGGTGCGGGTTTCCCCCTTTACGACTGCGACGGCACCTACTCTCCCCTCCGTCAGGACATCCACTTCCCTTCGTGCTACAACCCGGAAGCTGGTCTTGATGACTACAAGAACAACATGGCATGGCCCACTCCCGAGAACGGACTACTGAACTGCCCCGCCGGATGGATTCACGTCCCTCACCTCTTCTATGAGGTCTACTGGGATACTCCCTCGTTCAAGGATAGGTGGACCCCTGATGGAAAGACCCAGCCTTTCGTTCTGTCCAACGGTGATGCTACCGGTTACAGCTCGCACGGTGACTTTATCTCCGGTTGGGACCAGGACACCCTCAAGACTATTATCGACACTTGCAATGTTGGTACTCTCGGTATGGAGCACTGCCCTAGTATTCCCGGCGGTGTCAACGACAGGCAGGATTGCACAATCAAGCCTGCTGTCGGTACCATGGTGAAGGCCTCGCAGTCTCTTAAGTCCCTCCCGCTCGACTGCCCGGTTACTGGCTGGGGCAAGGGTTCTTCTAGCCACTCTGACTCTTCGTCTGAGCAGTCTGCCACTTCGAGCGTGAGTAACTCCCGGTCCTATTTACTCTCTTTTCCAATTTGTCTCGGTGCCTTCTTCTGCTTCTTGAACATGACCTAGGACTCCGAATACGGACCAATTAATATGAATATTGTTACTAACTGGATGCCATAGTACGAGGCAAGCAGCGCCGACCAGAAATCTTCTGCGCAATCTGTCCCTGCCGGAAATGCCTTCGTCGAGCGACCTAGCTCACCCACCGTGCCCGCAGCACCTGTCGTCACCCCCACAGCAGAATCGTCCGGGGAAAGCAATTCCAATGTTGACACCGTCTGGGATGTCGTATACGTCACCGAGACTACCACTGTGCAGCCCGAAGCCACTCCTGTTGTCCGCAGACGCCGTGCTCCCCTACACAGCCACGGCCACATCAAGCGTCACCAGCACAACGTGCACGGCCGCCGATGAGCAGCTGCGCGAGTGACCAACCAAACTAGTCAACTATTTGATTCTATATCCATACACGATTTTCTAGGGATTGCGTGGCGCTGTCGAGGGTCGGTCGCATCATAGAGGATCCATGGGAGGGCATGTGACATCGGGACGTTTTTGATTTGCTATCATTCTTGGATATTGTATGGTGGGAAAAGCCCGCGAGACATAGAAAATTCTAGCGACACCTCGCTGTCGATACCTTGGTCGGGAGCGCACTTAAAATTAGGCGATGTACGGGTCACATTTAGAGGATACGTAGCTTGCGCTCACCTTCACTTCTTGATGTAGCATATTCTATACAACTTGTGAACATGATTGTTCGATTTTGACTATACATTTGCATAGAATAGATCTAACTCAGTACTTCCAGCAATTCATATATGGTCGGTAGTTTGTGTGATTGATATTCCCTTTTGTCCCGAGCTATGCTCGTCGTAGTTCAATTGAGACGCCAAGGAGAACTGATATCTGAATGTAAGCTAGAGAATCCATAAATATGTATACCAAGATTCCTATAGCCTAGGTAAGTATATCAACTACAGTTATACAGAAGTTAAATATCGTAGATATACTCGTGACATTGGACTATTGAGCATATTCATCAAGGCATTGACATGTATGAGATATATAATTAAATGTATTTCGTGATAGCAACATATCCTAGCCGAGGTCTTGTAGCGGTTTATTCTGTTTATTTTCAAGTTATAGAACAAATTGGGTATTGTCCTTCGAAATGGTATCATGTATATATCAATCATCAAAACCATTCCACTCCCCCTCATCAGAATCGCTTTGGCTGCTATCGTCGCTGCTCAAGTCGCTTGCAGTTTCAGAATCCATATCATAGTCTTCTTCTCCCTCATCCCCATCCCCATCATCATCCTCTTCTTTCTCTCTGTCGCCCGTGTCATGCTGAATGCCATCAGCTCGTACAGATTGATCGGTCCTCTTAGCACTCCCCGTAGAAACAGGGCCATACCCCGGCTTAAACGTCGGCATACCCATGCTGTCTCTAATAATGCGGCCACTATCATCGCGAATATAAGGACCATCGCCATCCTCGAAAGCAGATTTCACATCGCGGACAAAGCCAGCGACGAAGAATCCCATAACACCCCGCCCATCGTCTTTATAAGATCTGATACACGCCTCGGCAACCTCGGAATTTCCGTCGCTCGCTTCAACCGATCCCCGAACCGGCCACTCGCGTAGACCTCGGACCTGCTGGTCTCGTCGTAGTATGCGCCAGCCCCTTTCCTTGGCAACATCGGATTGCAGAGCTTTCAGGACAACTTGCTCGTTCTCTTGGGCGTGGATCGAGCAAGTTGAATAAGTGATCTTCTTTGCAGCAGGGAATTTGAAGGCGTGGAGCAGCAGAATAAGTTGGAATGATGATAGCGCTTCTAAGCGTGCCTCTAACTCCTTTTCGGAGATAACTACCGTTTCCTTCCCATCGTCATCGACCATGATCGGCTGTGCTGTGGTCTTACTAGCCTCAGAGTCATCGCGCTTCCGCTTACGATTTGTGCTAGGAAGCGGCTTTTTGAACGCGCCTGGGACGTCAGGGAGGTATATCGCGGGCATTTCATCTCTGCCAACTATACCACTACCAGAACAACTAGGATCCAGAAGCAAGCAACCAACGTTTGCGAACAGTTCGGAATTCGGATCGACCCTGAGGAAGTCCTGGCCGAAGCTCATTCTCGTGATTTCCTTGGCACCAGCTAGCCTTACCATCTTTTCTAGGGTCCGCGAACGCTTTGGGTCTTTCTCAAATGCATATACGGTCTGAGTACACTCCTCCTTCTCTGGGACCCGAGAATGTACGATAGCTGCAAGATGGGTTGTTTTATTCCCGGGGGCCGAACAAGAGTCAATGACGTCGCCATCTTCAGCGCGAGGGTCCAGTAGATATGCGGGAAAGCAAGAAGCTTTGTCCTGCAATATTATGGCCCCAGAAGTATATGCTACCGTCTTGGTGATCTCAAAGCTAAGGGGTATAGCTACCAGGTTTGGGATATGCTCGTCGACATATAGGAATTTCCCAGGGGCAGCCGTGACTTCACCAACGCTGAGAACCCTAGTGAAAGCCACAAAAGTGGTTACTAACTGTTCCTCAATGGTAGTCTTCAAGACATTCACACGCACCCATCGTGGATAAGCGGCTGCCCCGCCCAAGAATTCGGAGGTTACTTGCTCCTTAAGGGCTTCAACAGACCCAGCTTTCCTCCGTAGGCGTGCCCTAGTGAACTCGGCATTCAAACGCGCCTTATGACGCTCAATTGAGGCCCTGAGACCGTGACTGGCAGGAAGCGCAATACCTTTCTTAGATAGTACGAAATCATGGACGAGCAGTAGAGCCAGAAAGGGGCTAAGCTACGTATCCCTGGGAAGTTAGCAAGGCTGGGGGCGAGAGGCTAGGAGTTTTCCTATTGAATAGCTTCTGAGGTAAGGGTGCTCACCTTGCGCTCGTGACGTAAAAGGTCCGAATTATCAATAACTTCTTTCAGTACGGGACTCCATTTGCAAGTCTCCAACGCCAGGGCGTAGACTTGCTGCTGGGGAGACTTTAGGTCCTTCTTCCCAAAGATGCGAGTTTTCAAGTTGCCGCCAGTAGATGGCGTTGCCGATAGTATATCGGCTGTCTCATGATACAGAGACATTGTTCCCGGGGCATGTTCAGCCGCATGCTCGGGGGTTCAGGACGTTGGTCGTACCGTATGTCTTGCATAAGGAGTTGTAGGAGCGAAGGTTCGCGACGTGCAACTCAACATGCAAAATATTGGGGTCAGGATCTTTAATCGATAAGGAAATTTATATGTAGGTATGTACATAGTATCGTGCAACGACTCGGCAATCTACTACGTACGCGCTAAAGATACCTGAGCACCCAGATATAAGGTTAGGTTAGGTAATGTTGTAACTACCTATGTACATGTACCTACAAATTTAACTTTCTAAAGCTAGGTACCAGGTAGGTAGCTTGTATTACTAGCCACATCTGATAACTGGTACCTAGGTACCCTGCGGCCCTGCGGCTGATTTGCCATCTTTAAATGTTCAATTGCTTTCCAGGTTGATTGTGCAAGTTACCTCATACACTGCACATTTCCACCAACATTAAAATGTAAGAGTAAGATCTCCGAACTATTGTTTAGGTCATGGATGAATACGAGACATAGGTATCTAACTATTACCGCCACTCTTCATTTTATCGAGAGCATTTCACCTAGGCAACTTCGATAATTCATTTTTCTAAACGCTCGGAAGGGGCGTCGTATGTTTTATATGCTCCAGGATCGAGATCCTGCGTCCATATATGAGTTCGAGATGGCCTTTGACCTTCTCCAAATCCCTCATCCGGAGTCTTGGCGGCAAGTTAGTTCAACAGTTTCGATCGTTATCCGGACTAAATTGTGAGATTAGGTACGTATAGGTAGTTATCCCACGCAGCTACACAATAGTGTGTACTTTTGTGTGATGAGCCTTGCAGGTTGGGCGCCGTAAGCGGAATGGTCGACCGCATTGTCAATCAGACGCAGCCATGTGCCCTCCCGAAAACCAGATCCAGTGAAGAAATCGGAACGGGCTTTTACAACGTTGCGAATCAAACGAGGTCGTATCCTATGAGTATCTAAACATGCTCGGACATCATGTCACTCCGATATTCATCACGGACCCGAAATAACAACTCGAAACTTGTAAACGAATTTCTCAGCTCGGTGGTGTGAATTGCTATTTGTTATAATCATCTCGATCTTATCAACCTTCTGACATGCAACTAAATAAGTCAGTGACGTGTACTTCAACCAATCAATATACAAATAAGGCTCAAGTTTGCATATGTGCAGATGAGATGGGCGGAGATGGCGGAGGGTCGGTCAGCCAAGTCCGCATCTACTAACAAGATCACCATCGTGCCCAACAGTTCGTTACGCAGGCATCTTCTTTATTGAGAGGCAAGTCGGATGGTCGGGGCTTTGATGATACCGTCTTCATAAGACTCCAAAGGTCCCAGGGATCCTTCGTAAGCCTGATAGGGCCACGCGATCGAAGGAGCGCCACGCAGCTGCGATTCCTGTTTAGATCCCCTCTAACCTTGGCTTCGGTAGGTTTACTTTCTCTCAATATTACAGAAATACAGCCCCGAGGGCTGCATATGATATGGATTTGCGCCATCCTATTGATTGGTGTGGTATAAGTCACACACTCTCGGAAAGGAGACGGGTTTCGCGACCAACACAATCGTACGGCTACATATGCGTCCTAATCGAATCCCGTCCTGTACGTCCTGTGCGTCCTATCAGTGCGGTATAACAAGCAAACACTATAATTTCACGAGTCATAAACACCTAAAAAGGGGAGAAATTGGATATGCCTAGCTTCGCTAGAGTTATTTTAGAGGTGATTGATCAAATCGTGAAATCTAATGCTTAAAACAGGCCCTTACACACTACCAACGGACATATTGACGGATATCAGTATGTAAATAAATATATAGTCGGATCGGGTCTGGAATAAGCCCCGTATCATCACAACTGTCTAAACATCCAAACCTGTAAAGGTCCCACAGTCCCGGCCTGACGGGACTGATTAGACGTTGATCAAGGTTAAGAATCCATGCGGTTTGCAAATATTGACGTTGCTTACCCCGGCAGGTCCCGTTTGGTAGGTGTCATTTGGTAACAGTACTACATCTAGAACCTTGAAGGATGTAACAATGGGACTCCGGAGCTTATGTCATGGATATGAGAATCTGGATATGAGAATCTGGATATGAGAATCTGGATATGAGAATCAAACATACCTCCAACACCAACACCAACACCAACATCAACTACGATGCAGAATCGATGACATGGTGTGTTATCACTCGGGCTCAACAGGGACGGAGAAAGCTTAGGTAGGTAGGCAAGCTCGAAAATAGACCAAAGGTTTAGTTCCTCAGCTGAATCACATTGGATGTAGCATTCCAAACGAACCTCACATAAATCACTACCTTTCACATTAAATCAATACCTTTATCAATACCTTTATTCAGCAGACTCGATCTGTAGGGACCGAGCAGCGAGATCCATACCGGATGTGTTACACCAGACGGTATCCATAAGTACCTAAATCCGTGTCTAAACAAAGAATTTGAACTGCATCTACGTAAGGTAGTGTGTAAATATTTCCCCAGCGGGACCTATATATTACTTTAATAGCTCTTCCGCAGGGACTTCCTTGCCTGATCCCTTTGGTCTGGAATTTATCATATACAATTTATCATATACAATTTATCATATACAATATACATACATCCATACTTACATCCATTAGGTACTTGCATACATATTTACATAGGTACCTACCTACTTACACACCTCTACCTTATAGATAATAAGCCTCTTCTACTCCTAGGTACCCCCTCAGGACATAAAAATAAAAATAAAGATATTTTGTAGGTTGAGTACAGCTTCCCATATCCAGTCTCGCTCTCATACGAAACCACCACGACTTGTCCATCATGTCGTCGTCGCCCGAATCGTCTTCGGACGAGTCGTCCGCCACCATAACGGAAGAACAACCTCCTCGGCATGATGTGGAAGCACAGACACCAAACGAGAAGCTATCATACTGGCATCGCCAGTTCGATCTGCCCGGCGTTACTCCCGCGGTGATGGAGTGGAAATACAGGGGAAGCGGGACGACGGACGACCCTTTCATAGTCGACTTCCTCCCCGACGACCCCAAGAATCCGGTGAAATTTTCTACGGCGAAGAAATGGGGTATCACGGCTTTACAGGCCATCGCCGTGCTTGCAGTCACGTTTGTCTCGACGGCTTATTCGGGGGGTATCGGTGAGGTTGTTCGCGAATTTAGGGTCGACGAGGAAATCGCTATTCTGGGTATCTCGCTTTTTGTCCTCGGATTTGCTGTAGGGTATGTATCAGGTTATATTGCCCTCATCCTCATTGCCTCGGGGTTATTATCATACTGACTTGTTATTTATAGGCCGCTGTTATGGGCTCCGTTGTCTGAGATGTACGGTAGACAATTGCTATTCTTCATTACGGTGAGTTTAATACTTGTTCCAGATCCCCTTTACCGGATAGCTATGAACAATTACTCACACTAAATTTTTATAGTATGGATGCTTAACCGCGTTCAACGCCGGCGCGGCGGGAGCCCCAAATATTCAGGCCCTTATTATTCTCCGCTTCTTCGCTGGTACCATCGGAAGTTCGCCCCTGACTAACTCTGGCGGAGTCATCGCCGACATGTTCACCGCTAAGGACAGAGGTTTGGCTACTGCTATATTTGCTACCGTATGTTATTCACCCAATCTAGAACCACAGCTATACCATAACTGTACGAAAACTAATCCTCATTATTCTCTAGGCTCCTTTCCTCGGTCCATCCATTGGCCCAATCGCTGGTGGTTTCCTCGGCACAGCAGGAGGATGGCGATGGGTACGTAACCAACCATTCAACCACCTATTCCCCCTAAGTAAACATCTACTAATTCCTCATTCATGTAATAGGTTGAAGGTCTAATGGCATGCTTCACCGGCCTCCTGTGGTTTATCTGCACCTTCCTCGTCCCTGAGACATACGCGCCCATCCTCCTCCGCAGACGAGCAGAGAAGTTATCAGAGATGACTGGAAAGGTTTACGTGTCCAAGCTCGATGCCGGCAAGCCCAAGAAGACCGTTGGTCAGGAGTTCAAGATTGCCCTGTCTCGTCCCTGGATCCTACTCTTCCGCGAACCAATCGTTCTTCTTACTTCGCTTTATATGGCTATCGTGTAGTATGTACCCCCCCCCCCCCCGGCCGAAATATTCCTGTCCAATGCGTAATTACGAAATAATATAAGATAATGCTAACCCCTATTTTCAGCGGAACTCTATACATGATGTTCGCCGCCTTCCCAATCGTCTACCAGCAGAATCGTGGGTGGTCCGCAGGTGTCGGCGGTTTAGCTTTCCTGGGTATCGCTGTCGGTATGCTAGTCGCGGTCTCGTACAGCATCTGGGACAATACACGATACGCGAAGACCATGGCAGCTCATGGAGGGAATGCCCCGGCCGAAGCGAGGTTGCCGCCCGCTCTACTCGGCTCTATCCTGTTACCCGTCGGGTTATTCTGGTTCGCGTGGACTTGCGGTCCTAACGTCCACTGGATCGTATCCATCATCGCATCTGGTTTCTTTGCTACCGGGCTAGTCCTTGTCTTCCTCAGCTTGATGAACTATATGATCGACTCATGTAAGTCCTAAAACCCCTGGTCATTACAAAACACCAAAACACCAAAACAAAACATATTTCAAGGACATATCTAACACAGAAGCAGATGTCATCTACGCCGCCTCTGTCCTAGCCGCGAACTCCGTCCTCCGATCCATCTTCGGCGCCGCGTTCCCGCTATTCACGACGGCCATGTACAACAACCTGGGGATCCACTGGGCGAGCTCCATCCCCGCGTTCCTCGCCCTCGCGTGTCTACCCTTCCCGTTCCTCTTCTACAAGTATGGCAAGAGTATTCGCATGAAGTGCAAGTTCGCCGCCGAGGCCGCCAAGGTCCTCGAGAAGATGCGCACGAGAAACGACCACAGCGTCCCACCGGGTCCGCCAGGTTCGCCGGTGAAGCCCGAGAAGTTGGAGAAGTCGGCTGAGGAGTCGAATTGAGAGAAAAGAGGTGATTTGAGTTAATGCATTTCATACACATCTAAGCAATAGTATCATGGGGCGAACGAGATGGGTTAGACTGCTAATGCATATCATATGATTTTGGAAAAAAAAAAAAAAAAAAAAAAAAAGTAAAGTCATTTTAGGCATGCTATACACATGGCAGTAGTTTATCGTCTATCGTCGCGCAGCGTTTGGATAGAATAGGGCGTTCTCGAGGAATAAGGATAATTTAACTAGGCCACGACGACATGTCGAATAGAGCCCTGGTAGCTAAGAGATTTGGCCATATAGTTAATTACAAACCTCTACTTTGACCAGTAGTATGAATCATCTTAGAGCTCATCGCGACCCGCAATCTTGATTTTGACACCTGGTATCTTTCTCATGGATATCTTTTGCGTAGCTTTGATCCGCCCGCCTAGGTCATCATACGTAGTTGTCACGCCGGGTGGCGTCCAGGGCTTGATACGCCCTTGCCAGACATCTAGACCCCAGCCTTGGACCTCACTCGAGGTCCACCCCTTGCCCTTGGGGTAAGGGTAGATCCTATCCTTCGAAAGCTGGTGGACCGCACCGGCCGGGAGCACATTTGGATCAAGACCGAGCTTTGCAGGTAGATCGGGAAACTCGTAGGGATCGACGGTGACCATAGTTAGGCTCTTATAGTTACCGCGAGCCATCTTGTTTAAGTCTTTTCGTATCCCAGCACGCTCTACCTCCGTAGCAGCAAAGACGTAGACCATTGACCATCCACGCTACATCGTTTTTAGTAGGCTTTGACTATTTCGAGTTGAATTATAGATATAATCATATCATTGGCAGATACACGAAGGGATGGTTCTGAAATAAACTCACATCGAGGAACCGCTGGTGGTTATGTGGTAGAAGCTCTCCTATGACTGGTCGCGAGGCTTCTTTTACGAAAGCCTCGAGTGCGGTAGTATCTGAAAGGCTGTTAAAGTCATGTGTATCACCGTCGACTGGCTTATAGCATTTAACGGCCGGCGCGGTTACTTTCTCTGCCTCTAGAGCATCGTCATCGGTAGCCACTCCGAACGTGAATTCTTCGTGGTACCGACCCGCCACATTGGCGAAAGCGGCCTTGGATGCCTCATCATCCGTACTGAGGTAGACGATGAATACTGTCTCGTCTGCCTTTCTGAAATCCTCTAACGACGCAGCATTAACATCTGAAATAACGGGGCGCTGTACGCGGTCAGCCCAAGCGAGAAGACTGCGAGTCGTTAGTTGACTTCTGCTTATTATACGCAGACTCAAATCCCAAGGAATTCACGAACGCTGACGCTCTTCGAGGGCCTGCGTATACCGATACGAGTTTTCCTTTGCTAAACAATTTCACAGTTGTAGATGAAGAGATACCATGTGAAGCGCATATGGCGGCATTCGCCGTACAGTCGATACTGACAAACGACACTTTCGCCTCGGGAAGCGTCAGCGACCATTCCGTCTCTAAATGTTCAGTCCTCTTACTTTACTCATATTGTATTAGCACTCGACGTGAACTAGAAGGATTGAGAGAGTACTAACTCCAAAGGCTATATCATAGATAAATGTCAGATTCCGCTTAACTCAGAATATGTTTTTCCTCGGTAGAAAGACCCACATTTATAACTATTTAAATGTTAGTTTTATGCCGTAAGATAATCGAGCCAGGCCAGACTACTCTTCACTTACAAGCGACTACAGTTGCTGCTTCGTTATTATTGAGCATAGATTCAAGATCAGACTCTGAGAGATGTTCCCATGTATGTGCGATGCTGAAGAATAGTGTATAAACACACAGCAGAATGGTCGCGAGTCGCGACATGATTGCTAGTTGCTCGCCAGATTTAAAGGGTCACTAGGCGACAATTTCGAACATCAATACTCACATGAAAGAATTGTGAATAGGAAATGAAACAAGATGTATCATATTGGAGCTCTCCTAAAGTCATTAGCTACAGGTGTTGAGGTAGTAGTTTAGTCTCGACTAGTTCTTAATGTATGGAGTTATATTGGATAAGGGACTCTTAGTCGATTCAGCTGACGGTCCGTTTAACACTGTTAAGCCGGCCATATCTTAGCGTTAGGTACCGTATAGGGGTTTCGTGTTAAAAGGCTATGGCATCTTATAAGACATCAGGTTCACGAATCTTAGGTAAGAGGTACGAAAGGGGTAAAAGCAATGGTATGGAAGCTGTGGAGTTTTATGAAAAGAATTCTGGAGATTGTTTTATTTAATACTTTATTTTTAATATCACTAACATGTAAGAATCAAACGAAACTGGCTATATGGCTTATAGACAACCATAGGTTTTAAAGAATGAACGAAAAGAAAATAGTAAATATAACTACCTAACCTAGAGTAATAGAACGGAAACACACAGTAGAGATAGGATGAATTCAAGTTACCCAAGAATCCGGATGATAGGGTACGGTGGCTTGGTTATTAAACATGGACACACAAGCACGATGCTTGCCTGAGTCTTGAGGGACACATCTAAACGCCCGAAACAACTGAAATCTGCCTGAATCGTGTGACGTTACTTACAGGGAAACAGAACACAGCCGCGAATGCGTTACTTTAACATAAGGCGCAATATAAATGCAAAAGTTAGCCTCGAATGAGAACCCCTCCTCGCATAATCTCCCGACAGCTGGCAAAAATAACCGGCAACAGACCTCAATTGGGCGACTCCCGACGATCTTCTAACAGGGATCGGAAATTACACAACAAAGGATCAGATGGAGATCAACACCCACTACTACCAAACAGGAAATAACATCACCTTGTCAGGTACTTAGCTCATACTAGGACTACGATTCTAAACAGTTAGAATTCACAGCGAATCAAGACTAATGATTGGGAAATAAACATCGAATGAAGTAATTTTTCGTAGGCATTCGAGGCCTATCAACGCTATTAAGGATTAAGTACATATGCAACCGAACCGTTCTAGTTCACGCCTCATATTGACATTGCTTTCACGGCTTTCGAATCATTAACAGAGAAAACCAAAGTTGATCGCTTAAGCGAAGAGAAGAGCGGCGACACCGGCAGCAGCGGCGAGGAGACCAGAGCCAGCCATGGTGGAAGCACCGGCAGTAGGAATCGGGGGGCTGCTGGTGGGGTAAGAAGGAGGGTTGCTGATTTTATAGTTAGCTTTGATACTCGAAGATAATTGTAGATTTATAGGATTACTCACGAAGCAGTGTACGAGCCGGTGGGGTAGACGGGAACACCAGGAACACCGGGGGCAGTGCCGGTGGGAGTAGAGACGCTGACGGTGATAGTCGAGTAGCTGACACTGGTGGTAGGGACACAGGTGGTGTAGGTGATGGGGATCACCGAGGTAGGGTAGGGAGCAGTCTCCGTAGCCACGCTAGGGGCGGGTACAGAGGGAGAGCCAGCGGGGCCAGTAGGGTAGGCGGGAGTAGACTCAGAGGGGCTGCTGGCCGGGCCCGAGGGGACACCGGGAGTAGAAGGAGTAGCAACAGGGTAAGAGGGAACAGTGCTGTTGCCGAAGCTGGAGGTGGTAGGGAACACGACGCTGGTGCTGCTCACGACGCTGCTGCTGCTGACGACGGCGCTGCTGCTGCTGCTAACGCTGGCAACAGGGCTAGAGACGGGGTAGCCGGGCTGGGACGAAGAAGGGATCGCAGCGGGCTGAGAAGGAGTCTCAACGGGGTATCCAGGGACGGTCGCGGAGCTAGACACCGGGTAGACGGTGCTGCTGGTGACGGTAGACCGGGCCGGGCAGTTGGTGACAGTAGGGCCACAAGAAGTGATAGTGACATAGTCAGTCTCGTAGAGAGTGCTGCCGGCCATAGCGGCACCAGCGAAGAAAACGGCTCCGGCGAAACGCATTTTGAATGTATTTGATATTGAACGTAAGACGAACAAGTAGTTTAAGCGGCTTAAAAAGGCGAAAAGAATGTAGAAGCTTGAAGCTTATAATAGCGTTGTGAAAGAGTGGACGACCGAAGTCAAAGATGAGATAAATCACTAAAGTAGCGGTGATGGCTGATTGAGCTGAGGAAAAGAAGAAGGAAAGACGGTGTCAATGGAGGCGGTCGAGTATTAATAGCTTGAGCAGCACAAAGGATTCCGAATAGGGGACGATCCTCGCAGGTTTGGGAAATTAAACTGAATAGACACCTCCATGGTCCTTTGAGCTAGCGTGTCCAGGGGGTTTGTATGTACATACATACATACACATACATACAGAAGAGCACATCAGCCATGCATCAGCGGTGGAAGTTGTGGGCAAGGAACCGGCAAGGAAGCGAGGAAGCAAGGAAGAAAGTTAGACCAGCTGGGGTTATGTCGAAATACTATGGGATTCGCTCCACTCGACTTTTACCTCTAATTTGAACGACAAGGCGTGCTCTTTTCCTTGTTCGCTTTGAGAGCTTCTAGTCTTTTGTGAGCCTCTACTCTACTACGGAATATGTAGAAGGAGAAGAAGAAAGGTTAATTATAGCAACAAGTTTCAAAGGCTTCCTAGAATACCTTGCCATTCTATCGTCTTGTTTACTTTCATCTACTCTGCTCATTGTTAGGTCATATTGTCATATTCTATGTGGCGCAACGGCGTCGAACAGGTGCCATCGTTTCAAGCAAAAGATGAAGGTGACGAATACCGACATAGGTAGATAGAGCCGGTCGGTTGGTCCGTTAGGTGGCGGACGCTGACAGGGGGGGACTAACTCCGCAAGAATTGGCATATCCTTACCACTTACACTACAAAATCGACTAGGATCAGGAACAACAGCGGAGCTGAGTACCACCGAGGAAGCATTTTAGAAGATCAGATTGGTCCTTCTAAGCGGCCACTGGCAAACAAGCATTGATTGTGTGAAATGACCTCCATATTTCGTAGAAGAGACCTAAAAGAGGCTAATGTTTAATACATACACTTGGCGGTCTGGAGGGGGTAAAAAGAATAGGGCTTAAAGCTTTTGTGTACACGATAATATATCCGGGTATATCGCTGTTGATTTTCTTAATACACTTACTTACGTAGGAGGCCTTTGAAGGCGTAGATACATAGATACACTACATCTATCACCTGTCGCCCGGCGATCTGTGGGCAACGGGAGGACGAAGAGAGAGGTATGTGTATCACATTACATTACAAACGTGATTACAGAAGTATTCGCTTTCCATTAAGAGGTGGGTTTCCCCGCGGCGCGTCGCTGACTCGCTGACTCGCCCGTTCGTCCAATGTTTGCTCTTTTGCTCTTCAGGGGTGTCTCCTTTTTAAGCTACCCAATTCCCACAAGAAACCAGTGGCGGCAAATCTGCGCCAACCTATGCAGCCCCAGCGTTGCAAAAGAGGACGCTAATGCAGGAACACACATGTTGGTTTTCACTAGATGATGAGATCTACGGACCTAATATCCAAATTAAACGGGAGGCTTGATTAGATCCTTTTGTCCCATCCAGTCAGCCAGTCCCAGCTGCTCCAGTCCGTCTATGTGGTGTAGTGTAATAAGACATCCAACGAAGAAGCAGGCGCTTGGTCCAGCTTAAACGCCCGTCTTACTACCACCTGACCTGACATTTCCGCCCGAGATGTCCTTCGTTCGTTGGATTCTACCTATCATTGGATGTCGAGTCAAGGGTTTGCTACCTAAAAGTAAATAACACCGAACAGCTCGATTAGGCAAGTATGTAATGAGTTAGGTATGTACGGACCCGTAGCACTACTAAAATGGCGCACGAAGAGCGGCTCCTCGACAATTTCTCCCTGACGATCCATCCACATGGGCAGGATCGCTAGAGCTTATGTAGATGGTCTTACGTGTTATGGTTTTTACCTACCGAAAAAAAAATCATCCGAAATAGAAAACGGGTCAAGTGTTATGCCAAGGCTGGACTACGATGGACTACGAGGGATGCAAACCCCATCCGTTTATTGGGTCTTATGTCTCATTGCCACGTTTTGAAATGGTCCTTTACGGACAGTAAAGGCGAGTTAATTAAAGTACCCTATCCGATGTAGGATTGTGTTTAATGGTAACTAACAAAAAAAAGAAATATCGTTCAAGGATGTATCAGAACGCTGGAATACAACGTGTATTTTGGAAACACTCCGAACAGCCACCTACATATGAAGTTTCTATGTATATCCGACCGACGAGAGAGACACTACATAATAGACGTATTAAAAATTGTCTTACCTACTTCGTAGAACGCAAATTACTATACTGTGCACGTATGTAGGGTGTCGTCACGTTCCTTCATCTGCGATCCATTATACGTAATCCTACGGTTGGGCTCCAACAAGCTTTTCGTCAGACGGCACATGTCTAATATTAATTAGATCGTTCCGCGTATCTTGACATGTGCTTCACGAAACCGTGCGTGAACGTTGCAATGATTTATTCCAAGGCGCTCGGACTACGTAGATGGTATGTAGATGGCCGCCCCATCACCCCCGGTTTCTTGGAAGAGCTTACTTTTCTTAGGGCACGACTAGGAAAAGGAGTATTGGATAAATTTGATTACATGATCTCGGTTCTATTTTGTTAGATATTAGGAGGGGCATTGCCAATGCTCATCTTTCTTCTCTCATTCATCCCATGTAGTTCCCATCTCTTAACCTACGCTAGCTAACCCTTGTGTATAATGGCGACATGAGATCTACCTTCTCGAAACGAGCTTTGGTCATTCTCAATTTATTGGCCATACTTAATCGTGAGACAAACTGAACTGACAGCTATCTCGAAGATTTGTCTGAAGACATCGACAGCAAAGACCAATCCAATCTCAAGTTCACCGAATACTAGTCGAGCATTGTATATTGCTAGGAGATCAACATTGCAGAAAACGATCACCAAACCCGAGACACTGTCCTCAAGTATTGATGTCGCAACCATGGTCCTACGTAATGGTCCAGAAAACTTAGTTGCTACTTGGTCGCCATCAGTCAACTTATAAGTCCGACGAACAGCGATGGTCTCGGTGGCTAAGCCACCATTGTCAACTTACTGGTTTTCGTCGATCGTGATAAAAAGAGTATAACGGTTGACCTGCTTTACTACTGATGCTATGTATATTTAGTTTCCAAGTCCGATTTCGAGTCGATCGATGCCTATTCATTCTTTCGAGCCTCAATACTTGGTATGATAGGTCCCACAGGCTATACCAATGTGCACTTCCATACTTAAGTGCTCACCTAATCTAATGAATCAAAGACGAGCTTCAAGCTTTGGGGAGCATTTTCGCTCTAGTTAATATTGGACAATATCTTGACGCTAAAGATTCCAATATGAATGGCACGTTAGTTTGAATGCGATCTCGACCAATAAGTTTTCGAATCGAGCTTGGAGAACGGCTATGGTTCATGAGTATAACTAGGTATGCTCATAGAGAAGAGCCCAAGTCCTTTGGATATCAGGAAGCCAAGGGGATGTAGTCTGACTATAACATGTGAGCAGAGCTCGTGGTGTTGTGATCATACGTCTAGGATAAATCTCTTGATCCGATGACGACAACCCAAACAAAAATCGCTACTCATCATGTCTCGACTCTGGTAGGTTCCAGTCCTTTCATGAGACAGGTCTACATAAGATGGAAGATATGATTTCACAAGGCTGAGGGGAGAATGTGACACTTTAGGGCAGCGCTAAAGACATCATGCCATAAAGAAGGCCTCGTACGGTTTACTCCGTCGGCCTGGGAGATAGTCTGGGATGATACGACGTAGAGTTTCAACAGGAAGCGATAGTAAGAAAAAAAATACGATAATAATAGTTGAGGTAAACTAACTTGGAATATTAATTATCCCTTATTAATATTGCTGGTGTCTTTCATTTGTATTAGGTTAACCTTCAGTACAAAACATTCTTTAACATGTCCCTCCCGCTTATTAACTACCTAGTAATAATAATACATATGATAGTTGCATGTATGTATTTAAAGCATCTATGATTTAGGCCTAGGTCTGATGTCCACTGCGGGGAGAAAGACCCAATCAGGCTCACCGCCTGCCCAATTACGCCCAAAGTTGACATGTAGAAAGAGATTTAACGCTAAATCGAGTAAGTGGGGGAAACAATACTTTACAGGCAAGCAGGCAGGCAGGCAGAGGCAGGCAGGCCCAGGGCGGGTTAGAAACAGGTAAGGCAAGTGGGATGGCGGGCAGCCAAAAAAAAAAAAAAAAAAGACACAAGAATGTCATCGCTTTTTATGACTTGAATTGACATACAACATAAAAAAAAATAAAATAAAAGAACGCCATCCATAATCTAATAACTATCAACCCTTGCCATTCCCCGCGACCGCTACTCCTTTTCTTGACTTACTACCTCATAACAAACCTCCCTGGAATTGAACATTGAACCCTATTAAATACTATTGGAGCAACCGCTTTTACCTAACAACGCTCTTTGTCTCTGGGTCATGGTGAAGCAGCATGCTGCATGAATCTATCGTAATCGCCATAGCATCCTCAGATATTGTTGATACGTGATATAGCCTGGACATAGCTGAAGGGCTCGGATCCGGCGTCTTAGCAAGATGGAATCTCAGGTAGATGATCTTTCATATCCACCGTCGTCGTCGTCGTCGTCGTCATCGCAGAGCTTAGTTTATCGACTGACCCGACTTCTATACTATATAGATCGAGAATGCCATTGAGATCGCATGGAATCCTAACTCCGACCAAGCCCTAAAAACACAAGCTTTCGATTATCTACATCAACTACGTGCCGATCCTCATGCATGGCAAGTCTGTATCGGTCTGTTTGCTAGAACCCCGAGATCCTCCGATGTCGTCCGACTCGTTAGCCTCGAGATAGTTAATAATGCTATACACGTACAATCCCTCGACACCCAGGCCTTGCTTAGCCTTAGAGATGCTCTCCTGGCCTACGTGCAATCCACCTACGGCACCAACCAATCCCAGATAGATTCTCCTACCTTACAGAACAAACTCACTCAAACTCTCACCTTACTTTTCGTCTCGTTGTACAAGCAAGGTTGGGAAAGCTTCCTCGACGATGTACTAGCTCTCACGACCCTACCTGGAAGCAACCAACGCGACAATGTCCCAGGTGTCATACTCTATCTACGCATTCTCAGCTCCATCCACGACGAGATTGCCGACGTCTTGCTTGTGCGTCAGGATGTCCAGGCCCGTAGCCATACCGAGCTCAAGGATCTGATGCGGGCGCGCGATGTTGGAAAGGTGGCCCAGTCTTGGCAGGATCTTCTTGCTCAGTATGGGAATCAGGATGATGCCATCATCGAGATGACTCTTAAAATTATCGGCAAATGGGCTAGTTGGATTGATATATCTCTTATCATCAACGACGGTATGCTGAGCTTGATCCTTCCGTTGGTCGGTCGCTCCAACAACTCCGGGGGCGAGGACAAGGTCAGGGATGCTGCAGTCGAGGCATTCACCGAGATTGTAGGCAAGAAGATGCGTCCGGCTGACAAGGCCGAAATGATATCATTCCTCAATCTACGAGATATCATATCCCAGATCATAGCCAGCCCTCCGCTAAACGAATTTAAAGGCACCCCTAGATATGATACTGACCTGGGCGAAGCCGTCGCCAAATTGGTTAACACCGTCGTAGCCGACATCGTTAGAGTCCTAGAAGACCGGTCTACTGATGATTCTACTAGAGCTAAATCGAACCAGCTCCTTCACGAATTTATCCCCTTCTTACTACGATTCTTCTCGGACGAATACGACGAGGTATGTTCTACCGTTATACCATCGCTCACGGATGTTCTAGCCTATTTCCGCAAACTCTCCGAACTACCCCCTTCCTTCTCTGAAACGCTGCCTCCGATCTTGAACGCCATCATCATGAAGATGCGGTACGACGAGACGTCATCTTGGGGAAATGAAGATGAGCAAACAGACGAAGCAGAGTTCCTAGAGCTGCGGAAGAGGCTTCAAGTACTGCAAAAAACAGTAGCAGCTGTTGACCAGAACCTTTATGTCGAGGTTCTATCTAATCTGGTCGCGAATACCTTCCAGACCCTCGATGAGCGAGGGTCACAAATGGACTGGAGAGATGTCGACTTGGCTCTTCACGAGATGTCTCTATTCGGCGAGCTTGCGATGCCCAATCAAGGACTAGGCCCCAAGAGCCAGCCCTCTCCAGTTGCATCAGAACGACTTATGGCAATGATGACCAAAATGGTACAATCTGGTATGTGAAATTCAGGATCTGGGTTGGTGGACCTGCTAACCGTTATCCAACCAGGAATCGCAAATTTCCCGCACCCAGCAATTCTTTTAAATTACATGGAAATCTGTGTCCGCTACTGTGCATTTTTTGAGACTCAACCCGCACTCATCGGTCAGGTTCTCGAGAATTTCGTCCGCCTTGTGCATCAGGACCACGTTAGGATTCGTACGCGCTCGTGGTATCTCTTCCATCGTTTCGTGAAGCACCTGAGAGCCCAAGTGGGAAACGTAGCCGAGACAGTCATCCAGTCTATCAGCGATCTCCTTCCTATCCAGGCAGAAGTACCAGGAGAGGATGCCGATGATGATATGTCCTCGGACCAAACCGATAACTCTGCGAGTGCCGTCTTTAACAGCCAGCTCTACTTGTTCGAGGCTATTGGGTGTATTTCGTCTACCAGTGCGACTCCGGTAGAAAAGCAAGCGCTTTACGCCCGCTCGGTCATGGATCCCTTGTTTTCCGATATGGAGCAGCACCTCCCTAGAGCTAGGAACAGTGATGCTCAAGCCATACTTCAGATACACCATATCATCCTAGCTCTAGGTACACTGGCACATGGGTTTTCGGACTGGACGCCCGGGGCGAATTCTTCGAACCAACGGCCACCTCCGGCAAAAGCCTTATCCGACGAATTCGCACGCGCCGCCGAGGGTATACTAATCGCGCTCAGCGAACTCAATACTTCTTCCGAAATCCGCACCGCTTGTAGATCGGCATTTTCGCGCCTGCTTGGCGTGCTAGGGTCCGCCGTGCTTCCACAGCTTCCTCAATGGATCGACGGCCTCTTGTCTAGAAGCTCGTCGAAGGACGAGATGGCCATGTTCCTCCGCCTTTTGGACCAAGTCGTCTATGGATTCAAGTCGGAAATCTACGAGGTACTCAACCAATTACTAACGCCCTTGCTACAAAGAGTCTTTGGCGGTCTGTCCGAGCCAATTAACGGCACTGACGATGAGATCCAACTTGCCGAGCTCCGTCGCGAGTATCTAACATTCATTGGGGTTATCTTGAACAACGAGCTCGCCGGGGTACTCGTATCGGAGGCAAACCAGGGCTTTTTCGAATCACTAATCACCTCCATCCTAACCTTAGCTCGAGATATCGGCCCAGGCTCGGGAAGCCTCCCGGCGAGTCGATTATCCCTCGGGTTGCTCACGAAGATGGCGGGTGCCTGGGGCGGACCGGACGTAGCAAATATCTCGGCAAATCCGTCAGCGCCCACGGGATCTCCATCACCCGCAATCCCCGGCTTCGATCAATTTCTCATTGATAGGTTTCATTCCGTATGTTGGGAAGTTCTTCGTGACCCACAGTTCAACCCGGCCGGGGATGCTCAGGCTAAGCTAGTCCTCCACGAGATCGCTGGGCTAGAGCAGGCCGTATACCTCAAGACGGGAGGGACATTTTTGGAACACCTGCAGTCGACCCTTTTCCCCGGCCTCGCCATTGATGGGAATGATTTCCTGCGAGCCATGACTACGTCGACAGACAAGAAGGCCTTTTCCAAGTACCTACAGGGTCTAATGAAAGAGTCGAGGTGACCTCTAAGGGATGGAAGGTTATGGCTGGGGGCTGGGAACAGATGATATGGACAGAAATGATGTCTAATTGCATAAACAGGAGTTTGGCTCACTATACCAACCGCAATTTCGTTGACTATAGATGAACGTCGGAATTGAAGCTAGGTAGCAAGCAATGGCGAGATGCCGTTAGCAAGTAAATGAACAAAGAAATAAAGTCACTATATCACTCTCCTAGTGACTTGAAATAACGTGCATTGAAGTAGAGAAACACTGGTGTTGATTAACTAACTTGTTATAAAAACTAAAAACTGCTTGAAATAAATAACTACCTAACCTAGGTAGGTAGGTAGTTATGAAAAATGACAAGGACCTAATGCAGCCCCTATTCTCGCATGGTGGGAGCAACGGTCATTGTGGTGACTGTGTTCCTTACCTGCTGCTAGAAGAGGCTAGCTGGCCAGTAGCCATGGTCTCGCCAAAAAAAACCGTATTATTATCCGTTGATAATAAGTAACCTAGTAGAGTCCTACTAAAAAGAGAAACCTCAGAGTAGATAGATACATGTACTAGTTTAGGGATCAGTTCACGTCAGGGGGAAACCAGCTAGGCCAAGTTTTGCCCATGGTTTCCAACTGTGAGTAACTAATCCGTTCGTTGGATCTTAGTCGAACCAACGCCTATGGCCGAGATCGTTTCGGTTCGTCCCGATGCCATATAATCCAGTGTTCCAGGTCTGTCATCCACTGAGGTTTTCAGAAACCTAGATCTCCAGCCTCTAACCTCCAACCTCTCCCCCTTTTTTTTTCTTTCTTTTTTAGTACTCATTCCCCCTTTCCAGTTTCCTTTCTCCTATGTATCCTACCATAACCCCCCCAAAAATCCAAGCAGGAAAGAAAAGCAAGCGGGCAATCCCGAAGCAATATCTCAAAGCAAGAAAGCATTAATACTCTAAACCCCAAAAAAACAAAAACAAAACAAAACAAAACAGCCTCCGTCTCCGTCTCGCACTCTTTGCCCGGCAGCATCGCAGTGCAGACAGACCCAGCCTAGTGCGCTGGGCGGTCATCTCCTACCGCCCCGAACAAGCCCCGATTAGACATGACCTGCCGCGAGGTGTGCTCGTAGTCAGGTGTGCTGTTAACAAGCAAGTTCTTGATTCTAGTCAGAGTCGACACCATACGGAACGGGTCTCCGCTGCACCGGATGCCGCCGTCAGACCGGTCGCCCATGCGCAGGCAGGCCAGGACCTCGAAGTCGGAGGGCGTGTGCGCGCCGACCGCCAGGCAGAAGTGGAAGCCGCAGAGGAAGGTCGCGTCGTGCAGGCCGTCGTCCCCCGTGCACAGAGCGCATGCGTCGTGGACGTGCTCGGCGGCGGGCGGCAGTTCGGATAGCTCGGTGTAGACTGGCTCGGCGGCGCGCGTGAGGAGCCAGTCGGCGTCCCGCTGGGTTAGGCCTAGGCTCTGGTAGATTTGGACGGAAGAGGCGCGAGCAGCGCGTGGCGGGTGGCGGCAGAGAAGGGCGGTGTTGTTAGGATAGATTCCTGGCGGCACCGAGTAGAAGGCCCTGTGTGCAGCAGCGTCGTTGGAGCTACGTGGGTTGGGGGACGCGGGCTGCCAGTTGTAGTAGCGCAGCTGATCGACGGTAGCGTAAGGCCGGACCAAGGCGTTGTTACACGTGGGAGCCATGGTTGCTGTTGTTTATGTCGACGGTGATGCTCTGGTTATGTGTCTATTCTATCTTTCTATGTGTGCTGATCTGCTGTCCAGCAGAAGACTTGTCGTTGCTTGACTCTAGGGGTAGATCGCTATTCTATAGCTGATCGGCTGGGTTATTAGCGCCAGGAAGCTTTTTCGGCAGCGATGTTTGGCTAGAGCTGCGTCTCTTTGGTGTGCGTTAGAAGCGTCGAGATAGGGGCGACGAGGTTGAGATTAGGAAAAGGGGGCAACGCTTACTTGATACCAAGACTCGTGTGATATCTTGTATCTATACTCAGATTTGAATGATTACCTAAATCAATGGGTTTAAGGCAATTTTTTGTTGGTTTCCGTTGTATGTCGACGGTTGTTGACATGCACAACCTCGAGATGGGTATGCCTTTCGTTTGGGGATGACCCGAGTGAATGTGAGAGATAGGGGCTTGAATGACCGGCATCAAACGAGCAGGCGAGTAGGCGAGCAGACGATCAAACCTCAAAATTGAAAGCAATTATGATTGAATGCTACTAGCAATCGCGCATAATAATACGGATTCGCACTTGTGTTTTCGACTGATGGATGGAATGTGGTGATGATAATAGTGTCGAAGGTGATAGATGGGTAGTTAGTTTATTGAGAGCGACCTCGACCGGATAGAACAAGTTTGTAGGGGGGAGAGGGAGAACAGAGGAACATAAATACTGGCGGCACATTCAAAATAGCTTTTGTGAACGGCGGTAAGACTCGATGCCCTCAAGCAAGCTTCTACGAGGAGTGATTAAGGTCGTAGCGTTTAACTATCGTATATTCACTTTTTGCCACTACATGGAGGTGAAGCTAAGCTGCTTGCCCTGCTATCCCCCCCTGAAATGACGAGAGATGGTAACTAAGGGCTTCTATAATGGTTGATTCTTGGTTGTATAGTATATACCTGTATATTGTATATCGCAATACAAACTACCCAACGCACGTTGCTCACGGACTCTGATTTGGCACTAATGAGATTTGTACTTGACATCTTGACATTTTTCGTACTTCAATCGTTCTAGATGAAAAAGATTTCGTGTGTTTTTTTTTTTTTTGGGGGGGGGGGGGGGGGTTTGTAAAAGTATAGACTTTATGACTATGTCCTGTCACAGCTCTATGGGGTATGTCGACCTAATCAATAAATAATTTAGCCTCAAGATCTGAGTAGTGTGACAGATACCCATCAAATAACTTGATCGCATGCTCAATATCATAAGTTCCTCCCGTCTCGCGGATGCTATGCATGCTTAACTGAGGATTACCCAAGTCCAAAGTGCGAACGCCAAGTTTAGCAGATAGCATAGGTCCGATAGTGCTACCGCAAGGCGAGTCATTCCTAACGACGAATAGCTGTAAGGGCACGCCTGCATGCTTCGCTGCCTCCTGCAATAAAACGATACCAGGAGAGTTCGTGGCGTAGCGTTGGTTTGCGTTGATCTTGATCACAACACCTTGAAGATTCAAAGTTAGGATTAACATTTAGTTTTCCAAAGATTTAGGATCATACCTTTGTTTATTTCTGGCTGATGGTTTGACTCGTATTTACCAACATAATTAGGGTGAACTGAGTGAGCCATATCGGCCGAGACTAGGAACGATGCCGCCATCGTCTGCTCAAAAGCAGTTGACAAGTCTATCTCAGGATCCGAACTAATATGCTCCCATGACTTGTCAGATGCCGAATCCCCGTGCCCTTTACCAGCAAGAATGGACAGTCGGCGGACAACAGCAGGTAATAAATCTGAGTTTGCGCCCTGGGCTGATGTCGAGCCAATTTCTTCGTGGTCAAAGCAAGTGATTAAGCGAATACTGGTCTCGTCATCCAAGGTTCGAGAGGAGACCGAGTTTATCAATCCCATTACGCTGCAGTATGTCATGTTTAGGTTATCTAGCCTGGCTGAATAGATAAATTCCTCGTTCAACCCGCCAAGGCAAGATTTTTGGACGTCGTAGAGAACCATTTCAAAATCGACTACATCAGTCACCTGCACCCCTGCGTGTTCAGCAATCAGCTCGATAATGTACGGGTGGTGACGGTCGGTTATCTCCTTTAGTGGCTGGAATGTCTCTTCGTCTTCGGAATCTTGCTTCGAACCTGACGGCTTAGGGGCTTCGTTTTGGCCGGTCCTATTCAGCTCAGCAGCTACCATACCGGCAATGGGAAATAGTTCAGTCTCCTTATTAGGATTAAACTCGGATGACCGATCAAGGTGAATGGCGAGAGTAGGAATACGAATAATGGGACGGTCAACGTTGACGAGCTTCTGAACAAAATTCCCCTTTCCATCCTTAACCAGGGCACGACCGGCAATGGACAGGTCTCTGTCGAACCAACTATGCCAGATGCCACCGCCGTAGGTCTCAACGCCAACCTGTAGAAACCCAACGCTGCTCTTCTTGCTGACGGGTTTTATACGCAGACATGGAGAATCCGTGTGAGCACCGAGCATGGCGATTGGGTTTCCAGGCTTCCACTTGGCGCCTATAGCGAATGCTACGATAGTCGAGCCATTCCGGGTCATATAGTACTTTCCACCGGGTCGGAGGGTAGAAGACCAGTTATCGCGTTCCCTTACAGGAGCGAAACCAGCCTTTGCCAGCCTCTCGATAGAGTTGTGAACGGCATGGTATGCTATAGAGGGGGGTTGTTAGCGGTGAGGGACGGAGATGGGGGGAGGTGGGAATTATGAGAGCCATACGTGTTGGAGAGGCGTTGACGAAGTCTAGAAAGTCCAAAGCTGATCTAGGCGGCGCCATTCTGTGAGCCATGAAGTTTGTGTGTATCGGGTAGTTAAGTGTATATGTAGGTAGCTTCTTCACTTTGACTGACCTCACGTATGTGGTGGTTACATGTAGTTTAAGATGTAGGGTATCTAAGGTAGGTGCTACATATTACAATGTATAGGTACCCGATAAAGATGGATAAAGATAAAAGATAGGTGACTAATCACCACGCTAGTCTAGCTTTGATACTACATAATACATAGTAGATATGCGATCGACCGGGGGTCTCTCTCTCCGCAGCCCACCTACCGGTTTTAGCTTCCTGTTATCCGTCTGCCGTCGTGTTACCGGTGAATTCGATCAAGTCGGGTCGATCTTGAAAATCCCCTTGCAAAAGTTTAAACTTGTTGATTACCTTATGTTAGGTACTCAATGTTCTTATTTGATCCAAGGCTTAATAACTTAGGTACCTAACTTAAGTAAACCTAACCTAGGTAATATGCTATAAATGCTTAACTCCTACCTCACATTCTATATTCGACGATAATGGCAGATGCATATACAATTGAGATCATCTACATCAGCAATCAGACTTGCATCGTTTACGTCTAGGCGCTCTTTTTTCTTATCCCGGTGTCTGGCACTCAGTCTCGCGAGTAAGTGGTTGCTCATGTAGTAACACTGATCGCTTGCATGTCTATGTGTTGTGCCGCATACCTTAGAGAAAGTGGCTTCTGGTGATTCTAGAAGGGGGAGAGACCGAGGGTAGTAAATCGAAGCCGCTCTTTTCTTTCCTTTCTCGGACGCCATGACCTTTTTTCTGATGCGTTTCGTGCTACACACGAGCAAATAAGATGGCCAACCTGGCCGGCAAACAGAACTGGACAGATGCAAACCGACACATTTGGAACATCAGGCGCTCGCCACGCCTACCACCCGCATTCTGCGCATAGTCTGCTGCACATTCTGCAGAATGAAGTGGCGCTTAGGCGCTTGGATCGCTATTAAGCATGTCTGTCATTCTACTAGGTTACTTCCTTTCCCTCTCTCGTATATTTGGAGAGAGTGAAGCGAAGGGAGAAAAACAATAGAAGGAGTCCAACAAATTTACCCAGATACATACTTTTGCGCAACCCACAACGATGCCAGGCACCGGAGGAGCCAGACCACCATTACAACTAGACAAGGCCAAGCGGACAGGGCTCTTAGTTGTTAGCAGCATTTCCATTGGACCCGGTAAGCGAACGCACCTGTGGAGTAAGAATTCTAAAGACTAAAATAAGATGATCCGCTGTCAGGGCAAGGGATTCCCAGCTTCTACCACACTTAAACCTAGTTCTCATTTATTAAAGATGGAAGATCTCGAGGGCTCTAAAACCTATGTCCACGCCTTCGGGAATCTCTCGAGTCATCTAGTCTACCCTACCCGTCCGAGTCCTCTCTTTTATTTTCCTTGTTCTTGCCTACCGCAAATTCACCGCCATATTTTTCTTTGAAGCTTTCCGGCGGAGAACCTGGTACAGTGATGCCACCCAGCTGTAGATGTGTGTAAATACATACATATCTGTCACACGTACTGAGTGAGCCCTGTTGGTCGCGGGGTTGTCGTCCGACCCCTTCTTTACGGCGGGATCCGGAAGAAGTCTTCCCAGTTTTTGGTTCCTTTTCTGAGTTTTGACCAGGCGTCGATGCATCTTACTACTATGTACATAACATAATACCATGCTATGATACTCCGCCCACCCTTTTGAGATGCAGTGGCAGAGTGGACGCATAAGTCGTGGTATGTACAATTGCAAACACTCCCTTCCTTTTATTAGTGAAATGTATATATATAGGGTATAATACAGATTACCATGATGCTTCATGTTAGGCTCTCTTTGGAGAGATTTTCTAGTTTGTATAGGATACGTATGCTCTAAGATGGACGTGGTCTTGGTTCTTGATTCGTACCTACGTACGTAGGCTTGGCTAGGTAAAGACGCATACAGTATGAATTATCACCAAGATTTCAGTCATGTATCGTATGCAGTTTGGTACTTCATATGGAATTTCGGTACTTGTCAATATGCCCATTCGATTCTTCCGAAAGGCAGCCAATCAAAGTATCTAACTAGACTATCTAGCCCACTCTGGAAAATCAGGGGTCTTTTTGAGGCAAGGGGGTTGATTAGAGCAATCGCCTTGCCCAGTTGTCATGATGGCTGAAAAGGAACCTTATACATTAGATCGTTACAAGGGATAGCTAGGTACAAGGAACACGGGAGGTTTGTACATATCACGAAGGGGTATTCCTATGGCTGCTCTAATGGCTAACTCCTTACCTCTCCATACATACCTACCTAGGTAGCCATCTACTAAGCTAGTTGGTAGTGAGGCCTCATCAAACTTCGAAAATGATTCAATTGCTCTTCGCCCAGCTGGGACAAGATTACATTGACTTCGGTGGGATTTAACGTTTTTGGGTGTTTAAATCATGGACAGACTCTTCAACTTACACATGATGGTGGGCAGGTGGCGTGAATCCTAATTGGTTCTGCCGCGCTATGATGATTAACTCGCCATCGGCCAGATTCATAGCGTATGTACAATACCTTTTGAGACTTTTGCTACCTAATCCAGAGTCCAGACGTCGATGGCGTTTCGTTGATAGAATAGCCATCTACATCTAGCCCGTGGGGGAGGCCGTCCATCACACAAAACGCCCCGTCGTCCGAGAAATAATCCGCCTTAAGCATTGACTGGCGCTCGAACCTATATACTCATTTATAGATTCATCTGCTTCTTAGATTCATGCCGCTTGTCTTAATATAGATGAACTGCTAATTTGCGCAAGCTGGCTTATCTATAGGAAACTAGACTAAGATGCCATATAATAACTAGTGAGGATATCTGCATACACGTAGCTCCCGTTGATCTACTACATACATACATGCATGTACATCGTGTGCCTCGTTGACACGAACATTGCGGGTCCCCCGGTTTGTACCATGATAAGTAACCCCCAAGACTTCTAGCCAGGGAATCAAGAAGAACCAGGTACTTAGGCAGTACTTGGCTCGTTTGGATCCAGATACCCACGCACAACCTACCAACATCGTAGGGCAGTATCGCGAAAGAGCTAAGGATCCTTTGAGCATCCATTAGTATGTCGAGGAGATAGGGTGGATATGGGGATTCAAGTTGGTTCAGGCAACGTAATCATCTCGAGTTATTCTATGAATGAACGAATCACTTATACTTCGATAGAGAAGCGAATTTCTATTTAGTTTGTATCAAGTAATAAGCCTTAGCTTGGGATTGAGAGGTAACGAACAGGCCTAGTAACAGCCATACCTTGTAGTCTGCGTGTTGTACGCATATAAGTGCCTATCATAGGACATATTTAACTGCTCCGAGGGTAGCTGTTAGCCAGCAGATACAAGTGGCGGGGTTTAATAGGAACGACCGTTACATTGCCGCCAATCGAATCTTTTCAAGTTAGAAATGAAATATCATTCGTTCATCTAACGATGACGACGAATTTTCTATTCGTTTCATTAGGTCTCGAGATCTTAAAACGTATGTTTATTTTATTTTATTTTATTCCGAGCAGTTAGATAACGCCAAAGGTTTGTCTACACGCGCATCGTAGACCTAATAAGGGCGGACTCTAGCATCAAAATTGGAAATACTGGCACGGATGTGGATATGTGTTGGATGCTATAGGTTCTCGGCACTTCGTAGAGAGTGGAAACCACTATGTGGCGCATTTTTGATCTGATTCCGGTTTGGTGAAGGAGGGCAATCTGACACTGACTGAAACAAACAGGGACACCAAGCTAGCTGAGCTGAGTCTATTTTCAACCCAAGTGCCTCATGAACCAGGAGGTTTAGCAATATTATTATATTTCAACCTGAAATAGAAATAGTTCCTGGGAGGGAATTGGGAAGATGGCTACGGCGGGTCATCTTTTCTTCTTCAGTTTTGCCATGGTTAACTCGGTTAACTATCTTCTTTTACCTTAACTATACGATTCTACTTTTGTATAATCAGAACATGATGGAGGATATCAGGCAATTGTCCCTCTCGATAGGTAATAGTGGTATGAACTATTCCTTCCCGGTACCGAAGGCTGGGGGCGCGTGGTACTGAGCGTGGTACCCTATCGCATGTGGAAGTATATACTTAACTGCATGGGGGTGCTTCCTCTTGTAGTAATCGTGGAGGGGAAGACGAGGTCCAAATACGCACGAATAAGCCGGTTTGTCGATAGATGATGCATAACTTCTTCATTCCATATGTGGGTATACCTAACCAGCTGTTCCCGCCTGTCCTAATTTACAGATTTGGTTTATAGATTGTGAATCTTGTCGATCATCTCGCCTGCTTCTACTAAAGCTAGCCGTGGTCAATCTTCAGCGCTGGAGGGGCGTCGAGTAAGATCGCCCGAGCGGGGACAGGCAGGTTAGCCAGCCTTATGAGATACCTAGATGTTGGTGATTGACCACGAGTAGAGGGAAATGTGAGGCTGACTCGACTCATTACGTACGTGCCTACTATAGTTACGCCGTGCTTATGATACAAAACTTGTGAGAGTCTAGGTACATATATGTCATAAGGTGCTTCGCACTACATGGCTCGCGTTGCTCGTGTCATATGTCTACCTACTCACCGATGCCTTGTGGCATCAGACTTCCCCGTAACTTATAAGCCTTCACCGTAAAGCGACTCGATCATCTCCTGGAAATATCCAAGTAGGTTACCGAATGATTACTTGCCTGCATTCTGATTGATCGACAGAGTTTAGTGTGGGGGTTTACCGACACGTACAGGAGCTGGGTCGGCGTAAGAAGCACGTCTTGTCTGGCATAAGCACGTATCGTGTCTTCGCAGGGCTGCCTCAATGTTTAGATTAAATATAAGCCCCGACTATTCAAGTCCTATCTACGCTGGTGTCAGTATTCGCGCTGGTGATTATGTATACCTGGAAGATAAAACAGAACCCAAAGAGCGCCGCGTTTTATTACAAGTTCGTTTTATGACATTGGCCGAGATGTTGGCGTGTCACAATACGGGGTCATGCTACCGCTAAATAATTTCATTATCACGAGGTTTACATGTATTCGTCATACCCACCTTCGCATGGCTAGTAGCTTAGTAGAGTCGCCGACTGTTTGCTACGCTAGACGCAGCCAGGCAGTTATCGATCTCTAATAAATGTCGACTGTCCGTTTCGACTGACGGCGAGGACGCTGCCAACTTATGGCATACCGTCCGTTTCTCGGGGGCGTTTTCTCGAGGCGTTTTCTCGAGGCATACAAATTGTGATATATCAATGGTCAGGCAGGCAGGATGAACGATCCCCAATCAAGACTTGGAGGATGCGGATAGCAATTAAAGAGTCATCCGGCCAGGTTTATGGGCACTCAGAATTCTTGGAATTATCCGAATAAGTAGCGACAAGAGTGTTTCGAGGGGCTATGGTAGTCCCCTTCATAAAAGATATCAATGGGAGCATGGCAAAGTAAGCAATACAGATCAAGAATTTGTATACATAGCATTGCACTAAGATATCCTGGTATGAGGGGGCGATATTGGACTCGAGGTCCCTGGTCGAGATGAATCTCACCTAGGTTAGTGGATTCTGAGGATCCTTGAAGTGCTATCGGTTGCAGAATCAGCAGCCATAATATGCTTCTTCAACATCCAGATGAGTTATCTCGCGCTGTAGACTAACCTAGGTACTTACTTATGTTGCATACAGACCGTCGTGTGCATACGCCCTCATGCTAGCTGACGTGTGGCTTTATCCATGTTGGTAAGATAAGACGGTCTACGCAAAGCGGGTGAGAGGAAACGAGAGCTGCCTGAATAATTTTTTAGGGAAAAGAAAACTAGAATTGTTGGCCAACCTTAACTCACCAAGGTCCCATCTTACCCATTTTAACCATCTTAATATGAAGATTTGGACCTCGTGAGAACCCTTCACTAATAAGAAATCAAGAAAGAAAACACCCAAGTCCAGTGCAATTAACTAGGTTACATAATAGGTACTATTTGCAAGGTCTCATACCGGTATGCGATTTGTATGCTATGACTAAAAAGGTTAAACGACATAAGAAAGCGGTTTAGATTGAGGCGGCTATCCCAGCCGCCCAGTATAAGTGGCCTACTATTTCAGTAGGGTTTAATGACAGCTATGTAAAACAGCCCCAACCCAGCAAAGATGCCTAAGTTTTTTTTTTTTTCTTTAGTTGATTTTTTCTTTCTTGTTGAACGTGAAGAGCTCCGTCTTATGTACCTAGGTAACCTAGGTAAGTAGCTATGATTTACACCCCTGTTCGAAAAAAGCCCGCCCAATTTCGTCAGATTGATGAAGGGTATACCTAAGCTCCCTCGACTGCGAACAACTCGCACATACATACGAATATTACGAATATTACGAATATTGGCGATCGCGATGATAAGCATTCGTCTTGCATGCAGGTAAAGGGAATAGGTGCGTACTCGGTGCTTGGTTCATGAGAAGTTTGCAACATCCCACTAGGTATTAGTTGGTTTTGGATGTCTACCCTCACATACATAGGTACTAACCTACCTACACACACATATTGATGGTTATAATACTTGTAGGTACATAAATGTAAGTACATGTAGCTTTTTTGTCAATTTACATATGTTGATGTAGGCAGGGCCCTTGACTCTTCGTGCATCCGTGTACCCGTACTAGTTTAACCTTACATGTACGCATACATAATGCAGTACCCAGGTACACCTGAGCGCTACTGTGCCTAGAGCTACCGTACCTATAGATAACGTACCTAGGTACTTGGGCTATAAAACGGTTTTTATGATACATGTACCTACTTTAATGTAGGTACGTGCGCGACTTGCAGATATTTGGACCCAATTGAACGACTTTGGAGAGCAGCCAGAAGCGAAACACAGCCAACCCCAAATAAGTATTCTTCTTCCTCTCTTCTATTTCGGTGACCGCCTCACTACATAACTTACCTAGTTATCCTTACATACCTAACATACCTAAGTGATAAGTGGCATTATTCAAGCCAGCTCAGCAAAGACCCGATACTTGCTCTTTTTCTCCTTTGCTGCTTAGGATTTGTTTGGGTCTGTTTAGATTCATTCTACCATTTCGACTGCCAAGTTTTTCGCGACGTTGCGAATCAACCAGCAATCGCCGTTCCGAAAGCTTGGCCCCGTTAGAAAACCTCCCGTTCACTCTCAACTCCCGTAGATCCCGTCTTCTTTGCCCGTTAAAGAATTCTACGCGAGACAGGCAATAATCCTATCTGGTAAGTCTATCTTCTTTTTCATCAACCTACTAAACCTGCGAACCTATATGGCCCTGCATGCCCTTTACCTACATGGTACCTTCTCGGTAGTTGGCCTATTAGGCCATACCGGCAATATCTTTCCATATTGCCTTACATGTATGAATCGACTGTGGGCGTAGCGTACACATATATACTTACACACACATACCTACACATATATACATACACCTCACATACATACGCACACAGCAACAACAAGAACAAGTTCTATGCCTATCTGCATCATCGTACCTAACCTAAGCTTGGGCGAGGGCGAGAGGGCGATGGAAGAAAAAAAAAAAGAAAAAGCCTGGTTAGGCCCCTTGGTACCTTACTTTCAGTATCAGCACCAATGTCGCAGTGCGATAAGTGTCATGTACAAAGTGTACATACAATGCAGGTATCCCTCAGGATGGATGAGCTTGCTGTCGCTACCATCAGAAGGTACATCCACGTCCTGCAGGTTTGAAGTATACATATGTACTGATGAATCCGCTGCTGAAGGAGGGCTGGGGCGTCCACCGCCCAGCAGAAACTGTCCAATCATATCTTGTTTTATCGCACCGTACCCCACAGTACGGTTCAAGTATCTGCAAGTGTACTGTACTTGAATGCATCTCAGTCGCAGTTAGTCAGTGGGAGATCCCCAAGCACCCCCACTTTTACCAATATTTCAATTCACACTATTGGTGATCGATCATTCACCACTCGCACGCGGCAACCTTGGCCTGGATGAAGTGCCCCAGCACCTACTGCCTACTACTGTTCTGCTTGTACTCTAACAACGTTCCTATTCCCTCCCACTGCCGCCTTTCTTCTTTCCTACTACCATCACCACATCCATAACCTCATTCCGACCCTTTTATTACTTCTCTACCGTTTCCCTACTCTTCGGACGGATCTCACGTTTGGTATTTCCCTCCCATTTCCTGCTATCTTTGTCTCCTGACCCGCCCATTCCTTTCGATAGCTATATTTGGTCCCGTATTTGCGCTATTGGTATCGACTTTGATACATGGTTTATTCGTACTAACATTCTTCCTCGAAGTCGTCTCCCATACCTCGTTTCGGTCCACGTTCCCGATCCATCGCCGCTCGGATAGTCTACCTATGTTTGACCATCCAACTCTATCTAGTACTAAAATCATTACCTTCAATTACTTTCATCTTATACCTTCGCAGGCGCGAAATCTGTACCTGGTTACCGCGCACCCTCTTCGCAAGGACATTCGCGAAACTATACACGATTTAGTACCGAAGCTATACCGTTAATGTTCGCCCAACGAACCGCGTTTGCGTCCAAGAGCTTCTGAGTCACAGTTTCAGCATTCTCTTAAAGGTGAACCTTGGACCGGATCGACCGACACGGCCACGAACGTGTAGACTCGCTTCGATACCAGGATTATTGTACGGAAATGAAGTGCTTGTAATCGGGAACCTTGATCTCAACAACAAATACGCCTCGACTGAGATTTGCGAGTGTGTCTGGTTTTCGTGACATGAGAACCTGCCTCATACAACTTTCTTTTCAGATATCCTGACGGTTCTGATCGCCCAGTCTAATTGCGCGTACTTGTGCCAACGTGTACTGGATAGGACCTAGGAAGGTATTTTTTGCAAGCAAAGTTCTTGCTAGATATCTTGTCTAGATTGACTTCAATTCTCTAAGAGGAATCTATCTTGACCCTACCGGCCGTGTACGACTTTGACCGAGCCCAAACTGTATCCCGCGGCCATGGCCGCCAATATGCCACAAATGGGTGGCGGCGGTGTACGGCAGCGACCGCCCCACCAGCAGTTGTCGCATCTCGTTTATACGCAGATTATGGGACAAGGCATTCAGACTGGTGGCTGGCAAGATCAAGTACAGGTCAACCTACGGGTTAGTAACGCGATGAATTTGTAAGTATTGCTACTGCCAACCGTAATTCCTATCTATTCGTCATTATAATTATGAAAATATCGGTCTGTCGATGTGCTAATCAGTACATAATCTAGGATCTCTAACTCGTTTCTTGCCATGCCTACTCTTGATTCGCAGCAGCTCGTAAGCCATGGCTTGGCCTTTGAACGAGATGCCTTTCTGAACTCGCCAGATAAGGTGGGTTTCTTTGCGCCTCAATCTGGTTGTGAAGTAGAACTAATGTTTTGTCTAGGGGACTTACGATCAGAAGATTGGTGGTCGTGTTCAAGAGCTCTTCAAACGGCGGCAAGCACATGAGCAGAGCCTCCAAAGCACCCTGAATGCCCAGGCCGCTGCTCAAGCCCATGCTCAAGCCCATGCTCAAGCCCATGCTCAAGCCCAGACGCAGCAGATGCTAATAAACCAGAACATGATGCCCAGGGGTATGGGACAACCACCACAGCAGGGCTTCCAGCATCTCCAGCAACAGATGCAACCATCGCCGATTCCCCAGCAGCCTCATCAACCGGGAATGGGTATGGGGGGCCAGGGTGGCCTCCCCATGAATCCAAATCAGCCGCAGATGCAGATGGGTGTAGCACAGATGCGTTCTCAGCTACCGATGAATGCCACCTTGGCAAGTCTACCGCCTCAAGATAGGACGAAAATTATGCAATTGGCTCTGGCGAAATTGAACCAAACTTCGGAACAACAGCGGAATGCGCTGCGTAGTATGTTACAACAGCGACTCACCCCCCAGCAGATGGCGCAGTTGCAGGCAGATAATCAGGACCCACTTCTATTCCATTTACAGACTCAGATGTTACAGGCGTTTAAGGGACAGGGAGGTGGTAATGGTGGCAATCAAGCCGCATTACAGATGCAAGCCCAGCAGCGACAGATGAACCAGTCTGGGCAACAGTTGGTCGGGGTTCCCAATAGCGAGTTTGGTCCATTTTCGAACGTCGAGAGCATCATGAACCAGCAGAAGGCAGGACTACTCGCTCAGGAAGCAGGACAGATGGTGGTGCCTGCAAGTAATGGACCCGGCCGGAATGCCACACCTCAACCTATGGGCGGAATGCAAGGCCCTAATCCTGGTAACCATCCTGGACCTAACCAGTCCGGTATCCCTAATCAAATGCCACAACAGTTCAACCTGCCACAAGCTCAACAGTTAAAGATGGACCAAAGGGCAGCCCAGTCGCAGGCGCAGATTAGAGCGCAGGCGCAGGCTAAACAAATGCAGGGCCAGCCCGGTGGATTAAACGGTGGCGCCATCTCTCAAAGCCCTGGCATGAACACTCTGAACACACCAGTTCGCCGGACTCCAGTCATGGGCCAGCCGGAAGGGCAGCAGCAAATGGGTCAACCCAACGGGCCTTTCGGGCAAGGACTAGACCCGCGTTTCAATCAAGGAAATCAGCGGCCGCAGATGGGTGGAAACCCAATGAACAATCAGCACATTCTCAACAGCGTCCTTGCCCAGATGGCACCCGACCAGCGTAATACATTTATGAGCTTGCCACCGGAGAAGAGAAATGAGATGTTAATGAAATGGTCTGCTAATCCAGCTGCGAGGGCGGGCATGGGCCAGGCACCTGGACGCAGTCAGCCTCAGCCAGGCCAGTTCGGACAGGGCAACCCTATGGCTCAATTTAACCCAGGAAATAATATGGGCCAAACACCCAATCCTGGCATGCCGATGAATCCTCAGAACCAAATGCTGCTTCAACAGCAGATGAACAGGATGAGGAACATGCAGCCCCAAGGTCGACCTCAAATGCCCCAGGACGTCAATAATTATATGGATGGAATGGATGTACCAGGAAGAATACTGGACCAGCTGAAAACAAACCAGCCAGTACCACAGGAGATCAAGAAGTGGACTCACCTCAAGCAGTGGCTTGCCCAGAAGAATGCCAGTCCCCATGTCATGCAGCAGCTATTGGGTTTCCAGACTGCACAGTTCCAGAGCATGATGAAGCAAAGGGCGGCAAATAATCAGATGGCCCAACCTAATATGCCGCAGCAGGGACCGCAAATCCCAAATGCGCAAATGCCTATGCAGCCAGGTGTTAACATGGGCCCATTTGCGGGTATTACGATTAGTCCCGCCGACTTTCAACAGGCTAAAAATCACGAGAGGTTCAAGGGCTGGCCAGATGAGAAGATCAAGACGGCTCTCATGCAAATGAAGCTAACTCAAATGAGAGCTAAAGCAAACGGACAGGCACCCAATGCACAAATGCAGACACCCCAGACCTCTCAACCACCTAACAACAACCTTGCCATATCAGCCCCGCCGCCAAATCCTTCAAGCACCCTCCAGCAAAGACCGCAAAATGCGGGACCTGATGCTAATTCTACAGGCCCTGCGGCGCCTGTAAGGAATAGGCAACTTCAAAACAATCGTCCGCCGCCTTCGACCTCGACCGCCCCTCAGAAGAATAGTCTAAAGCGTGCGAGCACGGATGATGTAGTCGAAGTGCCGAACCCGTCGGGCACTCCAGTCCAGCGTCCAGCGTCCCAACAGGCTCAGGCCACCGGGCCTCTACCACAATTCCATCTTCCACCGGCTCAACTTGCCGCTCTTCCGCCTGAGCAGAGGAATAAGTACGAAGCCATGATGAAATCTCGACAGGCGGCGGCGGCTGGAGGTGTTGGTGTACAGCAGCCGCAAATATCTGAGGCAATGCAGCATCTGAGATCTATTAATAAAGAGGAGCAAATGAATGCGGCCAGAGAGCCGTACCAGGAAATCCCAATGAACCCGGAACAATATCAAGATATGGCTCAGAAGATCCAGTATATGGTCAGCGAAATGGGCAAGTTCAGCAAAGCATTAGCAATGTGGTACACTCTAACACGAGACGATAACCGCGCTAGAATGTTCTTCAGAATGGTGAGTTTGAGCAATGAAACGTCTTATAAAGTTGGATAACTAATGTGATTTTAGCGATTTCGCCTGGGTAAACAATTCGCAGATGGCGAGATGACAACTCTCAAGAAGGCATTCTCCTTGAAACCGAATGAGCTGGATAGCGTACGAGCGATGATGGAGGGCATGGGTAGGGACGTGACCAACCAGTATCCGCAAGTTATGAAGAGAAATGCTACCCAACAGCAACATGCCCCAGAACCAGGACCTCAGCAGGGGGGTAGCGAAAACACCGCAACACCACCGATGGGAGCGCCGACGCCGTTAAACGCTGCTAACCTCGAGAAGCAAAATGCATTGAACAAAATACACCAAAGAACCACCAGCAAGAATGGACAACCACCGGCTGCGCCAACTACCTCTCAACCTCCGTTCCCCTTTGGCGCCCAGTCACCCAACGGTCAGCCTACATATATTGGGAAACCTGCTGTTACCCAAGCTGATCTCCAACTACCCGCTCGCAAGAGACCCAAAACCAATGGCCAGCCAGGTCTTAGTTCGGGCGGCGTGAGCGCGAGTCCATCTCCCCAAGTTCAAAAGGCATCGTCCCCAGAATTACTCAAGCGACAGACGCCGGCAGAACACACAACGCCAAAATTAGCATACCAGTGTCCCGAGCTAAGCTGCGAGGCACACAGTACCGGCTTTGCTACCGAAGAGGCTCGACGAAACCATATCGAGGAGGAGCACGTGAAGCCCTCGCAGAACCCGTTCAAGTTCGTGACCGAGAGCCTTGCTACCAGGCTCGGATTAGATCCGGACGGCCACCCGAAGGCGCCACCGAACGCCTCGACAACGGCCCCTCCGATGGCACTCGATCCCTCGAAACAGGGTCAAACGCCGGCGAGCCGAGCCGATGCGACGCCAATGTCTCGCGAACCCTCGATGAAGAGGCAAGGTAGTGCCGCGGGCGCCAAACCCACGGACCTAGTTAAAGCGATGGCTGGAAAGACTAGCACACCAAAGGCCGACGTCGGAACTCAGAGTGGAGATGGTACTATAGCGCCTGCGAAGACGTCTGGCGCAGATGGAGCCTGGCCGATGACAACTATAGACCCACAAGATCTGCTCCAGAACCTTGGGGGTATCGAAAGTGGCGGCGGAGGTGCTATTTTCGACATGAACGTGTACCGGGCAATAACACCAAACGACACACCAGAGTCGAGCAAAGACAGCGCAGGTTCAGAACCGAACAGCGACGTTTCGGAAGGTGTGTCGCTTAATCTGCAGTTGAACATGGGGCCCGACCCGAACATGGGGTTCGACAAATGGCAGCCATTCGGAATCGGGCAGAATGACTTGGACTCTGCCGACATGAACATGAGCGGTATGGACCTGGGTATTACGGATGAAAATACGATGCCGCTGTTTTCGTGGGATGACGTGAACCCCGACTTTGTGAAGGAGTTTACACTAGACGAGAGTTTCTACTCCCTCGAGACGACATGAAGGAGCGGTGGACTAGAGTTCTTTAATAGTTTTTTTTTTTTTTTTTTTTTTTTTTTTTACCCCCACAATGAATAATGAGGCATTGGTAAAGACTGGCAAGTCTATACGAGTTCGGCCAGGTAAGGAAGGGCTTGGCCGGGGCGTTCGGGGAGGGTTTATTGTATGTTCCCGGTTTATTTCTGGTATATTTGCGGGGTCGGGGTCCAAGGAGGCCCAGCGGGATAGGACAGGGGAAAAGTCTCTTTGACAGGTTGGCGAGTGGGATTAGTTCGAGCACTTTATTGTTCTTAAGAAGAACGGCTACTATATAGAGCTGGACAGCGTCACGATACCCAAATGAAAAGACCGGTGAATAACTATGATGTTTTTTATCTTAAAGTACCTAGTCTTGATGAGTTTGAAAGCGTCAATGTTTGCTAGTGGCAGTACGAAGGGCCTTACACGTGGTGATACGATATAGATTGTAGGGGATGTGCGGGATGTAGGAATGGTGGGGTAAAATGTACCTAGAGAGATGCAGATACGGTACATGATAGGTATCAATGATGGTACCTGACGGGTAGCAAGGATCCCTTGATGGCTTAGAGTTGCATCAACCTTAAATTATGCACAGCGATCGTCCAGGCCGAAAAGGGTAATAAGTCAATAAAACACATACATAAGAGAGCATAATTTAAGTCATTTCGCATTGAGGGGACTGCGACGCGGGTCGAAGCGCGCGCGCGAATGTATGAGATACGAGACCCTCATTACATTTATATCATATCAACTACCTGATCCCAACGGCCAAAATTACGAGATTTAACAATTCGTGCCAACTTCGTGACAACTTCGTGACAACTTCGCGTCTATAGTTGATTTTTATTATCCTTTTCAATCTTCAATCTAGCAAAGATTCAACTTTTTTTTTGTTAGTTAATATTTAACGGTATTTACTATCACACTTTTACTATTACGAATTACAGAATACCAGCTTCCCACCATCGCAGCTTCAAATACCTGTCAAACTTATACACAAGATGGATTCCTCGCCGAGCAAGAGACGCGTCTTAGGTTCTATCGATGCTAATGCTAGAAGCCCAGTTTCTGCTTCGAAGCTCCAAGAATACAAATTAAAAGCACTCTCACCCACCCCGAGCATAATGAACAATGCCATTAAGAGGCCTCTCGACCACCAAGAAGCCGTGAGCCAGCACCAGCAGCATCCACCTACACCACCAACCAAGAAGCAACGCCTCTCTGTTGGAGAAGAGGAGATTGAACGTATGCCTATAGATGAGGAACACTGTCCTGAAAGGGTATGCATATCGTATATCGTCTTACATTGAACAACGCAGCTAATCTGGTGGTGGGTTAGGACTCTCCTCGAGAAGAAACTGAACGACAGCAATCTAAATCGCTAGAACAAGAAGAGTCGCTTTTAGACAACTCTACCATGGACATAACCGGGGAAACCACAGTAACAGAGCCAGATATAGAAGTTGTTGCTCCAGCCCCACCAACCCCGCCGGCGCCGACTCGAAGACGATCAACTATGACGCGGGAGGAAGCTCGACAGGTAAGTTCCGAATTGGAAATCGAGAACGTTACGGGAAAGAAGAAGAGAGAGCAGTTAACTAACACTATATATATATATATATATATATACAGAAAGCAGAGATGTTGCGACTAAGACTCGGCCTGGCTAGTTACAAGGTTCGCACCGGACAGACAGACGTGTCGCTAGAGCAGCTCGAAGCCAAGTCGTTATTGAAATCTCGACGGCCCGAGAAGCCCTCTTTATCCCCGCTGTCACGAACTACGCACACGGGAGAGGAACATGACAAAGACGGTGAAGACGGTGGGGATGAAGTACCATCTTCGGGGCGAAAGGCGTTGCCGACCGCGCGGCCTCTTAGTCGGGGGAGTAGTTTTGACAAGGGCTGTCTAGGAACGGAGAGGGGACAATTACCTGGATTGCCGATACCGTGGCCGGGTTCGCGAAGAGCATCGCGATAGGGGTTGAGTAGAGAGAGGGGGGGGTTATGGGGTTTAGAGGGTTTAGAGGGTTTAAGGGGATTGTGCTGGCAACGACAATTCCTGAGACGGGAGTCAGGCGAGTTAAGGGGTATTTTACGCGTCTGCGTTTAGGAGGTATCATGATGAAATACTTTTAAAGGCTCTCTACTTTTCAATCTAGTCTAGACGTTAGCTAATCGAAAAGCGTCGGTGGGCTTAAATGTCATATTTAAGCCAAACAGGGCAGAGTCTTAGGCTTACAATATATGGGCTCTCTCTTTATAGCGGATAACTAATCTTTTATTAGCGACCGCATATCGCATATGCTTGGGTATGAAAAGGTGGATGGAAATATATTAGCGACTTTGCACAGGGGGAAATGCAAAAAAATAATAAGAGCAAGGCTAATGTTGATTCAACTGGCAGCAACCGGCAGTGTATCTCGGTATCTCGTGAGGCTCTCATGAGCACCTTCCTGATATTAGAGTTAGTTGCATGCATTTCTTACTTCCTGAGGCATCTACATCGTTCTCTACTCGAGGAAGGGACCAACGACGTCAAGATAGGAAATACTAGTGTCGTTCATACCGCCTACCGCCTACCGCCTACCGCCTACCTCCTTCCAATAATTACTCTCATCCCGTTTCACACTCGCCTTCTTCTTTCCCTTTCCCTTCTACTTTCTCTTTACCTTGCAACTCCACTCTTGACTTTTGACTCTCACTTACTGCTTCACTCCTTCACTCCTTCACCAAGCTGCTAAACTACTACTTACTTACTTACTTACTTACTAGTAGCCGTTCCGCCATGCCACCACCGTCCCAAACCATGCAAATGCAATTACCCCTACGCCTCAAGCCTAGACTTGGACCAAAACCTAGCTCTCACAAACCCCCTATCAAGCCCAGACCTAAGCAGCTCACCATGTGCTCAACAGTCCACTTCACCTACCGCTGTGGCTGCACCCACACCACCACCTTCGAGTGCCCAGACACCGCATCATCTTTCTCTAGCCTAGCCACTAGCTCCCATTCCCACTCCCGTCGGAACCGTCCCCGTCGACGTCGTCGGTGCTGCGGCCCCAAGAGCACACCTACGATCACGCCGCTGGACGAAGACTGCTACGACTGCGCGCAGAAGCGGGAGAAGACGGGGGGACGAACTGCTTCTTTAGGGGATAGCGATGTTTCTTCTTTCTCTCTGTCGACGGACGCAGACGCAGATACGGACACGGAATTAGATACAGACACATCAATGGCGGCGTCGACATCGACATCCAGGACCACATCCATATCGTCAGCCCCATCAACACGCGCCTCGTCACCTCTCGACATGTCTGTTCTCAAAGAGCGCGATCCCAATCTACCGTCTAAATGCCCGCTCATCTCGATTCTAGACCTGGACTTGGACCTGCGCATGCAGTTGATAGACCTGGATCTGCCCGAGCTGCTGGGTGGCTTTTGAGCTCTAACCCGGGGTTGTTTGTATGGAGAATGTGGGTTTAAAGGAATAGGGAGAAGTTATATGAGAAGAAAAGGGGGAAAGGGGTGTGAGAGAAAAGAAGCATGGCTGGTTTGTTAATTGTTGCTCTTATCTGACGGGTATGAGTGAGCCCTTGCTTGCTATAGGGGCTATATACTCGTTTTATTGAGGTGGACTATGTAGCATATAATTCGTTAGCTCTATAATACCTAACTTACTACATGCCTCGTGAAGCACTACAGCAGATGTGCCTTTTTATCGTGTTTTCCTTCTAAACGTGCAACTCATCTCTGCTTCTCCCAATCCTTTAACCTCCAAAGTTCATCTTCAATGCAATGGTCGGCTGGCCCTGAGTACTCGAGCTCTTCGCCGGCCCACCGCTCTGCCGACCCGACCGAATCACTTCTTCCATAAATGCCTTCTGCCCCTCGTTCATCGCCGCCACCACGCCCCTGAACCCCGCCTGGTCCGCCGACGCTAATTCTAACAGTCTTGCGCTCGTCTCGTGGTACACGTCTGTGCCCTCGCTAGCCGCACGGGAAAGCAGAGTCGGCACGACGATGGACATGGCGATCTGCGCGTGTCCGCTGCCCAGGGTAGCTACGTATTGCGTTAGAGACTGCGCTACGAGCTTGCGCGCGTCTTCTGGGTCCTCTGGTTCTGTGTCGACTACGAAGGCGACTAATCGGGGGAGGATATAGCGGGCAATGGACTGGTCGGCAGGTGAAGGGGATGGCTGTAGCAGGAGAGATCGGATGCAATTTGCTGCGATCTTAGCCGTCTACAAGATAGTTAGTGATATCCATGAGGAGACTACGTGGAATTCTAGGGGGTCTTACCATGCGGTCTGTTAGACAATCCACCATTTCGTTGAGATATTTCGCCACGAGACGGTCGTTGGCCGCAAGACGATTGCTCCCTCCTGTAAAGAGTATTGTAATAGCGAGTAGGCAGTTCTTGACACACTGTAGAGAAGTAGGCGTCTCGCGCTTCTGCGCATGCAAATAAATAGATAAGTACCGGCGTAGACAACCTTCTACTTGCACGTCGGTAGCAGACTTCGCCTCCGCTGAACCGTGAGAATTAGACATGGTCGCCATGAACCTTTTAAATATAGGAAGAGCTTGTGGGACGATTATCTCTTGACAGGAGGGTGTCGCTAGTATAGTGGCGAAGATGTGGATTATACAAGCATGCAAGTCCGTCTTGATGATTGCTGGGAACACTTCTGCTGCATCTACCATGGCATTTAACCCGGTCCGTACAAGAAGGACGGCCTCCTCTGTCAGATGATGGCGCACTGGCTGATTCGTCTCGGTCAAATTAGGCAATAGCCCGGATAGCACTAGAACGATGATCCTAGTGAGCTCGAATAGCTGCTCAATGTCTTCGCTTAAGTCGCCGTCATCTTGCTGCTCTTGTTTCCTTGCTGAAGGATGAGCAACACAAAGGGCGCGCGCGATTTCGACTATAACTCCCTGAACATCAAGGCCCTCCATCAGTACGAGGCGATCCAATAAATCCATCGTCTCGGAAAAGATTGCCTCTCGATAGATAGCATGGCCCGAAACACTCGGATGTAGGATCTTCTTAAGAGCCTGCAGTATCTCGAGGGTCTGTTCCTGTGTAGCCAAGGAATCGACTTGGTTCGACTTGGTTGCAAGCGCTTCAAAGGCGATGCCAAATAGGACGAAGAAGAAAGCGACCGGTTCGTCACGATAATTGATATCAGCACTCTTAGATTGCCCATTAGTACCTGACGCGTCAGCTTCCTTCCCATCTAGAGCATCGAAAACGAATTCACTGTCTTGCTCAATGAGGCTCGCAATAGCGTCGACGAGTTTTAACCACGATTCCTGGTAAAATTTGAGAAGCGTCTCGCGGTTGAGGGCCGCATAAATGGTATCGAGACTACCCGACATAGACGGGGGACCCAACGTCATCGAAATGTCTGGTTCAAACCTCAACCGAGCAAACTCCCGCAACGAGGCCAGCCACAGCGGCGTCAGCGTGCCGATGTGAGGTTTTAATACATTGAGTAAATACTTCTGTTCCGAGCTGGCTACCTGAAGCTCCGCCCATGCCGAATAAACCGACATCTTAACCATTACCTGGGCGTTAGAGCTGAGACCCTTGAGGTCACCGATCCCGGCGTTCTCTGTTTCCGTAGAGAAGTTCTCAAGAGCGGTAACAAGTGTCTTCAAGATACGACCCATGCGATCGACATCCGTCACGATACCCGTGGAGATGAACGCGGCGCACACATTAACAGCCTCCGCAGCCAATTCAGGAGACGAATCTGCAGCGAAAGCAGGCGTCAACGCCGAGCTGATTTGTGCCTGGTATTGTTCGAGCAGCATTGCTTCCTCGAAGTCAGGGTCCGGTGTTTTGCCAAACATTCTCAAGACGGCACCGATTATCTTCAGCCCCCATATCCTTAGCTCTAACACACTAGACGTCGAAGCCGAGAAGGCCATACGGATAACGTCGGCGATTCTAGCCTGGAGGGCAGACTGTGCAGGTGACTCGCCATTTGTAGCAACGTCTTTCCCAATCATCGTGAATATTTCGTTGAGACAACTCATTGCGAACGTCCTAACTTGCCAGCGCAAAGGTTCCATTTCGGAATTTGAAGGTGAGTCTTTATCATCCTTAGCGACGCCGCCGGCTGCAGCGAAGCCAGCAACTTCTTCGTCCTGTAGATCGATAGTGGCAGTCGGTTTTCGGTTGGCGTCGTGTGTCTCCTCGGTAGCTTTTGGTCGGGTCATCTTGAGAACATTCTGGCAACGGAGGAGCCAAGCACCGGTTTCTGTTAACGAAGTTTGGCGTAGCCAGTTTCGGATAACATTCCGAATTCCGTCGTGGCTAGGTGATACATCTAGCACGAGCCATAGTTGGTCCTCAAAGCCTGGATTGGCTGCTTCCAGAACATCGAGGGAATTCCTCTTCATCAGGTTGTATAGACCGTCTACCGCAACGTCGCGGAGGATGGAAAACTCGGAGTTGAGATACTTTTGTAATGTTTTGACGTAATCGCTGAATACCATGTGCCCAGGAGCGTATAGGGACAGATGCTCCAAGCACGCCAAGCTTTCGCGCTGTACGAGAACATCCTCCTCGCTTTGCAGTTGGTCGACAAGGATGAGAATTAACTCGCGTGATTTGGTAGAATCTTGCAAATCCGGTCCCACGACGTTGATCAGAGAGTCCACGCAACGCGTGATGGCTGCCGTAGTCGATAGCTCCATCTCCAAGCTCATAGAGATAGGAGAAGATACTTCGGAATGGTGAGTTTCCGAAAGGTAAAGTTGAGAGACCATCCCGAGTGATCCAGAGATGTACGGCGAAAAGCCAAGACCCGTAGCGTCGGCGGCATCAGCTAGAGCCTCGAGGGCCCAGTAGTGCACTGTTGGATGCGGATCATTACACAGAGACATCAAGATACCAGTGATTGTCTTGAGATGGTACCCAGCGCCCATGCCACCTACCTTCGACTGGATAGCACCCAAAGCCATAGCGCACCCTGCTCGAGCGCTAGGTTCTCGATTGCCCACAATAGTGTCGACTAAATGCTTAATCTCGTGGTTTGTAAACGCATTGCCACACGCGTTACAGAGACGGGCAATAGCACCATAACCTAGGTTGCGTATGTACTGGTCCGGATCAACTACGAAACTCCTAGTCATTTCTTGTACAAGCTTTTCTACTGCTATGTTGGTAAGATTGCCGGCTGGCGACTGAGTCTCCTTCACGGCAACCTTTAGAGTGAGGAACAGAGCACTGGCAACGTTCACAGTAATGGCTGCTTTACGGCCGAGGTCGCGCTGTAAAGAACCAGCCGAAGTGAAGGTGGCAATCTGTTCGAGAACGCTCTCCTGTACCTTGGCTGGTGTAAGGGGAAAGACGAACGCAAATAGCTGAATTGCCATGTTAACTACCTCGGTAGCAGGGGGTGCTGGGAGATCCGTGGATGAGTCTTGCTCGCCGACGTAGAGCACAGCGGCATCATGCTCCAGCGATGAGCAGATTGGAGACAGAAGCAGGTCGTCAATAATTCCATCTGGATTAGGCTCGTCTGTCTCTGGCTTATCATCTGAATCATCCTTCTCTCCAGGGAGCCTCTTGACTTTGAAACCGCGAACTAGGTCGTTGACGCCGTAGCCGGAATTGTCACCAACATCCCAGATAGTCTCAAAAGTCCCCGCAGCGTTGGCAATGGATGCACTTAGGGTATTAGCTGCGTAATTCTCGGGGTCGGCAAATAGGGATATTGCTAGGGTAAGGAGGTTGGATTGTAAAAGCGACTCGCTTCCTCCAGCTGGGCTTTGGTTCACCAGCATAGTATAGCACTGTAAAACTCGTCGCTGGACCATCATGTCAAGGTCATGCAGCTGCAAAGCAGGAGTCAACCTTTGAGAAATATCATCAGTGGTTTTCTTCGAGGGTAGCATCTTAAGAAACACGCTGGTATTTTGAAGCATCGTAGCGATGCGTTTCGATACATCAACAGTTAACAAGCGGCTGTTGAACTGAAGGAACGAGAGAATAGAACCCAATGCGCATTCTTTGACATGAGTTAAGTACGAAACTTCTAAGATGTTACGATGAGCAAAATTATCCTTTGCCAACGGCTTTGGCAGTGCATTTTTCCAGAGAACAAGTAACTGTGAGAGATGAATCTTGACGAAATTAGGTCCCAGCGACATAAGTCCCCCGAGGAGGATCCAGGCAACCTGGACCTGCGTGCTCGAGACACGAAGCTCGGACTGACCACTGGACTTAAGCAGGTTGGTAGCCATGGAGTAGACTCGGTTGTTGATATCAAGGGAGCCGTGTAATGGGCGAGATGGACTGGCACTCAGGGTTGCAGCCAATCCATGAGCGAATCCAACACATCTTCTCGGTGAGTTTCGCGCACCTCCGAGTAGGGACAACTCCCTGGTAAGACTGTTCATACAAACAGACAAGCAAGGTAGGAGTTGCTGTGGACACGCAAGAACGAACGTTTTCATGCAGAATGAAGCAGACACCTGAACACTATAACTGGGATGCTGAAGTATTTGCAATAGTCCATCTCGGCAGGGATCTGCGAAATTATTCGCTGCCGACCCAAGCGACTTGATAAGTGACGCCACTGCACCAAGAGCTGCAATCAGGGTATGCTTTGTCGGCTCAGGTCGCTCCTTGAGCGTTTGGGGATAGTTCTTAAAAACATCGTTGATGAGCACTTTAGCCACAGCCGTCTGGCCTGATTCTCCAAGTATCTTGCGGCCTATTACAACCTGAAGGATTGTATCGACAATTCGACGCGAGATGAGGAGTCTATATCGATTGTTGACTATGTTCTGATGGCCTAATAAGTCGATAGTTAAGCTCTCCAATATTCTCAAATAATTCTTTTCGACAAAATTCTCTCCTAATCGTTTAAAAACCCTCCCATAACAAATGCCAATGGCTGCCCTGGCTCTGTTGGTGGTAGATAATCTAACGTACTGAGTCGTAAGAGTCTTAGAAATGTCGCTTAGCGACAAAACAAGAACCTGGCTTTTTTTGCCGGGCGCTGGGCTACCTGGTCGTGACGGAATATCATCATCTTCCTCCAGCCCAATGCCCGGCTGGGTAGAGGCCCTTTTACTAGCTTTGGACTTGGACTTCTTGATTTTCTGTATCCCCGCTAGTGCGGACTCGGAATGGCTTTTCACCATAGCTTCGGCCAAACAGTCCGCAGCGGCGTGCCTTACATGCGAGGAATTGGAATCAATGGTCTTAAAGAGGGTCGACTTCAGATTCTCGAAATCGCTCGAGTTTTCAAAGTAAGAAGTATATCTGGCCAACGACTTCAGACAACGGCAAGCGGACACGACAGTTAGAGAACCCTTGTCGCCAGAGGCGGCATTCCGTGCTTGCTTCCAAATATCCCTGGTTATGCTCTCATCTAAGCTCGATCGCACCATGCCTACAATCTTGTTCAAGGATACAAGCACGGCAGCGCGCAACCCAGCATGACTCTGTGACGATTTGAGCAGCTTGACGAGGGCGCTACAGGCTAATGGGTGCAGGCCGATGGCGCTGTCACCGGCAGATGCGTACACATCGCCCAAGCAACTGATAGCAGCATGTCTGGTTCGAACTTCATTTTCGGTCTTGGATTTCCCGGTGGATATTATAGAGACTAGCTCGTTTATAGTATCGAAAAGTAATTTCCTATCCCCATTCCCGAGGAAGTAGGCAAGTATCTTGCCAAGATTGACCCTTATTACTCGGCTAGGGGAGGGCGTGGACAGGTTGATTATCTGGAAGACCTCTTTCTTGAGGTAGAACTGCTGGGCAGTACAATCATCGTTCGACAAGCTATGGACATGTTTGCTTAACGAGGAGACGAAGTTCAGTAGGAAGAGATCCTGCTGCTCGGCGGGAAGCGATTGGAGTTTCTGAAGGTCGAGTTCCGGATTGGAAGTGGTAGTGAAGGAGGCGCGCGCAGGCGCTGCGGCTTGAGAGGCGCCGTTAGACTCTCGAGGGGGGGAACTTGGCGCTGACATGGAAAATCATGAATGTTCTGTTGAAGCGCATAAAAAGAGGATAGTTTCGACTGCGGTGAATAAATAAAGACTAAACCGGAAGAGTCGCGATTAAAACATGTGCTATCGAAATGTGAAGGCACGTGGGAGTGGAAGGCAGTATTCCATGTATGTAGGTAGGTATGTACTGTGTATTAGAGCGTACCTGAATGGTTTGTATTCGGCAGGAACGAGTCCAATAGCCAATCATGGGTGATAGCAATATTGGGTTTGTATGGATTATCTGCCAATTACATAGCTTCAATCGCTTAAGAAAATAACCTTTAAACTTTTCTCGATTAGGTTTAGCCCCTTCAAGAGTAAAACTACTTCAATACTTCAATATCTACTTCGACATCCCGAGTGCATTTATATGAGGTAGACATACCTAGGTTAGCTCTCTTTCAAAATGTCCACCCACCTATTCTTATTCCCCGGTCGAAGTCTTGCGCTGAGGTCGATTACCTCCGCTATATGCGCCCAACGTTGCCGATCCTTCGCCTCGAGCGCGGTGCTTAACAGCGGTCACAATCGCTGGTCCAAAATCAAGCACGAAAAAGGCGCCGCCGATGCGAAGAAAAATGCCCTGCGAAGCGGCTTTGCGAAGAATTTGACCCTCTGGTCACAACGTTCGTATCCCACATGATGGTCGTCAGTTCCGGTCTAAGAGCTGATGGAGTGCAGGATAGTGTATGGGCCAGATCCGAGTCTCAATGGGCGACTAGCTACTGTGATCACAGCCGCAAAGAAAGGTATTTGGTCTACGAGAGCAATGCGAAAACAGATTCTAATAAGCATCACAACCATAGCCGGCATGCCGAAAGCCAGCATAGACATAGCTATAGCACGAGGTCAAGGCAAATCGTCGTCCGGGGCAGGACTTGAAATCATGACGCTCGAAGTCATGATACCGCCAGCCGTAGCTATGGTTATCGACATCGCGACAGACAACAAGCAGCGCGCATTGCAGGACCTTAGGAGCATAGTTAAAAAATACAATGGTACCGTAACGCCGACCGCATTCCTATTTGCTAGGTTTGGTCGCGTCGTTTTAAAGCGCGACAAAGACGACGACGAAGAGGACTTCGACGAGGTGCTAATGGAGGCGGTCGAGGCCGGCGCTGAGGAAGTCGACCAGGATAAGAACGGCAACGCGGTCATCCTTACGCAGCCGAATGCTACACACCAAATAGCGCAGAAGCTAAGCGATATACTGTCTACCGAGATCTTAAGCTGTGAAATCATATGGTTCCCAATAGGGGACAAAGTGAAGCTTGACGACAAGGAGGCGGCAACGAACATAAGCGCCTTCCTAACGGCGCTACAAGAATATCCAGACGTGCAAGGAGTCTAGTAAGCCTACCCCGTCAACACCTCACTACCAGACACCCCTCAACAAGATAATTGGTATTAACCCTAGAAATCTACAGTGCGAATGCCGAACAAGGGGAAATATCCAAAGCTCTTTGGGGGACGATAGAAGAGAACCTCGACACATAATCTGTAATATTCATACAATGTGTAGATATGTATGCCTAATGTAGACTATTGTACGTGTTGTATCGTGCAGCAGTCTTCATTTAATTGCCGTCTTTACGAGGAGTGGAGAGACTAGCCTTGTCGCCTAGTGCTCGAGTCAAGTCCAAAGTCCAAAATATGTAATGGTCGCGTAATCATGTTCCAGTCCCAGTTTCCTTCCGTTCCCCTAAACGCCGCCGAAGCCAATGCACCTATTTCCTTTCATTGCCCATGTCAAAGCCCCGGGGTCTTGTCTAACACGGCTACTCCTGCTCCTCACTCTCAGGCTGCCGCGCCTGCCGCGCCTCGTTCTCGAGCCTCTTGTCCCTAAGATACAGCCGTCGTGCGCGTAATCGCTGCAGCTCAGCGTGGATCTCGTCTCGGTCCATGGGCACCTTGTTCGCCTGCTCGGCCTTGGGCCAAAAGTCGGGGACGGCAAAACGCTCGTCGAGGTTCGTGCCGAAATAGTACATGATGCCGATTGGGAACATGACGTACATGCCGAACTATATATGATGGTGGTAAGTATGCGTGCGACTTGACAAAAAACATGGCGAGGAGGGGTAGTTAGTTGGGTTGGGAGCTCACCTTGAAAACTTCTAGGTTTAGGCCGCCCATTGCGAATAGCTTCAGTTGAATTGAAGGAGCTTCGGCTCTTGTCAATGAGGTATAGACATAAAATCGAGGTGATCACATGTGGAATAGAGCCTATGTTGTGTAAGAGGTCTGGGTTACTATGTCGTAGTCGCACTTGGGAAGCTTCCAATTAAAGCTTTCGAATTTCGATATACTAAGGCGCCTTGGCTTTGATTGGCTTAATTCATACCCGCATTAGAGCCGGGTAGCTGCATCGGGATATCCATTTTCCTTGTGCTACCTGCAGCCGCCTAGAGGGTACATATGGTACGTACTGAAGGTACCTCTTACACCTGAAAACAACGCTGTCTAGCAAATGGATGTTATGCTACATTATATATATAGAATAAGATACCATAAATCCTATAACAAATCCCATTAGTAATGCGAAGCCAGTATGTCAGAGCTATAAGTATAAGATAGGAGTAACTGGAATGAGGAGGTTAGATATCGAACGAGGCGCCCTAGATTTCTCAGGTCCATAACATGAATTAGTCACATACAAGCATTGGATTTCAGGTGTAGATACGCGAAAGATATCACGATAGAAATGTTATATTGTATTTTTAAATTTCTCGTTACCGCAGTGGAGGACCGCAGCTTTTAGTAACCCTCCAAGCTGCCAAACCTCGTCTACCAACTACCCTTTGCAGTGTAGGCAAGAACCCGTCTTCCGCCCAGTCTAAATCATCCAAGTTTAAATGCTTGCTATGCCGCCAAACCTCCCGAAACCGTAGCCCGTCTAAACCCTTGTTGTCTAAATATGGATCGAGCCACGTCGATGAGAGCGGCGCAATCAAGTATGTGCCGTTTGGCTCTTTGAGATACTCAAGGTTCCTCCGATCGGCTGGCGTGTCACAGGTCGCTATCTGCGTCAACTCCTCAAATAATAGGGGTCCCCCCATCCCTGCTACGTCCCTAGTCTGCAGAACCTCGTTCTTACCGTTTAGAAGCCATATCGGCGGCATATAGGTTTTCCACCATATCGCTTGTGTTGCGTCTGGTTGTTCGCTCAAGAACACTTGAGCTGGTACGATACCACCCTGATGGTATACCCCCATAAGAAGGCCAAGGACCACATTGAAGCCAACCCAGGCAGCAATCCACATATTTCGATGCGTGGACTTCTTTGGGAGCTGTAAGGACGAGAGCAAAAGGGGTACCGTTGGCAGCAAGAATCGTGCTTCCTGGTGTTGAAAGATGGATAGAACTAACACCCCTGATATCGCCGAATATAGCCTGAGCGAAAGATGTGGTTTTACGAATAAAAGAGCCACAGCAGGCCCTATAAGCACTGGGATGTTAATTAAGAGATGTTGGTACCAAGGGTGCAATCCGTGTTCCGCTAAATTCGAGGGCGAGAGGTTGTATTGCAGGTTATTTAAGGGCGTAATAACAGGATTACGGTAGAGATCTAACCACGTAATAGAGTGCGGAGTGTAGAAAGCTGTATCAAGAGAGATAGCAATTAAAACTGTAAAGAGCCCTGATGCTGCCGTGATGACAAGGGATAAAGGTCTTCAAAGTAGGTTAGCTACGCGGCCTAGCAAATCAACGCCCAGAGGGCATGAGGGACGGTCTAAGAATAATGAGACCTACCTATGTATAAAATGGGGTATCAATCGAAGTCCAGGAATAATCAAGAATGCAGGAAAAGTTATCCTATTAAAAACACCAAAGACGGCTACAACGCCAAGCACCGTCGACGCCGCCAGGGCGGAGGTTTGCGCCTGTTTAAGAGTTAGTTTATAAACCCGGACACGACTAGAAGCTTACAAGCACAACTTACCGAAGCCTCAAGAATGCGCTCAACGAGCACTAGACACCACATAACGACAAGGGTCTCGATCGAGTTAGAGAAAGTATGTGTTTGAAAAGTCCAGGTCACGTAGGACGATCCTACCACCAATAAGGCGGTGTTGCGATGTCGTGGTGACTGAACTAACTCATGAATAGCCCAATCCTCCAGGACGAAGCTAATAACAAACATCAACACTCGCAACGTCCAGAATACCGTGATCGGTGGTATTTCGCCTTCGTTCCCGATACCCTCCCATAACCACTTCAGTAGAAGCATGGGTAATCCGTAAACCGGCCACAGCGGGAAAACGCTACGTATGGGATGATCGCTTGTAAATTCCCAAGTAAGTCGGACGGGGTAGCTGAAGATTTGACCTACATTGCACGCCGATTTGTTAGTTTATAATCGTTGCAAACGGTTGCGAATAGAGCTAATTTTAAACCCCCAGCAAAATGTGTCTTTGCGCTTACCTGCTATAACTTCAGGACCTTGGAAATTTTCATCTGGATGCAGATAGCTCGGCGAAAAAGCGAGCCATAGTCGTACCAGAACCAGTAACATATAGGTACGCCTCCACATGATTCTACCCGGAGGTGCGCATCTACGAGGGTTGTGTGTGGGGTATAGCTGAACGGGAAAACTGTAAGTCGTTGTAATATTGCGGTAGCTGTCGCGTCACGTCGAACGGTCGTATATACAATTACTGTCGCTGTCGCTGTCGCGTTATCGCAGTTATCGCAGTTATCGCAGTTATCGGGTACGTGGGCGCGATTGATTTTTTTTTTTATGAAGTATAGGATCACCTAGGATTTAGCATCGCGGCAGGAAGCGAACAAGGTATTATATAGGTAGGAGACAATGCCTATGTATCGAAGGAAGCGACAAAGGGTAAAGGAGTGTGGGCTAAATTTATCTGTTCTTATCAATAAAAAATATCAAAGGAGAGGAAAGAAGAAAAAAAATCTAAAACGAAATAGGGCAAAGGCCCAATATAGTAACAACAATAAATTGCAAGCTTTCGAGATAGATGTATGTACACACTATGGTAAGAATAGTAAGGATGAGAGGTAAAATGACACGGGTCACGAAATAAGATCACGGAACACAAGCTGACATGTTACCATTCCCCGGCATTTTGGGTCAATTTTGGGTAATCCGTATGCATCCCCGTTCGATCGTTAAGTACATATCTGCATAATCTTACAAACCTCCCACAGGATTCTTACCGTAAACGGCTAGGCATATACCGTTTGGAAATAGTCTAGAATGCCGTGCATGGATCGATTGCGAAAAAGGAACTGTCAAATCTAAAGGTTATTAACTGGGTCAATTCCTACGGATCCGTACCTACCTATGTACATACATAGGTACATATGTACTTTGCCATGTACGTACCTCCCCTAAAAGAACAATGCATTACCTACCTACATATGTAATGTATGCAAACCACCTAATTTACTACGCACGATATATTGATTAATACGGAATATGTGGTGTGATATTCGAAATGTTCATTTAGAATAGGTACCTATGTACATAGGTAGTCTCGTTCAGCTTAATGCCGAACCATAAAAGATCTAACTCTAAATTTCGACGATCTATACTCTAACGTATAGACGTTGTATGTCATCTGCAACCGAGCCAATATAAAAGACCTCCAAATGCTACGTTAATAACGAGATGCTGTCCCAGACTCCACGCCATGCTGTATAAATACTTTGGTGAGAATACAGTCCATATGAATAAATGCGTCCTCAAGGTCGTGCAAGCTACCATCACAAACACAAGAGCGACTGTCACAAACAACGTCAAAATTGCAATGTGCTGCTGATATACGCGATCATGGCCAGGTTTCGCTGATTCCCTGCTTTGAAGGAGTAGCAAGTTCGATGCCGAGGTCCACCATATCGGGGCAGCCCAATTGCTGAGGAATGTTAAGACTCCTACGGCAAAGATATTAAATCCGCTGACGCCATTGTACGCGTTAGACAAATCCACGCCGGAGATCGCGTTGGAACCTCCCATCGTGAAGAAGGAAGCAAATTGTAGTAGCAGTGATGATATCGTAACGTCTACAACCCCCAGATGGAGCCCGTCCAGGTACAGGTAAATGGCTCGAAATAGTAAGAAGAGGGGTATGTTGGTTACTCGAGATTGTGTTAACGCAAAAAGCATATACAAATGATGCAGGGTTCGCATTGCTGCGTGGAAGTCAGCCGGCATTATTTCTCACTTATTTATAAAGAAAACTCACCATCCCCTTTAGATTGCTTAGTCCCCTGCACAAAAGTGCTGTACAAAGGACATATCGAAGTAAGTCCAAGACCGAGGAATACCGCCCGTGCTCGGTTCACAAGGGTCGGACCGTCAAATAAGTCCACAAGCGTCTTCGCGAATCCAACAATTAGCTCAGGGGCGTCTTCGTTAGTAAAAGCAAGCTTGAAAGATATTGCTGATGTCGCTAGTCCCACAACTATGGAACCTGATATGGCAGTTGGGATCCTCCGAAGCCCGTTAAATAAATCTAAAGAGACCATCGCATACGTCGTGAGAGTAAGAGACCAGAGCAGTGGCGGATTTGACGCCATAAAACTGGTCACGATGTCGGGCTCGCCGGCAAACTTTTGCCCAGTCTGATTCCACCCTCGAGTCAACCGAATAGCGCCAAGTGCAATGAAGCCCATGATGAAAGACTTATACGTCGCTCTTGGACTCCTACTTATATGTCAGTTCGGTAATATTGAAGTCAGATAGATGCTACTTACGACCTAATCGCGAGATAGAATAACCACGCAGAAGTAGCCCAGTACCAAAAGTGTTGCTCTTCCTCAACATAACTACTAGCAAACATCATTATACCATATAGCACCGTGATGAGTACAAATGGTGCTAAGTTATAAGCTGCTACAGAAGATGAAGTTACTACGGTGTATACCGCCGTGACGGAGGCCACTACCGCTACCACTTCACCGTATATGAGCATTGACATATCATAGTTGCTCGCCATGCCGCTCATTAAAGTCTGCGCCCTTGATAACCACTGGGGGTTGTTAATACATCATGCTCAGTTGCGAAAATAGTAATGGGTTAAATCTCGCACCTTTGACACATCCATTATCTGGTCCTCGCCTGGGTTTCCCCTGCTTGAGGCAGTTTCGGTTATTTTGCTAATTTGCTGCCATTCACAGGCCAATTCTTCGGCCCCAGAGCCAGGGCGAACACAATCCAGGTTGGGGTTTCTACCAACCGGTGACGAACCACTAAAGCTTGCGGTGACAATATCGAGAATCTGCCTTGCGTTACGCACAAGAATCTGAAGCCTATCTCGTTCTTAAACTAGTTAGCACGGCATCTGTCGATTACGAAGAGGGCTACTTGCTCTCTAGCCAAAAAGGTAGAAAGTCTACCATAAATGAGCCTAGATTATTTTTGGGTATCGGAAAGCCGAGCAAAGCGGCAAGAGTAGGGGCTAGATCGGACTGCTCTACGACATTGTAATACTGGAAATCCTCGACAAAATCTGCTGGCACTTTGACGGGTTTTGCGATGGACTTCAGTTTAGGTGATACAAACACGAGGGCAGCTGAAGTTTCTCCAGGAGAAGAAGCTCCATGGTTACCAGCATCATTCATGCCATGGTCACCACAGAAAACAAGAAGAGTCGAATGAAGATGCGGCTGTGTCTCTATTGCCTCGTATATTAGGCGAATAATTCCGTCCATCTCCTGCTGCTTTGGAATCATATTTGGGCCCCGAGGGCCAGTTTTATGGCCAATATGGTCGAGGCCGAGGTAATGGAGAACCATTGTATTCCAGTCATCGTTGCGCAACTCGTCGGGGACGTGCCTCGTCACGTTGTTGTCGACTTCGGTAAAATCGGAGACGAAGAAGCTCGAGGTGCCATCCGCTCGATCGAACACACCGGGGAATAATTTCAACCACGTATCATCGCCATACATAACTAGCTTCCCTGATTTCTTTGCCTTCATCTGAGCGAGCCAGGTGTCCTGGGCAGCGAGCGTCGAAGACGTGTCGGCTTCGTCGAAACTCAAGATCGCATCGAGGAAGGAAGGCGTGGAACCAGTAGTAATCGCTTTTATGCGAGGCATCGTGATAGTCGGCGACGTAGCACGAGCGGTGTAGGGAATAGCATGTCCATTTTGAATAAGCCTGGAAGTTCGTGTCAGCAATACAGGCCGGCGAATTATGCCTCGATCCCTCTAACCCTTGGGTAAACTCGAAACCGGAGCCATTTAGATATACGAAGTCGCTGCGCCGGTCAGTTAGACAAGCGCACGGTGACGAGTGATAGTTGCGCCAAGTGAACGAACCTGCGCAAAGCATCGACAACCATGAATATTAGACGATCAAACGGCGCTTCGGGTGGCGAGCCATAATCGAGGGATTGGTACTCGGCTAGTCCAGGTAAGAATGGTTTGTAGGGGAAAAAACCAACGGCAAAGAGGAGGATTGCCACAGGTATTAGAAGATTGGCTGCGACGAGAAGTACAGTCGAGACCGAGAAGACATTATGGCGGTACATGACCAATTGTAACGCATAGATCAGCTTTTCCGACCGATTACAGCTGTATTTATAAATGCAAGCTAGAGGTCAATTTCGCCTATGCTCCATTGTCTATCATGAAGTGAGGCTTCGATTGGAATAGTAACTAAGTTAGAACAGATTGATTTCGAGACTCATTGATTTCGAGATGTTGAAAGCTGAAATTAGAGCTGATAGATCCACTCTTAACGTTGCACCAGGTAATGTACATCCATGTGCAAGCACGAAGGGACAGGTGTATCTTCTTGCCCTGTACCTAATAATAAGGTCAGGTAGGTACTGTGGGGCGCTGTATGCATCTACTGAAGTGTTCTTTCAATGCAGCTAGGCCTGCTACACATAGGTCATGTACCGATATACATAGCTGCCCAAGTACTGCAGGGATCCACACACCCCACATCCCGATCAGATTGTTTATGCACATGTCAAGACCCACTCTCTCGTTGATATCATCCCACTTCTGGAGCTTTCTAAGACAAGTTCGACGTCGCCACAAGCTCAAACAAGATATTTTCTTCAATATAATCATGTATGTATTGATCACAGCCCGTGAAATGCTCCATTTATGTCCTAATGTTTAAGCAATTCAAGAGCTAAGTGTCATTATGACTATCAACGACCCGCCTGATAATATTTTTATCCGCTTCAAGAATCACATCGACAACAATATCTACCGAGGTTTTCAGACCATTCTCACATTGCCAGTACATACGGAAAACCGTGAGCAAGAAATGGACAACAGTCCAACTAACAGACACGATACTGTTACCCAGCAAAGAAAGTCGGTGGTTCCTCCGTCAAATTCAAGTACACCAAGTCCAGATGATGATATGAGAGACGCCGAAGTAAAAGACGTCTACCATTGGGCCATTTCATCTCCATATTCCCCTCTAAATCTCCAATCCTTACGGCAGCCTCGTCCGGCCGATGCGCCTCGGGATTACCCCGATTGCTTCACCTTCCGGGACGCATTCGAGGATCTCTTAGCGGTGAATTCTGGAAAACCTCTATCTGACCTACGCAGACTTGTATTCTTCAAACACTTTGAGCATGTGCGGTACTTTCCCTGGGGAATGTCCGTTGAAAACTGGGTTGCCGGCGTTGGATATCGCGGCCTTTGGGGCACTTATTTCCCCCTCTCCCGATCGGCTAAGCATGATTTGTCCTGCGGCATAATCTCGCCTTGGAGGAGTCTACAGATAGGAGAAACGACGTTCCATCAATCACCGGTATCAACGTGGCCCAGCATGATCTTCCCGCCTTGGGAACATCACCGGTCGTGGCGATATGGCGATCCTATCGGATCCGAAGAAAAGCAAGCTGAGCGTGAAGTTGAAACGACGTACCCCCAAGAAGCAGACACAGAATATGACTTATACCAGGCTATGCGCTCCGAGCCTACTACGGATAATAAAGTAGTAGAAACAAATGCCCCTCAAGGACTAAGTAGTCAACCGAGATCGAGCCAGGCTACTAATTCCCAGGATTCTAATGACGGGACTGTGACCCAGACAACTGAAACACCAGATGGCGGTAAGATTGTAAAGACCATCGAACAGCACGGCTCACAATTCGGGAAGAGAGTCAATACTACCACAAAACAATTTAACGCTGCCGGCGAGCTTGTCTCTAAAAGCCAAACAAGCAGCTGGTCATGGTCTTATCAGTCTCCGGGCCCATCTTCAAAAACCTTTGACTACGAGGGGTCATCTTCAGATGACGAGAATACAGATTGGCCCGATGACAAGGAGGAAAGGCCTACTAGAAAGGATCATAAATCTAATGGTTGGTTTTGGAAATAGCTTCAACTTTGAACATACTCTCCCTCTTTATATCATCTATAATGAGAAGCCATGAGCATTACCTCTTGCTTTCAAGCATATGTCATGTATATACCCACGCAGCTCGTTTAAACACGCTAATAATACGTAATCGCAAGTGAGCAGAAATAAATTACCATTGAAAACACATGTTAGAAGCTTATTATGGCTCGAAAATCATGCTTTTGTTTAGTCATATAATTATAACTCAAGTTTCTAGGCATAGCTAACAGCTACATAGTACACTTAATGACGTGCCTGAGCCTTCTTCTTCCTCGTCATCCGTTTCCTCGCGATAATCTTCTGTTGTAGAGCATCCTTCTCCGAGACTTCCTCGCCTGCCTTGGCGCCAGAATTATCACCTGCCGCTTCAACCTTTTTCTGCCCCCTCCATTTCCCATTTGACACAGAAAAGTCCTTGCCTTTTGGTGGATACCTTGATCCATTCGCATTCGCATTCGCATTTCTATCTTCGCTTTGACCATCAGGGCGCTGGTTGCTTCGGAATGTCCGTTGTCTTTCTTGGTTGTCCTTCCTCCTTGCTACTACCTGGGCGTTTTCAATAGCAAACTCGACAATCAACCGCTGCGTTTTCCCAGTCGGGGTCTTCAATGCGTGCCCGTTCAGCCACCGTAAGCCCATGAGTGCCCATCGATGCGAGGAGTATTCGATGAAGCCATAGCCTCGACTTTTACTGGCACCATCCACTTCAGGCACCTTTGATCCTTCTTTGTTCTCGAATACTATCTTCGCCTGCTTGACAATACCCTTACCCTTCTCTTTCCGCCGGCGTTCGGCCTCCTTATCTTCCCCTCCGCCTCGGGCATTCTCCTCCTTAGAAAGCGGCTCTCTTCGACCTTCCTTGACATCCTTAGCGAAACCAACAACAGCTTCACGAGCTAAAGCCTTAAGCTTCTTTGAATCCAAATCGCGGGGGATATTGCGAATCGCTAAACGAGTAAGACTTAGATGGAGACTTGGGTTGCTTTCAATAAGCTTTTTGCGTTGGGCAGCGCTATCTTCGCGAATCTTGACCTCCGTAGGAGCGAGCGTCGCATATAGGGGCGAGTCTGTCATGAGAGCACCTTCAGATAATAAGTATAGTCGGCGCCTGTCCTTTTCCTTGCCAAGCCGAACGGCAATACCCTTCTCTGCGAGATTACTCGCTTCGTCTTTGCTTACAGCCTGTGACACTTGAAGAATTCGACTGTCCATAGTGTACTTGCCCTGCTCATCCGCTAGTTCGTTCTGCAGGATCGACTTTTTATTGGGTATCGTAGATTGCTGAGCGCGTGGTGCACTCTTGAGACATGCCTTCGAATCATTTTCGCTGACAAAACAGACGAAACCTGTGCCGGCCGGCCGATCAGTCGCTCGATCAACTACGATACGAGCGTACCTGACGCGTCCAAATTGCTCGAAGTGGGATTTCAGTTCTGCGTCTGTAGCTGTAAAGGGTAGATTGCGAATGAAAACAGTCGACTTATTATCTGTCATAAAGGGTTTCTTAGGGGTAGGCTCGCTTCTTAATGTAGCACCACCTTCATTATCAGCGTCTTCAGATTTGTCATCGTCTGGGTTATCATCGCTGTCTTCATCCTCCAGATTTTCCATATGGTTTTTCATGAAATTTTTTATATCCTCATCTTCTTCGTCATATTCGTCATCTTTCTCGCTTTGGTCTTCGCCTGACTTAGCGCCATCATCTTCCAATGCTTCGTCCTGGTTCGTAGGCTTAGCATTTTTACTCATGCTGTCATCTTTATCTGGCTGTTGTTGCTGTTGCTCCCACGTCTGCTTATCAACAGCCCAGTCGACAGCTAGAGTCCTGCCGTCGATGGTCTTCCCATTAATGGCTTCTATAGCCTTTTCCGCATTCTTCCGACCACGCATGGTGATGAAACCAAACCCCGAGAGTTTTCCTTTGGCATTTGGAAGGTCGGCATATTTTACTTTTCCAAACCCCTGGAATAATGCCGCGAGTTGATCTGACTTCTTGATGCTCCAGGGCAAATTTCGTACGATCAACTTGGGTGCTTTACGAGCCTCAGCCAGGGTTGCTTGCCTCTCGGCCTTCTTAGTAGCGGCATCTACCGACTCGGTACCTGGTTGACGGTGTCGGGGTTCTGCAATTTCTAATACTAGTGGACGGCCGTCTAGCTTCTGTTTGTGGAGTTTTTCTTTAGCCTCTTTAGCATCGTCGGCGTCAGTGAAAGTAACGAAACCATAACCGCGCGAAGCTTTGGTCTGGGGGTCAAGAATGACAGTAGCATGCTTTATGGGAAAATGTTGAGAGAAGAATTCGGTCAAGGTCTCGGCGGTAGCTGTAGGCGGAAGTGATCGCACAAAGAGAGATCTGCTCTGCTCAACTCGAGCTTTCTTGGTAGGCGGCTCGACAGTGGAATCGACATCTTTCGAAGGCGCATCTGAGTTTGAGTCTGTTCCAGACGCTCTGGATCTTTTAAGATCGCTGCTACTACCCATTTTCACTTCCACATACGACTTCTGTTACAATTGACACTGGTGAGATAACGATGGCGCATATGAACGTAGCTTGGAGGGAATAAAAATTATAGTCTGGGAAGAGGAAAAAAGTCCGATAAGTAAAATTATCGATAAGGATAGTATTAGCGTAGAAGTGGATGTGCACATCTAGAGAAGTACCTAAACGTACGCTAAATGAGTTCGGTACCTTTTAAAAGATAATTACGGAGCATATTAAGTGCGTTGAACCGTAAGACCGTGTAATACGGCGCGGGGTAGAAAACGGAAATGCTTTGGCAGTTGTCCTAGCAGCCGTTTCGGTTTATTGATTTACTTACCAAATATAGGAAAGTCGCGCCAACACAAAAAACATTACCTTACCCTAATATTAATGTAGATGTCCCCCATTCATTAAATGTCCATACATAGCGGGGGATGCCAACGATATCGCGATACCTTTTGCGCGTCTACTTTTGCCCTTATTATTTTACTTAAGGCCAATAAATAGATTTGTTATGTTCTCAATTCCTATAGACACTTCGCTGTCCACCCCTTTCCGACTCGAAATCAAATCTACTATATATACCTACCCTTGGGCGCATATATTTACCGCCTAAAGCATATGTTCCGAGGGGTCAATAGCAACAGCTAAACTAATATATGTAACGGAACTATCATATTCAGCATGCCAGCTCGGTCATCCGCCAGGTCCACGCGGACTACTGGCGCCGTATCCAGCAAGGCGTCCCGACGAGTATCATCGTCAAGTATCGATATTCCCGAAGAAACGCCCGACAGCCAGTTGCGAACCCAAATATGTGCAATATTCCGTGACGCGCAGAAGACAACCGCCGCTCATAGAAAATTGGTTATCAATCTCCGTAAGATCCACGAGGCTTGCTGTTATGAGCCCACGCGCCCCGATAAGACTTCTACAACCGAATTTGACGAGACCGATTTCAATACCGAGTTTACACGATGCGTCCTCAGAGTTATGCCCGTAAAAAAGAGTGAGGGTGTTGGCGAGAAAATCATCCGCTTTATTGGCCTATTCCTACGTCACGCGAATGACAAGGACAACGAACTACTAGGGGAGGAAGATGTCGATGCTAGCACCATGCCCGAAACCCCGAGTACTCGGCTCACTACTCAAGTTATGGAGATCATCCTGCCCTTACTTACCTCCAAGGACAAGTTCGTCAGATATAGATCAACCCAGATGATCTCTCACGTTATCAACTCCTTAGATGCCATCGATGACGACCTGTTCCAGAAGTTACGTCACGGCCTCCTTAAGAGGATTCGCGATAAGGAGGCTATGGTCCGCTCGCAAGCCGTACTTGGCCTCGGTAGGTTGGCTGGAAATCAGGTTGAGGGTATGGTCAACTCGGATGATAGTGATGATGACGCCGAAACTGGTCTGCTTGAGAAGCTCCTCGAAGTTCTGCAGAATGATCCCAGCGCTGAGGTGAGACGCTCTCTTCTCGTCAACCTACCTATTCTACCAAACACTCTCCCGTACCTCTTAGAAAGGGCAAGAGACCAGGATCCTGCTACTCGTCGCGCGGTCTACTCTAGGTTGTTGCCCGCACTGGGCGACTTTCGGCATCTCTCCCTCTCGATGCGAGAGAAGCTGCTTCGCTGGGGATTACGGGATAGAGATGATAATGTTCGAAAGGCTGCCGCAAGATTATTCCGCGAACGCTGGATTGAGGATTGCGCAGGTAGCAATCAACCTGAAGATGGCGAGCAACCAGCTACGACAGCTCCTCCAACTATAGAAGGACTTCGTGAGTTACTTGAGCGTATAGATATCGTCAATTCTGGCGTCGAGAATGGTGTCGCACTCGAGGCCATGAAAGGCTTCTGGGAAGGAAGACCAGATTATCGAGAGGCTATGGAATTCGACCACAGTTTCTGGAAGCGGCTCAGTGCCGAGACCAGCTTTATAGTACGAACTTTTAACGACTTTTGCCGAACAGAAGGGAATGGAAAATATGAATTCCTAGTTGAGGAGAAATTACCTGTGGTTACTGATTTAGCCTTCTTTCTTAAAGAGTATAGAGACGTCCTCATTGATGCTATAAAGAGAGTCAACAATCGGGATGACGTAGAGGGAGATGAAGAGGAATATACAGCCGATCGGGAGTTCATTGTGGAGCAATTGCTACATATTATCCTCACCCTCGACTACTCGGATGAAGCTGGGCGACGCGAGATGTTCGCCCTACTACGTCAAACCCTATCCATACCGGAACTGCCCGATGAGATTACCAAGCTGACCATCGAGGTGCTGCGGGACATATGTGCACCTGATGCAGCTGGTGAGAAGGAGTTCTGTAGTGTCGTACTCGAAGCTGTTGCAGATGTTCACGATACCATTGTTGACGAATCCGTGGTTGGAGATGGCGAGGAGAGTTTCCACTCGGCTAGGTCCGAAGTTAGTGGCGACAGTACTCCTACCAAGAAAGGGAAGCAACGCGCAGATGCTAGTCCAAACGAAGAGGAAGAAGGAAAGAAGGCGATCAAGGAGATCATGATCAACTTGAAATGCTTGCACATCGTTCAATGCATGCTCTCAAACGTCGAAGGAACCTTGCAACAGAACGACCACCTTGTATCGATGCTTAACAATCTAGTTGTTCCTGCCGTTCGTAGTCACGAAGCGCCCGTTCGAGAACGTGGATTAGTCTGCTTGGGACTCTGCTCACTCCTTGATCGACCACTTGCCGAAGAGAATCTAACCCTTTTCATGCATTTCTTTAGCAAGGGCCACTCAGCACTTCAGATTACCGCGCTACAGATCTTGACCGATATTCTAAATGTCCATGGAGCACAGCTTCTCACGGCAAACCCAACATTATTGAAAGTATACGTTCGGGCCCTCCGATCTGGCTCTAAAAATCCAGGGGTACAAGGCGCGGCTACCCTCGCAGTCTCGAAGCTATTACTTGGCCGTGTAGTCACAGATCACGATACGTCAGCAGAGCTTCTCAAGATACTAATAGTAGCTTATTTCGACCCTTCAACCGCAGGGAATCAGAGTGTCAGGCAAGCCCTCAACTATTTCCTACCTGTATTTTGTTATTCGAGGGCCGAGAACCAGGAGCTTATGGGAGCTGTGGCTCTCGATGCGCTGCATGCTCTATACAATGTCAGGGAGGGCCTCGATGACGATGACATTGATGTCGATGACGAAATGGCCAGCCTAAATACTATCGGCGCTTGTCTGGTTGACTGGACAGACCCTCGAAAGTGCTACGCCCCTGGTATTCCTATGGATGCTGACAAGAAGAATGTGAACGGAGATGTCCATCTGAGCTTAGCAAGGGATATTCTCGACAAGTTGAATAGTAATCTGAGCAGTAAGTTTCCGTTACCTTGTGATACCGCTATTTATACTAACAACAACACAGAGGAAGAGAAGAAGGCCATCGCATCTTTGCTAGGAAAGCTATATATCTCCCCAGCCTCCTCGGAGGATAAGATTCGTGCCTTGTATGAAGACATTTCGACAGCTGTCGAAGAGAACCTCGTATCGGATGCCACGAGTAAGAATGCTATCTACAAAATCCACGTGAGCTTGGGCAAGATCGTGAACCAACTTAACGAGCAAGACAAGATGTCCAGGCGAAGCGCCAGTAGGAGCGTGTCTCTTGCTCCTGATGAGAAGGCCATCGCAGAAGATGCTACTGTCATCCGGGTGTCGAGAATTAAGGAGGAGGACGAAGAAGAAGAAAAGGATGATGTAGAAGAAGAGGAGGCTGATATTTCTGGTACGGCTGGCCGAAGTGAAGCTGATTCTCTGGTGGAAGACCTTTTGACGGACGGAGAGACATGATAGTTATGACTTGGATACGTAGGTGTTATGTCTCATATTAACGTGTAAACGAATGAATACCCCGTTTTAATTGAAACACTCACCCGATCTATCGTATTACACGTTGTATCAACCCTAGCGTTGCCGATTGAGCTCATGGATAGCCCATAGACCGGGTTGCTAGATGGGCCCAGGGACCTCATTACATTACTATACGGACCAGCTCACTACGACCATACTCGCCAGTTAGCTAATTGAATATGAAAACGCATAGGGGGGTATATTTGTGTCTCGGAATTGAGTTTACAGCAACGAGTTTGAAAACTTAAGAGATAGTAGGGGTAAAATAGAAACTAAATCAAAGCAAAATCGCGTAGTGGCAAGGGATCTGCAATATGTGAAATGGGTTGTAAATCGCTAGGTTAGCCTGTTCCCAAAACCGATATATTTGAAGTCGTTTCAATAGATGGTCTCACATTTAGAACAGGCGGTCTGGATAGTATAAGATATATCACTTCTTATTCGGCCTACAAATGTGCTTTAGTTAGACTACCTCTAGCAATTATCTAAGATTGGTCCCAATAAGAGTAAATTTATTTCTCACGCCACGAAAGGTCTACTGGGTTGAGCAAAGTATCACAACAACACACCAGCCGTAAGTTTTGGTGCACAAAACTACGACAGCCATTGATTAGCAACCCAGCAGGTAACACCCGTGGTCTTGTTGTATATAATAAATATTCGTCGAGTTCATACCGCGCCAGTATATTCAACTATAGCGATGCCGCCAGATATCAGAGCCCCGAATGTCCGATGCCCACCATCCAACGTGGCCTTCATGGCCCCGCTTCCAATCCCCAGGCTGTCCACCATTGTTGGATTTTATACATCCTCACGCATTACTAGGCCTGTCTTCGGGTATCATGAGCCTACCGGCCGCCCACCATTATGCGATGACTATCACTTAGATTGAGAAGGAACGTGTTTCATGAGTAGAAGTTAGCAACCTGTTCAAGCAGAGCCAAATCGACACCCCGCCGCGAAGATTTAGACGGTTCTGATGTCGTGATAGTGATATTTCCGATATCACACCAGTGGTTAACGGGCTGTGGAGACGTTAGCAGGATCGCTAGATGAAAGGGGAATAAGGGGTAAACTAACCAGGCAGCTAAGATACTTGCACCAACTGCAGTTGTTCTGATTGGAATAGAAGTTCTTGAGCAACACGATGAAAACAACGATAACAAGTATGAGAAATCCAGCACGAACGAGCCACCACACCCACCAGAGGGGCTTCCGACCCTTGAAGAAGCCTACAGGGTTTCTGTAGAACGAAGGGAAGGCGACGCTAGTGATACCACCGCCGCCTACGGTGGAATACGAAGGTCCTCCAAAGTGATCCTCGCCGATCTTACGGCGGAGGGCATTTGGCGAATGGAGGACGCTAATTCCCAGGCATAACCCGACAATAAACCCGCCGATATGAGAGAAGTTGTCCAGACCGGGGAGCAGGCCGAGGGCGAAGGATATGAGGATCTCGATGATGATAAATATCAGCTCCCTGCCGGGGTTACGCCTCTCACTCCACGAGTATAGAAGATCAAGCAAGGTCAGAGCGATAATTCCGAACAAAGACCCCGATGCCCCGGTAGATGAGATTCCCGGAGCGGCATAGTTGCCTCCCATAACAAAGCCAAAGATGCCGGCACTCATATAAACGAGGAAAAATCGGGTGGATCCGATGGCCCTTTCGATCTCCTTTCCCATGGTAAGCTGCAGCAGTAAATTAAAGCCAATGTGGATTATACCCGCATGCATAAAGATGGGGATTATGAAGCGGAACCACTGGTTAGGTGCCGGGTCCTGATTCAAACCGTTGACGGGGTCCCACTCAGGATTTGGAACTCCGTCAAACCCGCAGAGTTCCGAAAGAGAACACTTATTCGAGTCGTCGTTAGGGTCATTCGAGGTGGTGTTGGGGCAAGGCCACCCAAACCCCTGTTGCGTGACGCCGGCCGGTGGACTATAATTTTGTACTCCATTGACGTTCTTCATACAGGGGACGAACCTCGAACCCATGTTGATAAGAACCTGTTGCGAAGGACCTATCATGGGGTTAAAGGAAGGCTGAATCTGAATCGGGCTACCTGTGAGCTGAGCGGCCTTGACGAGCTCGGCAATGAACACGGCGATTTGAATGATGGAGAATAGATAAACCATGATGGGTATTCTCCTCTTCTCCGACCCAAGCATGCCTAATTCACCAAACCGGATGCGACCACGCTTGGGTAGGCCTCGACGACTACCCGCCTCTTGATCTGGGGCGTCGTAGACATGGTCAGTCGAATCGGCCGCATAACCTGGTGACTTGTTACTCTGATTGCGCATGGGGATATCGTCGGTTCCTACGGGCGACACATCACCCGGTCCGGAGCCATGATATCTTGTGTCGTAAGCGAAGGTCTGTTGGCTGTCGTTTAAGGAATCGGAATTCTGGTGGGATTGTGAGTTAGTCGGGTAGACATGGTCATCAAAGACGGTCTCGAAGGGAGATACGGTAGAAGCACCCGGACGTTCTTGATTATGCGTATGCGAGGTGTAAGAAGGTGGGGTTGTAGATGCCAAAGATGGCTCGTATTGATTATAATGTCGTGACGAATCGTTGTAGTAGTCGTTGGCCGCCATGGTCGCTCTTCTATGGGGGTTGCTTTGCAAAATAGAAAATACGTGGCCAGCACTAATTTTGCACAAATTGTTTTTGTTTTGATTTTTGATTTCCCAGTTCTAGGCCCGGTTGAGACCCGAAAACAACCAGGCTGCGCAGATAGACGAGTTAGAATAATATGTCTCGAGGTGAGCCGACGTAAAATCGGATGGATGGCTCGGCGGTTGCTAGTCGCTCGAATGAATAAGAACAACAACCAATTAGCGTAATGAACGTTGCTTAATATAGATTTCCGCCTTGGTTGATTTGATGATGATACCTCTCTGTTAAAATAAAGAAACGAAAAACAAGAATAAACGAAACGGGGAATGAAAAAGGTGTTGCTTCTTTTTGGGGATTTGTTTGGCAAAGCCTTCGTATTTGTTTAAATTATTATGTAATGAGGCAGGACACACACAGCAAAAAACCTAACATTGGTACCTCACTAGGCGCGATGAATTGTACCTATTGCATATAATGTACTGATACAGGGTGAAGTAGGAAATAGGTTGTATATTTCGCGGGGTTACCAAAATATATTTGTACAGTACTTAGCCCTCTACAAAGATTGTGTGTCACTGGGTAGTGTTGTAGGAACTACAGCCCATGTACTAACAAGAGGCTGTGCTAAAGTTCAGCGGACTAAGGTACCCGTGGTACGTACATTCCAGGGACTCTTCAAGGATTCTTGACTGGGCTTGTGCTTCTTTACTATTCTAATTATGGAACCCCCAATGCCACGCAGCTTACGCACGTACGCCTTCATTGATGATATATTCATCTGAATGGCCGAACGAATAAGGCTGAATAATACTGTATGGGCTAACAGTTCTTGTTAAGCCACACACCGTATTGGCATTCTCAACTTCTGAGCCTCTACAAAATGTAGGCAGCTAGGTACGTATTCATATACACGTTTAGGCAATAACTGCAAAGCTCCAGGTTGTTAGGTAGTGTATATCCAGGTCCGGTTCAAATCATTCTACAACGTCCTTATGTTCCCTAAATTAGCTTCATAGAATTCCATGTCAACTTACAGTAGAATTTAGAGAATGCAAATCAACTAGCTCTGAATATAGAGGGAAACGCTATTAGCTCTGTCATTGCTTAAAGTGTCCCCAGCTATATTACATACCATATGATGTTTCCTAGTAACTCCTATATCTGCCAAGCCCGAGATTGGCTGGTAGATTCCTCACGAGTAAGGTGCTTAATGAAAACCCATGCTGGAGCATAGTAATGTCTCCTATCGCTACTAGTATCGGTAGCGTGTAGAATAATCTTTTGGACTGACGACCAGACCGCGACCTTTCTTGGCGCCCTTATAGACCGTCTCGATGATATCAATTAACTCTTGCTTGTCTTCGAGGACAAAGTTGAGCTTATTGTTATTTCCCGTACCGTAATCGCATAGCATGTGCTTGTTTCGGTAAAAGAACATGATAGTACAAGGGTCGTATAATTCTGTACGTATTTGACTCATTAGAAGCTGGTCTTCAAAAACATCTTAGAGAGAGAAGGGGAAATATACTTACCATACATCTGGTTGAAGTCGGGTACTTGGTCGATGTCGCAGACGTAGATGACGCAAAAGTTCTTTACTCTATCTGCGATGCGGTATAGGACTTCATCTTGTCGCATGCATTCGGGGTCATGATCGCGGCCGAAACGAATCGCTATATGAATAATTAGCATTAGCACTTTTCTCTATCAATTAGTTATAGTATCTCTTGAACGTTTGTTTCGCTTACCAACAACGCGCTCGGTTTCCGAGAGGATGGCTTGGTCGACATGCCAGCCGGTGTTCAAATGTGGTAGAACAATCGAACCCATGATTGGACTCTAGAAACGTTGGTGATGATGAATAAATAGTTGGTGTTTTTTTGTTTTCGGAATTTAACCCATACGCTCTGGTAACTAGAGTATTGAAGTTAAAAGTTAAATAATGACATCAAGCCGCGGCTGCGTGGATATTCTAACCTACCTCATGGTAAGCACGGTGGAAATCTTATGTGGTGGTGGGGCAGTACATTGTAATCCGGGGGATTTACGGCTAAATCACATAAGCAGCCCGTGTGTTAGTAACCTATTTATACAGTACTTAACTGTAGTATATTGGTAAACGTAACTCAATTAGTTCGATACTTTTAATCATACGCATACATATACACATACAGCTTGGAAAACAATTCATTCAAATTAGGCTTAGACAAAGCTGTTAATTCGCCAGTCACAGATAAAGGTGTTATATTGGTTGTTTTTTCTGGGGCAAGATATACTAATGGAGCGAGTTGCAGATCGGAGAATATCTCATTAACGGGTCAGTTTCCCACCTGCTAATGCGACAAGCTCTGGGAAGATTGGTGTCCCAAGGCCAGTAACAGGATCCCATCCTTCAACCGCTGGGAAACCGTCAACACCACATCCGACAGCACTACCACTTACGATATCAGTCAACCCTTTGTATCCCTTCGAGTACAGCCACGGGTTCAAGAAGCCCAGCGGCCGTTTGCCCGACGAAATGAGCGCGTCATTTACCAACGAGATAATTCCACCCGTCAGAGGGCAGCTAGCGCTAGTACCGCTAATAGTTCCCTCAGTTCCGTTCCAGAAATATGCGAAGTAAAGTCCCTGCGCAGATATATCCGGGTAACCACGGCCTTTCTTGTTATATAGACCATCGTACAGGCCTTTAAGGTTATTTACGTAGTTGGTAGCCTGCTTCGCTTGGTACGCAGGTACGTCGAAGTAGTTGCTAAATCCACCGCCACTGGTGTAGTTACCATGCGCAACCCCATCAGGGCCAACAAACGCGGGGCGGTACGCCACGACTTCGGGTTCGAAGTTCTTCGTAGCACCAACTGCCGTTACATAGGGGCAGCTGGGTGGGAACTCGGGGAGAAACTTGGTCGTGTTCTTGCCGTCGTTGCTTATACACTCGCCGTACGATCCGACGCCGCTGTCGCCGCTAGAAAACAATAATGAAGTACCACGAGCACCCACCTGAGCGAACTGCTGGCAGACACGTCGGGCGTACGACTCTGGAACAGTCTGCTCATCATCGGCATACGAGGTCGCTACATCAAGTTAGTAATCTATCCAAAGAGCTAGGTAAAGTACACGATGACATACTATAAACATATTAGCGTCTATTAACAACAAAGGGGCGTATACACGTATACAAAGGTAATTTTACACATACCTAATAACTTGCGGGAAAGACTTTTGATCAAGCAGGTAGTTCACCCATACAAGGTAGGGTTCGTTCGTGTTGTCGGGAGTGGAAACCGACGGGATAAAAGGCGGGCTGCCCCCCGTCGAGTAACTGATGATTGGAGCTACAACCAACACATATTAGCCGAAGAGTTATTTGCGGAATGGCCTCTCTAAATACGTACTCTTCCAGCTTATGCCGGCAATGGCCTGGAGGTCCAGGTTAGCCTCCTTAGAAGTGCTCGACTCGATTTCCTCTGGTGTCAAAGCGTAGTCACCAGGCCCGTTTGCAATCGTGATTTGTGGGAAATCCTTTGCGCTTGAGACCGCCTCCGGCCGGTACTTGGCGAGGAAGAGTTCCCCGTCCGACCGAATAGGATGCTCACCAAGGAAGTTGTTGAACCCAATCTTGTTCTTGCCGCAAGCGCGAGTTTTGTAGCCCTTGGTCGAGTAAAGAGTCTGGAAGCACTCAGGCGTGACGGAGCTAACGTTGCAAACTGCGCTTATGTTCTCATTCGTAGGTGGTGTATATTGGGGGTCAAGGTACACCGGCGCTTCGACATGGTCAAACTTCTCGGCGCGAGCACGGAAGAACGAATTGGTAGGCTGAATCGTATCGATCTTATCATGCAGATGAAGCGGAAGAGACCATTTGGGAGCCCGAGCGACTACACCCCCATCCTTGTGCTCATAAACGTGGTACTCCGTGTCAAGGAGACGCTCGATAGCCTTGACTGGCAAAGACACCGTGATCCAATCCTTAGCTGAGCTATATCCTGACGGAGTGACCCCGTTGTCCGCTAGCCACTCGTGGACGAGGTCGAGCGTCTCATCAGTAGGCTTGACCAGCTCTTTCACCTCATCGGCGGAAAGATGCTGACCGTAGCGTGGGTGGTCCGGGTCAGAAACTAAACAACGAAGGTAAGACTTGGGCTTTTCATTTCATCTAGCTTAAAGAACATCACATATCATACCTTCGTATAGATGCCTCTCGAGCTCTGGGAAATTGCTTTGCTTTACGCCAATTTGAAGGTCAATTACATGGTCAGCAGGCGCGCGACGAACTCGCTTCCAATCTCTTGGAACATGGTGCGTATCCTTAACACGATATGGCGTTCGTGACCCCACGGGACTCGCAAGGGAGACCTGGGCAGCGAGAATCGCCGAAAAAGCAAGACCAATGCCAACCATTGTGCACACTTCAACCTATCAACCTATCAACCTATTAATAATAGACAGGGACGAGTGGAGCAAGCGAGAGTAGGGCCGGAACAGCTAAGACCAGATCCTAAGGAGAACAAAGCCCCCAGAGCGGCGCTCATAACACTTTTATATTGTTTACAATAACAGCACGCTATCTCATACGCACATAATGCAAGCTGATAGAGAGCAAGGATAGACAGCCCAATGAACCACGGCCCTGGTCTAACCCGCATGCAAATATCCAATTGGATCTACAAACCGGAAATTACATTAATTGCGTTGTGATATATTACGTAGGTGAGGTAGTATAGCTGATGCTGTCGGTCATTTCCTACTATGATCCTACTAAGCATTATTCACCTCTTTTTCAGAGTCACGCCATATCTCACCTTGACGCATCCGGAAGGTCGGCTACTTATCTGTACCCAGGTCCGTGGGCCTAGATCGTACCCCTGATTTAGTGAAATCCTGCCTTAGCTACCAATACGAGGTAGTAACGAGAGACTCGTCGAGTAAACAATATAGGTAAGCCAATTACGCGTGAAGACCATATAATATAGACTACTCTTTTAAAAAGAGAGAATTACCAAGCGAATTGTCTACCTATCCACGCAAGGGCTGCTAAGTCTTTTCTTATTGGCCAATGCCCACATCATGAGAAGGTTAAAGCCCTTACATGATTGCTTATCTGATAGTTGACGAACGGCTTAGATTATCAGACCGTAGATATCTTTCATTCTAATAGTAATGTTTGTCAAGCTAGAGTATTAAGTAGACGATTTAGCGATACCTAAGGTAGTTAAAGAGATAGCAGCGAGGCCCGCTCAACTAACACAATGGTTCATGAAACTCTATAGTTAACTATTCCGTAGAAGAATTAACTACCTATATAGGAAGGTCGAAACACACGACGTCCTCGTACACATCATCCCCAAAATCTTGCTACTAACGTAGAAGATCACGAAATAATAACGCAGGTAAGTAAATATACTGCATTTTAAAGCGCCATCGATATGAAAGCTTTATCATTTCATAGATTGACTTAACTAGGTATTTATATAACACATAGTTATCTTTTTTTTACTATCCTAGTAAACAACCGTATAGGCTTAATATCAAAACCTCATACATCACGATGCAGCAGTCAGTTTAACCGTGAGCATTCCTCGTGAAGGGACAGAAACCGTAACCGCACCGTCGATAAGTTTCGACTCGACCGAGGCCACAGATCGGGTGTTATCCGTCACGAAAGCTTCAACAGCTGCTGGGGTAAAGTCTTTGAATGAAACCTTAACACTCTGCTGCGAGCCGCCGGAGTTAAGGAAAACCACAACCACCGAACCATCCGTGTTCTTAAATGCCGTGATACCGGTGCTGGAAACACTGCCGGACGTGCTAACGCGGTATGCGCCGGGGCGTACAAACCGCGACCACATTGCGAAGGCCCAGAGACGGCCGGAGGGTGTGAGTGTTTTCCCGTCGCTTGCAACGAGGTAGGAAGACGCTTGAAACTGGTTCACTTCCACACCTTGCCAGTAGATGTAAGCAGATAGGTTAGCGTCTGCAAGACCATTATGGATCTTTTGCGCCCAAGTAAAGCCTTCGCATTGGCCGCCGCCGCTATACCATGTCGCACACCAGCGTGATTGGAGGTCGGCTGCCTCGGTTTGCCATGTCTTTAGCTTGGTAGAAATAACCGAGTTTGGGTCACCCGTGTACATGTGGCTGGTAATATACCCAAGGTATTTCTCCATGCCTGCCGAGACGAGACCTTGCGTGATGCTTCGCTGAGAGTTCCAGCCCACTGTATTGTACTGTTATTAATTATCTGCCGAGGCCAAAAACGAGAGGCATTTCTTGAAATAATCAGAAACTAGGTAGCCTAGTTAGAGCATTCACTTACTCGCGTCGCAACAAGTTATGGACACATTGCTGAGGTTATTAGCCTCGAGTGTATCGTGCAATATGGGAATAAATGATGCGGCTTCGTTAGCACCGGATTGCATTGACGAGTAACTCGTTCTATAGAAGTCAATACGGCACAACATCGATTTTCACCCAACCAACACTCACACGTAGTCAGGTTCATTCAAAAAGCCTAGCTGCGTAATGGGAATACCGCGCTCGCTATAATACTTCACGTACTGGACCAAGAAGTCGGCATAGGGTTGACGCCAGTCCCCAGACGAGCATGAGTGACCTGGCGTACCGCAAAGGTAGCCGCCGTTGTTTTCATTGTTGTTAGTCTAATGTGGAATTTAGCTTAATAGTCCTCGACCGAAAGATTTTTTCGGAGCTTAGAACAAGAATTACCTTCATGAACCCCGGCGCACTCCATGCATCCGCATAAATAGATTTGACTCCATATTTCATGGCTTGCTGGCTAAACCAGACTTGTCCTCGGTCGTCGTCGTCGAAGCTGTAGTTCGCAGCCGCGCTTGGCCCGCCTGGGCTCTTTGGGAGAATGCTGTCGCTATTGGTCGTGCCCGAGCCAATGCGATTGCGGATGATTGTGAGACCAGCACCAGTGGTCGTATTGAACAAGTAGTCTAGACCCTGCTTCTGAGGATCTCCAGATAGCATGTCCCTAAACTCAGCTGCGCGGCCGAATGCCTGGGAAACACCAAAGCCGTCTATTTGTTGCAACGTAGACGCAGTATTGATAGTTAAAGCCGACTGGGCATAGGTTTGCCCTATGCTAGCGGCGAGCGCCGCCAGGGTGACGAGAGAAGCCATTGTACTTAGAAGTCTCGATATAAAGACTTCAAGTACTATAAAAAATGGTCTTGCTTGAACACAATAAGAAATGCGCTCGACGGGGACTCATGATCAGGGGATCATCGTAAACTTTATATAGCCGAGGCAATTTTATATAACAGGTAGGTTAATTATATTAAGTTCCGTCGAGAACACACTTTTGTAGAGACCAAATAATACCCATAAGGATATTCAGCAAGCTGCCGAAGTAACTTAATCAACAGCACGTCGTTCATTCGATCGCATCAGCGGGGGCGGAGCAGTGCCATGAGGGCCGCTAATCTACCCGTTAGAAATGCGCCCTATGAGTAGGTCAATATCGGAAAGGTACCATGCCAAGGTTGCCATTAATAGCTTATAATAGCCTTGGCACATTCTAGCCCTCTCGCTAGCCAGAAAGAAACTACAGAGATGCGTCCGTAGATGTGGTGAAGGTGAAGAATGGTTACAGTGGGATTTAACCGGGAAGAGTTCTTCGCAGTAATAAATATCACAAGGTTCAGGGCATGGTGATGATGATTAAATGTCTGTATAACATTATAATGTCTGCTAAGCGAGCTATTCCATTCTTGTATTATACCATTGGTGGGGTTTTACTTAACAACTCTATCAGCTGTAATACATTCTACTATATTAGTTAATATGATATGCCTTGCATCCCCCATATCTATTGACAGTTTCCTAAAGTTGACCAAATGTAACCTTTCGTATATATGAGCCTCACGCTTTGGTTTTATACTACATTTATTGTCTTTTAATCGAATAACTAGGACTTGTAGAAGTCAGCGAGAATCCCGCTTTAAACACAGCTATATCCACATATAGAACAATATATATCTTAACTTGCCCGATACTAAACTTGAGTTTGATATTTGTGAGTTCCGCTGGTTCGCGTGGTCATGCTCATGAGGTACATTTAATTCTCTAACTCTAAGCGATGCGCACTCATTACGACAATAACCAGCCGTGCTACATCTATATTGTTGTGTGATTACTTAAAGTGTTATAACTTACTATGGGAGTGAATATTTTTGGTTATAAAAGTTGAATAATACTATATTAACTTTATTATTATGTGTTAGCTACCCTAAGAAGTGCGCCTCCTTTGTTTTAAAGTGTAGGGTTAGTATTGGCTCACCTATTAGTAGTCTGAATTATTTGTTTTTCCTATTAGTTAATAATACCAGGAAGGTTTGGTTATAACTGAAGAAAAAAAGCAGCAGAAATTCTAGTAACTCCTTTGTGGGCAATTCCGAACTTTACGGACACCGAAAACTTCAGAAAGACAGGTACGACATAGATATGGTAATTATCATCAATTAAGTCAAACCACCCTTACTGGGGCCACCCTAGTGGGGGCCACCCATTTCCCATACAAAATCAACGATTTTACATATCTATATTTAATTCAAAAAAGTAGATAAAAATATACGGTCTTCGATTTTAAATACGATATTAGATTCTCACCAGGTATAAAGTTTTGAAAAATGGCAGGGCTAATATCTGTGATAAAATAAATACAAAAATATACATTAACAATTACACATATAAATTTATATATAAAGTTATTAAGGGATATTATTGCTTATAACTTTACCAATTAATATGGTATAAATATAAAATTTATATCGTTAAATAAAAGACGTTTTAATGTAACTTTTAAATTTAAAACTAAATATATAACTTATTTATTTAAAAAATCATAAACGTTTATAAAGTTTTATAATAATTTAATAACATTTTTATATAAAATTAAATATTAAACTTTTTAAATAAATAAATTATATATTTTATATTTATAATATATTAATTGGTAAAGTTATAAATATTAATAACTTTTAATAGTTTTATTTATAAGTTTATAAGTTTATATGTATAATTATTGATAAGATCACGATAACGATAACGTAGATAAGATAGCTTAGCTTATTTCTTATTTCTATAAATTGAGAAGACCTTGTCTTCTTTATTAATACAACTTCAACTTCACTACTGATGATGATTCCCAGCAATTATTAATATATATTCTTATATTTATTTTATTATAAATATTAACCTTAACATTTCTTTTAATTTTTATATATAATAAGAATATAATATCCTATTTAAAATCAAAGATTGTATATTTTTATCTACTTTCTTGAATTAAATATAGATATGCAAAATCGTTGATTTTGTATGGGAAATGGGTGGCCCCAGTAAGGGTGGTTCGACTTAACTGAAGAATCCCCCAGTTCCCGATTCCTGATCCCCGATCCCTTGACAGTCCCAACTATATACATATATAAGAAGGCATTCACCCTACAAGTCTCACTAGATGGTTAATGATATACAAAATCTCCACCGGGTATAGCTAAGATACAATCAATCCCATCCTCGACTTCTATCATTTAAGACTCGCCGTTGTGAGCCAGAAGGTTGGCAGTGTCGCTAGGAACACCGGAGATAGCGTCAGAGAGAGCGCTCTTGGCGATGTAGTCGCAGAGAGAGTCGACGGGGGAAGCGTCGAGTCCCAAGTAGTAGGCACCGAGGCCAGCAATGTGGGGAGAGGCCATCGAGGTTCCGGAGATGACGTTCTAGGATATCGTTAGTACGAGCAAAAATACCAAACTTGTACTTAGGGGTTGGCTTACGGTGGTTCCACCAATCCAGGTAGACTCGATGTCAGTTCCAGGGGCAAGGATGTCAACAAGGCTGCCGAAGTTGGAGTACTCGGCAAGCTCGTCGTCCTTGGTGGTGGCACCGACGGTGCAGGCGGTTTTCTCCGAGGCAGGGGAAGAAGAAGAAGCGTCGGTGGCCTCGTTACCAGCGGCAACGGCAAGGAACAGACCGGCATCGACGATGCTGGCGGCCGCCTCGTTCACGGCGCTGGAGGAGGAACCTCCGAGGGACATGTTGACGACGACACCCTTGGGGCAGGTCTGGCCAGCGGCGTCCTTTGTAACGAAGTCCATACCGGCGATGACACCGGAGCTATGGTTTCTAGTCAGCTAACCGTAACTTTATACTTGGACGAGTTAAGGGTTATCGCATACTTGGTGCCCGAACCACTGGCGTCAAGGACCTTGACGGCGAAGAGAGATGTCTTCTTAGCAACTCCATAGGTTTTTGAGCCGATGGTGCCTGCAACGTGAGTACCATGGCCGTTGCCGTCAGTGTCATCGTCGTCAGCGAAGTTGTTGAGGAACTTAGCGCGGCCCTCAAATTCCTGTATAGAGTTAGTAATTGTTAATAGGAAGATAACCACTAATCACATACCTCGTGGTCGACTTCGATACCAGTGTCGATGATATAGGCGCAGGTACCCTCACCAGCACTATCGTCGTAGGTGTAGGTAGTGCTGCCAGGCTCGGAGCTTGAGAGACGTGCTAGACCCCAGTCGGCGTTCTCCTGGGTGGCCTTGATAGTGACAATGGCATCCTGCTCGATGTAGTCAACCTGGCAGAAAGTTTTAGAGTCTTCATAAATCCTAGAGTCTTATCTGTGTTGTCTTTGTACTTACATCGGCGTTGTTCCTGAGAGCCTCGAGCTCTTCCTCGGAAAGGCTAGAAGCGAAACCCTTGAACTTGTCGGTGTTGTAAACGAAGTCGGCGTCGCTGGCGACAGACTGGATAGAGCTCTGGATAGACTCGGCCTTCGTGCCAGCCTTCATCTTGACAATGTACTTGCCATCGACAAGCTGGGCGCCTCGGGGCTTGATAACCAGCGCGGGGGTATCTCGCTTCGAAGGCGCAGCAAGTGCCAGAGGCAGTAAGGCTAGAGCGGTGGCAGTACGCATTTTGAAGGATAGATAGATGTGATGGGTCTAGGGTTGATCTTGCGGCGTTATCTGAAGCGAGTAGTGCTTGATGGTGAAGCTCTAAGTGTGGGATGGTGAGAGTAAAGATAGCCGATTGAAGGGAGAAGCATCTTCCTTTTATAATACTCATCGCAATCTTTTGGCAAGAAGCGTGATGTTGTTAGATGTTGAATGCAATACTATGAGAGCCTTCATGATAGCAGATCTTTACCAAGGACAGCATTTCGTAGTCGGACAAACTTGCTGGTGACTACTTACATGTGAACGCCTCATGTGAGGTAGAAAGAGAATCATGGATAAGGTAAGGATTCAAAGTACTCCCTACCCTAACCGGCCAATCCGACATGCATAACGAGTGCCGATCACAGCAGCACCTCCTAGAAAGGGCTTGGTTGAGCTGAAGTCCCGTTATTTGTCGGAGAGTTTTCGTCCCTTCAATAAAAATATAGACGTGCTACGATCCAGTAATGTTACTCCAAGCTCTGAATGTCGTCAAGTTACAGTGTTTTAAACCCAGGCATTCGGGTTTTCTTGGTGATGTGCCGTGAAATTAGCTATAGACTACTTGTAATACTAGAATAGCCAATGGCGATGAGATAGTACAGAAGGCCAAGCTTCTTGCCAAACAGTTAGCTACGCGCGCATACACTACATACGGTACCTAGACTGTTGCCAAGAAGCGCTGAGCCGCGCGTAAAGCACCATGGAGTGATAGCTTGCTCAGGAGACGTTGTAACGGCCTTCCCTATCAGGAATCCTTTCCCTCCAAGTTGACCTTCAGACCTACGGGGGCTATGAGCATTGCTGTCCAACCAAACTTTGACGATAGGGGTAAGTGACTGGTCGATTATCTCCGAAATGCAGGACAGCTACCTATAATACCCGGTATTAATAGTTTGTTTCATTCGAAATAGCTTTAAAATATCAAACGTAACAGAAGCCATATAGTCCCATTTTAAAGACCAATTTATCTTCGTCCCCTTACTCGGTTGAAGAAATCATCCATTAAAACTACGTAATACATGCATCAAGTACTTTTACCACAAACAATATTACGAGTTGGCATAATGCCAGTATGATATGCAAGTAATATGCCTAACAACCCTATTATATCCACCACACCTGGGTCCTTGGTTCAACTTGGAGTACATAGCAATGCCGTCAGACGGAAATATGCCCCAGATTGCGACACCGGTTTCCCCACATGATGTGAGCAGAAAGCGGAATGTGACTATTCCATCACTTTCCCCGAGAAAATCCCAGGTGCATCTACCGCAAGCTATGTATTCGTATCGGTGCTACTTGCGGCGTATTGTCAGGTGTCTATAACCATGCAGCCACGGAAATGTCCTCGTATTGTAGTTGGGTTCAAATTTCAAAGTCCTGTTTCAAAGTCTTTTCTCACGAGAGAAGTTCAGTTTTGTCGTAGTCCCCCCACATCCTCAGCATCTTAACCCCTCCACTACCCCTGCCCCTAACCGCCATACAACCATCACGACAGGCACGCTTAGCATTACCCCTGGCCATGATCTGCAAACAAACCCCCTGTATTTCAGATACCAGGTGCCGGCAGTGGTCAGCACACCCACTATATAAGGTCTTGGCATTTCCGCTGCGCAACCTGTTACTCACGACTCCCACGACTCCCACGACTCCCACGACTCCCACGACTCCCACGACTCCCACGACTCCCACGACTCCCACGACCAGCTCTTCTACTTAGGTTGCTATTTAATATATAATCTATATATATGTTATATGTTATGCATAGACGGATGGGTTGTATGATTGTCGATCAGCTTCCAGCCTAGGAAGCCAGCCTAAGGTGACCGAGACTCGGTGCTGGGCCTCAAGTTGAACTGACCAGACTGGCTTAACAATGTTTTTCTTTGCCTCGGCCGACTTGCAAATCCCAACTATATGCGGAAAGTAGGCAGTATTCCAAGGGTTCGCTTACCCACTACGGCAGGCCGAATCTCTAAACGCACGGCATTATTCCGGAGCCTCTCTGTTGCGACTTGTCTCTTTATGTTTTCTCCGGTTAGCGAAAGAGAATATGTTTTAAATCCGACGCAGCACCTAAGCCTCCCGACGAACTTATTTACCGAACATCGAACGCCTCACGAGTACATATTAAAACATAACTTACAAATATCACTGCTAAATTATAAATCAGCGGCGGAGCCGAATGACCTGCCGTCTATCTAATTTAGCAGGAAATAAGAAGGGAATCCCCTTTTACCGAGTCTGACGGTATTCCCTACGGCATACCCAATGCGGCCCACGACCAGCCGGGTTTCGTAACCCGAGAGGGCAGGACACAATATCAATATTGAAACCCGAGCCACAGTCACCATAGCACGAGGAATTAAGCAATACTGCATATTCGGAGGGGAAAGGATTCACACACCTAGGTGTGCCTATGTATGGATTCCCTTCCGCTGCCGTGAAACGTCACAACAGCTTCGACTTTGGATCCGAACCCGCTTCCCGGGTTTACCATGCACTGGTATTTTCGCGACAAACATATCAAGTCACGTTACAGACAACCCCTGCGGCTATTATAGAAATTATATTATGTTACACTATCTGTACAATATATAATTGAAACCCCCCCACCGGTCTACTCGACGTAGTATATTTTCTTGCGTTTGTCTACAACTAACTTATCTAGCGGGCAGTTTACTCGCGACTACCCTGTGAGGTCCATGCGCATACCGAAGAAACCCACGTTCGAATTCCTAGCATGTCCTGATATTGAAGTTCCCTCTGCTTGATTCCCGGTCGCAGCTGTTGCCGGAACTCATGGCAGACGTATGTTATTTTCAACGCCTTGTTCTAATACTTGGTTCTGTAATGGATACTGGTGTTCATTTACGCGATAGGATTCATGAATATAGAAATGAATCGGTTGAGTCGTTACACTTAAGCTACTTCATATACACCCCTATTTAACCCTCCTTCTTCAAGAAGAAAATGGGGAGGGGGACATCTGAAAATAGCTTCATTTTGAAATGAACAACTTTATCTAAACACAACTCCCCAGAGTATAGGGCTTAAAAGCAAAGGTATCACATCATGTCTGTTTATTGGCGCATGAACCAGTCAATATCGCATTGAAACTATCAAAGAAATCCTAATCAATTTCTGAAAAACAAATACATCTGCACGCCACATATATCCAATAACGAGACAGCCATTCCGATAACTACCTAGGTACCTAAACACCATCTAAGCATACAGTGCTTATAGTCCTCCCACAAAGGATGCTCCTCCAGCATTCATGTCCACTTCCATACTATGCTGTAACCCGCAGACCTCGAAAAGCTTCACAGGCGTGATGTGCTTTGGCGTGCCGACCACGCCCTCACCCTTTAGACGGAGAAGGGTCTCGCGGATGGCGACATACGCGGGTGCCAGCGTCGCAAAGCTGAAAATCATGATGCGGAAGCCCATCTTGTGAGCCTCCTCGACGGTGATAACGGGACTCTTTCCGTTCTCAACTGAGTTCAGCAGGAGTGGCCATGGTGCTAGGTCTCTGACAGCCTGGGCTGCTTGTTCCTTGGATGTGAAGCCCTCGAGCAGACCAACATCCGCACCTTCGTCTCGAGCTGCGCGTAGTCGCGATATACACGCGTCATACCCGAGTGATTGGAGAGCATCAGTCCGCGCAATGAGTACGAAGTCTGATTGCAACCGCACGCGAGCGGCATGGGCGGCTCTGATGCGTGAGATGTATTCTTCTTGCGGCACGACCTTCTTGCCACTCAGATGACCGCAACGCTTGGTGAGGATCTAGTTCGCGAATAGGGGTTAGAATTTCGTAATAATAGGATACACGAGGCTTGTATAATTCTATACAAGTCAAGCAGTGTTGGAGGCAAGAGACCAATACGCTTTGAGCTCAGGCTTGGGGAGATATGAGTAAGTAGTTAGAGAACATACTTGATCTTCGAGATGGGCACCAGCTACTCCGGCACGGATATACTGCTCCACGGTACGAGCAACCATGATTGGTCCTGATGTCCAAGTTAGATTACATGTCATATGGGGACGGACGATAGGGGTTGGGGGTGAGGGTTTTCAAAGACCTACCTCCATATCCAGTGTCCATGTCAGCGATCAAGGGCGGACCAAATGGATCAAGGTTGGCGATCATCTCGGCGTTCTCTCTCATTTCGTGTAGCTGAGCAATGGCCAGGTCCGGCTGACCGATGCGTGACGCCGTAGTACCTGCACCAGTCTTCCGATGGACTGTTAGCTTTGCATATATTGACGACGTTATACTAAGTCTACATCACGTACCATGTACATGGCGTTGAAGCCTAGTTCCATTGCCGTACGAGCAGAGAGGCCATCGTATACCCCAGGGCAGACGATAAGCTCCTCAGTCTCGAATATCATCTTGCGGAGCTTCTTAGCGCCAGATGCCGGTTCACGAACACTAGTGACAATATCACTAAGCCGTAGCGGTCCGTCGACCTTGTCGACAGTATCATCTTCAGAGGGTGCCACGACAGTAACCTCTTCAACATTGGGGACTGCGATGGTATCATCCTCGAAAATTTCGACTGTGTTAACTAAGGGAAGTGGCTTGATGGAGTCATAGAACTGGCTAGAACTGATCTCCGTTGCCGCTTGAAGAATTATAGTCGACTCGTTTTCGAGCCCAGACGTATAATCTGTGGGTGTGATTGCGGAGGGAGACATGGTTTAGGTGGGTATATATGAGTTTCAACAATAAAATGGTAGCACTGAACTGCAAGGTGTCGATCTGTTGTATAGATTAAGAGGTGCTGAATATGAAACCTAGATGAGTTGGCCAGCCGATCCCAGGCGTGATATTTATACTTTTATCGCACCCTACTCTCCCCTATATCGGCCCAGAAGTCTCACACTTTCAGAATATCATACCATCATATTCATCCGCCTCTACGCCAGGTTTCCTCCCTCGATGTACCGAGGCCTAGAACTCCTTTGTTGCAGTAAGCACTGGCCGAGATACACCACTTGGCGCATATGTGACTTTCATCCCTTTCCCCTGTCGAAAGATCCCCGATACCGTATCGTTAGCTTCCTCGGAGTTAATTTGCGGAATCTCAAGTTGTGCTCAGCTCCTCAACTGCACTCGACGTTACCTGATCATACCTCCCGGGTCTTACTTTGGGCTGCCGGTGACAGGGTCTCGAGGTATCCTTGTAACCGCACATGAAAATATACAACCGTTTCGTTTACTCTCAAATCGACCCAGTGACTGTACACGTAGAGGATCTTTAATATCAGTATAATATATTATGATAATTCATAGACTTTATGGATGATGATCAACCATCACGAATCCAGACCCAGTGATAGCCATGCTAACGATATAAATGGAAACCTAGGCATTCCACACCTACTAGAACAGGCCAATCAATACTGCAGGACTGCCATTGTGTGGCTTCAGTTCTCCAAGAAGGTCACCTGCGATCGGTAGACCATCACCGGGATGTTTTTGGATAATACGTCACTAGAGTTGGTTCAACGAACCGCTGTATTATCTCGAGGACCTAAGGCCCCTGGGTCCCCTGAGGCCTCCCGCTCT